AGAACGAATCATGGACAGTACGTCTCGAAGCTTCCACTAAGTGTCTCCGATTCGTGGCTAATGTTTGCTAGTTCTGAGGGAATGCCTTAGTCTCTACGACACAGGTGATGATGCTACCGCCGGCGGATCTAGCTCACATCGATAGAGGAGCACAGGACTCCGTAAACAGTCGAACAATATGCGGCCTATTTTAATCCCTGTTTCCCTTTGTTGCAATACTCTACGACTACTGGGCCGCACGTTAATCGTGACGATGTTTCATTTCTACGTGTCCGTATATCAGTACGGTAGCACTCGGGTTAACTATTAGCGGAGTTGGAATGCCTTGTAAGAGTTTTGATGAGTCTTCGTGTTTCTTACCGCATGGGACATTCTACTGTCTCCATGGAGTCTTGGATACCAAAAATTTGGCTTGTATCAGGCAACTGAAATGGATTGGCTGGGCAAGGCAAATGGTTGAACACGGTTCTGGAGACAACTCTGAAGGGGCGTCATCGGTATCTTCTTTTGGCGAGACGGAATTGGTACGGCAGGTTAAGGGTGCGAAAGATGCTGGCACACACACAAAAATGGGGGGAGGGCCGGCAATACAACGCTTAGAGTGACGAGTTATCCCTCACGGGAGTTTTTCTTGTTGTACGAATAATTGGTACATATGTTGTTGATCCTGGCGACCACAGAAACGATTGGACGGGGATGACTTGGCGTTTGAACACAAAAATCCCCAGCTGTATTTGCGCACATAGACATACGATAGATGAGCGAGGTTACTAGGCCTCCGCCAAATGGGGACCTGTATCGGTACAAAACAAAACAAAAACACTGCTGTCCGGCTTTACTTCCCATTGGAAACGATGAATGGACCTAGTCTGTAAGGTTTGACTGATCACAATCACATGCTTGCCTACGTCACCCTTACATTTGATACGGATGCTATTCTTGTACGTAAGAAGAAGGAACTCAGCTTTGCCAGCCCACCATCCTTTTCTCTGTCACTTCTGGAGTGGTGACAGGCTCCGAAACAGCACGATAGCCCAGGGCTGCATAGTAGACGACAATCAGGCACGAGCAATTGGAGGTTGAGACAGACAAAACCAAGCAATGAAGCACCCAGACTAGCCAAGTGGCTGATGGGAGCTATGACGATGATCGCCAGGAATGAATCACACGACGGCGTAGCACCGCATGCAGCTCAGATTCGCGAGAGCTGCCTCTCGACCTTACAATGAGACATTCTGGGGCGGCTGCAGGGACCACTGCGCAATGACTGGGCGTGAGGGTGGAGGGGGCGAGCATCAAATCAGAGGACCTTGCACCTACCATTTTTGGCGCGGGCAGGGTTCCGGTGTCCCATTCTGCTGGGTCGTCCAAAAAGAAAAGAAACAGTCGAGCCAATGATGCTCAGATTGTGGTCGGCAACAAGCCACAGCTGCTGCGAAAAGACAGGCGCAAATATGTGTGCTTTTTCCCGCCATTGAATTGCTTTTTCTTTTTGCTCATAATTATTGAGGTCCCGCCAATGTACCTTGAACTTTGAGAGAACCTGACATGGGTTGTAGGTGTACCTACAAAGTAGCCGTCCGAGAGCGAAACCGCTTGTCTGAGACATATTGCCAAATAGCGCTGCAGAAGTCGAATGGGGGAAGTTCACAGGAAAGCTACGGCATGCCTTATGAGGTAAGGCATCATCAGCAGCTTGCTGATTGACTGATTGATTGATTGACTAATTGACGGTTCGTTTGTCTGATACCTACCACAGGAGATAGCTATCTCGGTTCGGAGGGAGACCTCAACATGCATGCCGCGCGGCAAACGCACACAGGGAGGGCGACACCTGTCGGATGCTGCTGCAGATTGAGGCTCGCAAGCCTTTCCCAAAATCACCACCGGTTGACACACCCAAGCAGCATCGCGTGATGCTGGCGGAAGGCCCGATTGTTGGGAGGGTGGCTTTTTCCCTCCCCAGCCCAACGTGCGTAGCCATGAGGGCCCCTCTCTTGCCCATCTCCCGAGGCGCGGTACAACACGCCAGAGAGAAGCGCCTCGCCAATTGATGGGCACATGACTGACTAACAAGCAGATACGACGAAAGAATAGGATATGAGAGACAGACATTGGAACCCAACCATCCTTAGTGACCTCCAATCGACTGGTCTAGATTCCTGACGACGACAAAGAGCCGCCATAGACGCTAGCAAGTAACCTTTCGGCCGACTTCAGGCTGCTCACACTTGCCTTAGGTAGCCCAAGGCCAGTAGTCAGTGGCCCATAGCGGGCGGCTGCATACCTAGGTAAGTGCAGACTGTATGTGCCTACCTCGACTCTGCTTTAGCTGGGGCTGACCGACCCAAGGCGAGACCTGCGGGCGGTTGGCGCTGGAGCCGTCGTCGATCTCGGAGCATTACCCGACCTGCTGGGATCGATGGTGCGAAAGGCTATTATTATTGCCTGTCTGTCTGGCTGGGCATACAGGACTGACCTCATGCTTGGGACTAGGTAATTATTCCCAGGCTAAAATACCTGTTTCTCGTTCTCATATCAATCCATGGATCGTGATAGGGTTAAACAAATCAACAAACCACACATGGGAAACTAACGAAAAACAACCCAATTTGGGGACAGATACAGGAAGCAATGACACTGCGGTAGCGACTAACGGCAATGTCTCATTACCCCTAGGTGTCTTGCGGCCGGGGATCTCGGGCTGGGAGACATTGTTTGATGATTGAAATCCCAAATAGCAAATGGGGCCCTTGGTGACGGCAAGCTCTTGGGCCGGTTAGTCCAAATCTCGGGGGTAAACGCCCTGGGCGAAACCGAACCCTAGTCCCCCACCCCAGGTAGGATTTGATTTTTTTTTGACTGATCACAATCCCAATCGTACAAATCCCCGAGGGATGATCTCAGTCATTTCCCGAGGCCGTGGTTGACGCAGAATTGGGGCCTTGTCCAAGCGGCAGGCCATTTGGATAGTAAACCTTGCTCTACCCACCGAGCTACCCCACCGCCCCTGGCTCCCTGGCTCTGGTTACGCAGTAGTCGGCAGGGCTCCATCGTGACAAGAGCTATGATCCCAGTCACACATATCTCAGTCATGTTTGTGACATGTCATATTCGACCACGACGACCTACCACACCCCAGCCAAGAAGAACGCGTCTCCAAATTTGGTCGATCTCTGCGCAACCTCACCTTACTCACCTTGGTTACTGCGAAAGACAGATGTGGCTGTCACCTCCGGGCGGGCTAATCTGAGACCTCAGACGGGCTGCAGCCACATCCATCCAACGCAACAACAAACGCCTCGCCTAGCATTGGCAGAGCGCACAGCACGCCTCAGTTACACAAGATGGGCAGACGGACAAGTCAACGTCCTCTGATGCAAGGAGTCGTCACAAGCACACCCACAGAGGCGGAGACGAATGAGCCTCTCGCGGATATGCACGTCGACAGATTCATACAATACCACCAGCCTTTCCATTTGCCCAAGGCTCCGTGACAGGGCCAATGAGGGACTGACGACTAGTCGGGGGATCGGATCTTGCAGCTCTTCTGGATCTCGATTCCCGTGTACGAGCGCGCTCGCGGCAATCTGACAGCCTCACTCGCTGAGCCGCAAGGCGGCGAGAGGCGAACCTCACGTCCTCTATCCTCCTCCTCCTCCCACCACACACATAGGCACACGCGCAGACCACACACCCTCTTCCATCCCTTCCCCCACGCGCGCAAAATGCAGCTTTCCTCGTATCTCTTTCTCTCTTTTCGCCCCCCCTCGACCTGCCAACAACGCGTGCCGTCGAAACCTGGACGGGATATGCACTTCCCGCTTTTGGTTAAGGTACCCGGGTCGTTGGTCTCTGGTCTGTTGCGGCTGGAACGCCTCAATATGCAGCTACCCGCGACCCCATCCCATGACTTACACGCCACAAGCCCACTGACAACACACTAACGCACAGTATAGTACAGATGAAGAGAAACACCCGCAAATGTCCAGACACGGCTGACACGGGAGATAATCCCAGGAGGCGAAAGAGAAAAAAAAAAAAAAAAGGAAAGAAGCACTGCGACTTGCAGCCGCCCCTCCCGCGGAGCAGCTCCCGGCACGGAACAGGCAAGCCTACTATGGCGGCCTCGCTGCACTAAGGTAGGTAGGTAGGTATGTAAGGCAATTCTTACCCTGCAAGTTCTTCTTTTTGGGACAGCAAAAAGCGCGGATTCAATAGTGTAGCCGAGTGGTGGCTGGGCCGAAAGTCTACGGACTTTTGCATACGCAGATTGTCCGGACATGTCTGGGCCCCCTGAGGACACGGAGAGCCCTGCTACGTGGGAGGGCCCTACAACGGACAATGGCAGTACGTGGGGCCCGCAACACGTCTCGGGCGTGCGTCACCCCAAGGTGAAGTTCTATCCCGCCCGGGGAGATTACTGCTACCATACATACATACGTGCATGCATGCTCTCACCTTGACAGAGGCCCAAGACAGTATCCGCTCGTGCGCCGTGACACGGTGGATCGCGAGGTATACGAACTAGTCTAGAGCCTCATTTGCGGCGGTGTCACCTGGAGATGCATGGGCTGGACGCATGCCACTTGCTGCTGTCGCCCAGACCTCGGGCCGCCCCATCTTTAGCAGTGATCTACATGCATGGCGGCGAGCTTCATCTGCGTGCACCTGCTGGCAAGGTAATAGCGGTGGGACATCACGCCGTCTGTCTCGCTCGATCTCAAGAGACAGATCGGTCCTGCAAGATCAGGGAGATCGGCGGACCCTGGGCTGTTTCTTTGCAACGTCGTGTGGCGTGCGCCCAACGGATGTCTTCTTCTCCGCTGCACGTTTGCCCTCGCCTGCTGCCTGTATCTCGGTGTGCACTGGCTGCCTTGTCGACGGGGCGTGGTCACTCGCTGACGACGGACAATTTTGTAGATGTGGTATCTGTGTTCCATTTTGACGTAGTCATAATAATTCCTTTTTCATAACCTTTCATACATGTATCGTGGTATCTAATGTGTAACGTTCTCAGAATTGATCTGTAATCACAATCAGTCATACAAACTCTCACAGAGCAGTAATCATGTGTCCAGTAGACGCCATGCCAAGGGAGGCCGCTGGTCTACCTAAAGTGCAGACGCAAAAGGAGAAGGAAGAGAGGGAGGGGGGGAGGGGAAGCAGAGCAAACTCACCCAAGGTCATACTCATGCTCACGTCCGTGTTCTCGACCATCTTGGTGAACTCCTCAAAGCTGATCTTGCCGTCCTTGTCCAGGTCCGCCTCCATGATGGTCTTGTCGACAATCTGCTGCAGCTGCTGGTCCTTGAGGTTGCTGCCCACCATCATCTTGAGCACGATGAACAGCTCGCCGTTGCTGATGTAGCCGTCCCGGTCAATGTCGTACACCTTGAACGCGAACCGCAGCTTCTGCTCCTTGTTGCCCTTGCTCGAGAAGGCGCTCAGCCCGGACACAAACTCCTGGAAGTCGACGTCGCCGCCGCCGTCCTCGTCGAAGATGGCTATCATTCTGTTTTGCGGGGGAAAAAAAGAGACAGTGTCAGCTTGGTTATTCTCTTGGCCACATCTTCCCACCAGAGCTCGAATGCTCATACCTTGTTGCTAGCGGATTTGATGAGATCTGCGGTAGACTGAGGAACTCTTCCCGTTCGATGGTGCCCGAGTTATCCTACGGAAGCTTCAGTCAGCCCGCTGTTCTGTAGCCCCCCTTTCTCTCGCTGATATCCAGGCAGCAGCAGGAGGTACCTTGTCGAGCTTCATGAACCTCTTCCGCAGACGATCGACTTCATCCCGGTCAACTATTCCCCCCAAGATATTAGCCTTCATGGTCTCTTTATTTCGGCCCAGGCTTGCTTGCTCGACGGATGTGCCAAAGCCTCGCGGGGTAGGTAGGGTTGTGGAGGGGCAACTTGCAGTTCGACCCCTGGACGATATTGTCCAGCACCGCGCTGGTGGTGTTGCCCATTGCTGCTGCTGCTGCTGCTACTGCTGCTACTGCGGGCGGGCCCTCGATGTTGTTGCGACGGCGGGCCGAGGAAGGATAATTGTTATGTGGCTGTGTTGCAGACGGTCTGTCAATGGGGAGGGGAGTTGGAGGGTCTGGTTGATATGGGGGTAAGTAGGTAAGGCTGAGCGTATGCTTCATTCAGTTGGACCGACCGTATTGCCTTGGGTTTGGGCCCAGCTGCGGTGAGAGAAAGTGGGGACAGCCAGATAGTGCCCAGCCTCATCTGACCAATTGGGGAGAGTGCATCACGTGGGATGTACAGGTACGCCAGCTTTGCGGTGGCCATTGCCCTTCTTTAAAGTACTGTATACATCTAGCCAAACATACCTATCCTAAAACATCTGGTTGGCATGCCTTCATACCATAGGAATTGAAGAGATGCCAATAACAATAGGTGCATCTCGCGTAGATAACTACTATGACGCCGAGAAGTGTATGATCCGACAGAAATCATTTATTGTGGTGCATTTGCAGGTGGTTTTACTGGGTGCTGCTTCCCCTATTTGTTTGCAGCTAGAGGCCAAAAGTGTAATTTTATGACGCTTTTGTCAGGTAAGGCAGGGACAAAGTCTGGCCACTTGCACCCCCCCTCCAGTGTTGGGCTCTCTACAGCCAATAGCCACCAAACAGCGAGCCACTTCGCCCGCATCCCGCAAAATTTGCGCCCATCAAAACAACGTCACCTCATCCAGCAGCCAGCATTCGAGCATCAAAATATCGACAACGAGGGCGGTTTTGCATCGAAAAAACATCATTTTCCGTTTTCGCATGGGCCCTTTGATGACATAAGGTTTTTTCAGCGGTTTTTCCGCCGGCTTTTGGCCATTTTCACCCCCCCCTCCCTGCAGCCATGGCGACTCGGAAGGTGCGGTACAAGAAACTCAGCCCAAAAACAGCGCTCTCAGTGCTCCGAGAGGATCAGATCGATCCCAGCGAGTACGAGAGTCTCCAAAACGAGTCTCAAATCGCGACAGGAGTTGAGCAAGCTGAGGAAAATGTGAGTAGATTCACCTGTTTCCCCGACCACCTACGGGACCTGGCACGTGCACGTGCACGTGACCTTGCAAAAGTCTCTTCAAACCCATAATACTGACCTTCACCGTCCAGGAATACCATTTGCAGGCCGTTTTGCAGGGCCCTGGGGCCAGCACGGACAAGGAGATTCCCGTCCCGCCTCCCCAGGAGAGCGAGTTGAATTACGATGAGCTCTATCCCATCAAACTCTCCAAACCTGCCACCTATATCCGCTCCTCCCAGACTGTGGAGGAGTGTATAGGATGTCCATATGATATGACAGAAGAGGATGATGTCTTCTTAAAGTCATATAACGCAAAGAAGCCAGCAGCATCCCAGCTCTCCGAAGATGATTTCGAGAAGATCATGGATGTCTTCGAGGACACTGCGTCTGTCCAAGCCCCCTATGCTTCGGTAGACAAGACTGTAGTTCCCTATGACATGATGGTGCCGGGTCTGAATCAACTCGACACAGCCAAGGTCATGCCTCATGCCAAGGAAATCTATGAGTACTGGAAGTCCAGGAGACAAGAGACTGGCGGCTCTCTGCATCCTATGCTCAAGTTTGAGACTCATCAGGAGACTGATGACATGGACCCCTATGTTTGCTTCAGACGTCGTGAAGTCCGCCAGACTCGCAAGACAAGGCAAAGAGACGTGCAGAGTGCCGACAAGCTCAAGCGGTTGCGTCGCGAGCTTGAAGACGGTCGGCAGCTCATTATCTTCTCTCATGAGCGAGAGCTTCTGAAACGAGACTTGTTGACTGCGGATCGCATGATCTTCGAGCAGCGAGCCAAGTTAAAGGAGGTCAAGGTTCGGCTGGGCATCAAGGAACACGACGAGGACCTTGTCAACCAGAAGGCACAAAAGAGGAAGCCTCCTCCCGAGCATCCGTCAGCCCAGCGACCACCAAGCACACAACTTCGTCTCCCTGTGGGCCCCACTGGGCGCCCTGTGGAGGCAGACCTCACCTTGCTTGCAGACAAGCTTGCAGAAAAGGAGAACGAGCTTCGTAATGACATCGAGATGAAGATCCAGAATCATCGTAATTGGAATAAGAACCATGTGGATCTCACTCGAGATCCCCTGCAGCCGGTTAAGGGTCAAAGTATAGAGTCAAGCTTCCGTCCCGCTAAGACTCAGTACCTTATGACTCCACCGGCTAGCGCATCGGGAGAGTCGATGGAGGAGCCCACTCCGATGGACCTTGATCAACCGGCAGCTGCCCCCATCTTCCAATTCAGGGGTGTGCCACAGGATGAGGTATCTTCGGCAAACCCGCCCGCGTTCCGTCGTCGGATAGGGCGTCTGAATCGGTTGTGGATTGATAGACGTGGCCTGGCAAGCCCGCCGAGGGAAGCTGATGGGGAGTATTCCGACCGGTGGAAGTACGACCAGGATGATAGCGATGACGACCAGCCGGTGTATGAAGTCGACCCCTTCGATACTCGAGCGCTCAAGTTCCGTGCCACAATACCGTTGTCGCAGTATGAAGAGCGGCGTCGTAGAGCAACGCTGGAGGCGGCGATGGCGAACGGTAGTGGGTCGCAAATTAATGGTGCCGGTCATCCTGGGAGACCTGCTCTGCCTCCGACACGTCCAGCACAGGCGCAAGCGACTCCAACTCCGGCACCTCAACCTCAAACACAACCCCAACCTCAAGCTGCGTCCTGAGTGCAGGTCAGCTTCTCTCCTCCCGTATTGAACACCCTCTGGGAAAGATTCTCAGTTTTGTATAACCAAATCCCCTCGATGAGCAAGCATTGGCGTTGGCCCAGTAAAAGGTTTCGGGGCCCGGTAGGCGTTAGAGCTCGGTTGGCTGTGTGTAGTATAATTGCCCGAGCATCGTGTGTATATAGAGGCGGCATTGGTGGCAGTCTTTGTGTCTGAGGCTGGCCACTCTATAAGATAGGCAGACATCGAGTTAAATGAATTCAAATAACACAAAGAAATCGACGGAAGGGCGCGCAAGCGCTCGGTGTACTTGAGAAGCCCAGATTGTGATTTTCGAAAGCTTGTCTTAGGTGATCGCCCGATGAGGTATGAAACATTCTGTGGCATTGTGAGAAATGCTTCAGCCAGCGCCCGAAACGTCATCTCGGGATCTTACCACCTCGACCTCCCTCTAGTCAGACATGCTGCTAGCATAGGAAAGAAAATGGGGTAAAGCCAGAACGGCCTGACAAGAGGCATTTTGAAATAAATTCGACCACCAGGAAAAGCACACGACTCGTGCCTGTGTAGTGCCGAGAGGATATTCTGCGGTGTGTATTGTCGTCTGAGCCCAGCCACTTCAGCAGAGCTCCGGACTCGGGTCATGCGGAGCTATCGCAGCTCAGAGCAAGAAGTGACAATGTGATGTACCTTGCGAAGGAAAGAGTATAGAGTCGTATGCCAGGTAGGAAGCCTCCAGGACAACTTCTTGGGGCTTGAGAATAGGGAGTTGACGGGTTGTGAGTCCAGGCAAGAAAGAAAATAGGTGAGGGCGGCAGAGTATTAGTCGCAGGAAAGGTGACGGATCGGTGTTGTGGGGCGGATTGCCCTGGAGTGTGTCCATGGTTCCTTGTCGCTTAACTTTAGCTGCCCCGTTGTCCGCTGCACTTGCGACTATGGGGGGCCTGGTGGGTGCTCAGCAAAGATCCATGCCGTGTCATTGACCGAATTGCTGCCTCGCTAACTACATTTTATCGCCTTTTTACCCCTCCATTTCAGGCACTTCACCCCACCATCGAGATGTGACTCTGGGACCAGGCATTTTTACGCTGCTCAAGCACGACAAATCTTTGCGCTTGCTTTTACGAAGATCACACTTGCTGAGAGGCCAGGACTTCTATAAACGCTTGGACAGTATCGTCAACCACCAGGTGTGAAGAGGAAGTTGTTTCAGCTCATATCTTACCTACATATATTATCCTCCTTTCCCTGAGATACATATTCGTCTCTACAGCCCAACATGGAGAAGAGGAGGCGGCGTATCGCCCTCGGACTCGAGGGCTCAGCGAACAAGCTTGGTATAGGCGTGATAGAGCACCCCGTTGAGGGGGGCGAGGCGGTCGTTCTCTCCAATATCCGAGATACGTTCAACTCACCACCGGGCACCGGCTTTCTGCCCAAGGACACAGCACACCACCACCGGAGCTTCTTCGTGCGGGTAGCCAAGCGGGCACTGACAGAAGCAGGCGTGGCCGTCGGCGAGATCGACTGCATCTGCTACACCAAGGGGCCCGGGATGGGGGCGCCGCTGACGGCCGTCGCCATCGCGGCGCGCACGCTGTCGCTGCTCTGGGGCAAGCCGCTCGTGGGCGTCAACCACTGCGTGGGCCACATCGAGATGGGGCGGACCATCACCGGCGCCGACAACCCCGTCGTGCTGTACGTCAGCGGCGGCAACACGCAGGTGATTGCGTACGCGGAGAAGCGCTACCGCATCTTCGGCGAGACGCTCGACATCGCCGTCGGCAACTGCCTCGACCGCTTCGCGCGCACCCTGGCCATCAGCAACGACCCGGCGCCCGGCTACAACATCGAGCAGCTGGCCAAGCGCGCGCCCACCGCGGCCCGCGGCGTCCTGCTCGACCTGCCGTACGCCGTCAAGGGCATGGACTGCTCGTTCAGCGGCATCCTGGCGCGCGCGGACGACCTCGCGGCGGTGATGCGCGCGGGCGGCACCACGCCCGAGGGCGAGCCCATCACGCCCGAGGACCTGTGCTACAGCCTGCAGGAGACGGTGTACGCGATGCTGGTCGAGATCACGGAGCGCGCCATGGCGCACGTCGGCGCCACGCAGGTGCTCATCGTCGGCGGCGTCGGCAGCAACGAGCGCCTGCAGTTCATGATGGGCGAGATGGCCCGTGAGAGGGGCGGCAGCGTCTACGCGACCGACGAGCGCTTTTGCATCGACAATGGCATCATGATCGCGCACGCGGGGCTGCTGGCGTACGAGACGGGCTTCCAGACTCCGCTGGAGGACAGCACGTGCACGCAGCGGTTCAGGACGGACGACGTGTACGTTGCGTGGAGGGATTAAAATTGAACTCTCCCGTCAATCTAACCGAATCCTGCCTACTTACGGGACCGTACGAACACCTAAACCGACATTATAGTTTCAAAGGACAAAATCCGCCGCCGATTTTTATAGACCACCCTCGGTCTGTGCCTCCATACCAGATCGTCCGTCTCCAGGCTTTGTGCAGCCTTGCTCAATCCCGTGTCCAGGAACTCCATACAGACCTATCTACCTTCAATGAGGGTTGGGGATTTGGATCCCATGATTACCCATCTGTGGGCTTGTATATGATTGTTGTGACATACTGGAAGGGAGTTAGAAATCAAAAGCAGCTAAAAGAAGGGTTGAGGGCATCATACCTTGCTCTTATATCTCGTTGTTGCTGAGACCGCGAGGACATTGTTCTTTATGCTACTCGTCGCTAAATGGTTCAAGACAGTGTGGTTTGGCATGTTGAGGACGCTGTTGTCGTCCTTGATGAGGACCGCAGCGTTCAGGATGGGCTTTCCGAGGAATCCAGGCAGGCTGGGGGGAGTTGGCAGCTTCTCGATGGCCGCGACCGCAGACTGATAGAGGGGCGTGTCCTCTGGCTGATCAAAGTCGACCAGATACCTGGGAATGTCATAGCTGTAGCGCTCTGCGGGCACCACCGGCCGCTCCCTGGGCGGTTTCGAGCTGGAGCTCGCTTGAGAGGCAGATCGCTCAGCTAGAGCCTTTTCATCCTGTGCAGATGCTGCCGCGGACGCCTCCGCTGGCACGGGCGGTACATCGTCAGGACTGACTTCAATATAATTGACGAGATTGTTGCCGAAATCTACAGTTGTGGGAAGATCTGGTGATGTTTGCATATTGTTGTCCACGAGGAACCTGATGTGATGAGTTCCCGGAAGAATGTTGATCGTCGTGGCGAAGACGCCGGGACGCCCCTCACTGTAGAAACAAATGTCAGAAAATTTATCTTGAAGTATAATGGAGGGAGTCGTGTCCATACACTGGGTGAAGCCTCTGCTTGCGGTTCCATTGGAATATAGTACCGGTGACATAGACTTTCTCGCCGCCGCGTAGCCACTCTAGGCGAGTCGGCACGGTTGGCCTTGTCTTATCTACACGTAGCTCCTCGGCGTCTTCTTCGTCCACCGTCGTGGTGCTAAGAGCAGATGACCGTCGAGGCAGACCCTCCGCATCTAGATTGTCGACCGAGTCCACCGGCTCCCCAATGTCCGCGGGAGCAATGATGGGGGAACCTGGAGTATGCTCCTCCTCCTCGATCGGCAGCGGCAACCTTGGGGGTCGCGTGAGGTACGACATGTCTTGAACGCTACCCAGCGGCATGGCGATGGGGTCGTTGGGGTCGCTGAAGGGTGACGACGGCGATGACGGCTCCGGGGCCGGTTGTGCTTTCGGGACGGCGACCGGCTTGCTGGGCTCCGGGTTCGGGTCGTTCTTCTTGGAGGTGTCGGCGGGCCTGGAGGGAAGGGCCGAGTTGGTGGAGCTGGAGGAGGGAGAGGAGGCATTGAAGGCGGAGACGGGGCGAGACTGGGAGCCCTTGGAGCGGTTGATGACGGTCGAGCCCTGTGCCTGGGCCAGTGAGGGCTCGGGGGGCGCAGCGACCCTGTGGTTCTGGACGGGCATCGGGTGTCTCGTGTCCCTCTTCTGATGCTGTCGTGGAGAGTCATGGGCGCTGGAGGGAGTGGCACTCCCGGACTTGGGAGTGGAGGGGTTGTTCCCCATTGTGCGTCGTGGGTAGGGGTAGAGGTAGTGGTGAGGTGTAGAGATAGGTAGGGGGGTCAAGGGGCGCTTGTGTCGGTGGGTTGAGCCGGGCAAAGGGGAGAGGAGAGCCGCTGTTGGGACGGAATCTAGTGCATTTCGGGCGTCAACTGGACTAGAGGACGCACAAAGCTACCGGTGGAGAGTCAGGTTGCAGGGAGAGCCACCTGGCATTGCATAGAGGGTGACGCTATGCTGGGTAGGTATGCTATGTGGCACTCACTCACACACCCCCGGAACAGCCACTCGTAAGGTAGGTGGAAAGGCGAGCGCGGTGAGGAAAACGAGCGAGAATGAGAGCGTGAGAGACGACGACGACGACGTTGGATGGAGGTGGAGAGGAGGGGCGGGAGAGAGTTCAGATGCAACTGGCAGCAGCACAGACGGTGGATGAACTGAGGTCCCGCTATCGTTATGGGGCTTCCAGGTTCGCTGCTCGTATCCCAGTCGGTCCAGTCTCGACTGCTCGATAAGGATCCGCCCCACTCCCCGGATTATTACATATCTACCTATCGGAGCTGCCTAACTGGACGCCCCCGTTTAATTGCTTGGCCCGGTAGTCATGCAGTATACTTACCTTAGGTATAGCACCCGTCGGACGACGTCAACAAGAGAACGACGGGCGCCTCCTTGTCTGCCCACTAGCATCACAACGCGACACCGCCTAACCACCAAGCCGGAAACAGGTTGCAAGATCTAGAATAGAATTTGGTCGATCATTTGCGACCTTCAACAATAGGTTCGAGCTATGTGAACCCCCTAAAGAGTTACATAGAACCTCATCACAGCTTGGCTGGTGACAGCACAAGCGGGTCTCACAACATGGACATGGACTTGTCCTGGGTATATCCCGTCTCTTCAGCAATCGCCACCACTTTTACCACGACATTTGCAGTTCTCTCGACCATCACAATCTATGCGCTCCGTATCGTCATATGGCCCATCTCCATCCTCTATGGAGCGTTCCTGGTCGTCTTTGCGCCCGTCATATATACCCTGCAGTTTCTCTTTGCCCCGGTCTTCTACTTCATGTCTCTTGTACCGAATCTTAAGGTGAGTAGTCTCATGCATCAAGAGCTTGGGATCAAGCTGCTAACTCTCATCAAAGCCTCTGTATATATACGTAAGTCAAGCAAGGCATCATAGGGTCTTGTGAGAACTAACACGTCCCCAGTTTGGAAGCGCCGCCTTCGTGGGCATCGTGGCCGGGCTCATGCTCCAGCTCACATCGACCACGTTTGTATCACTGTTCAGCATGGACCAGGGACAGGATGAGAGCATGAGGTACCCCAGGAGGCTTGAAGCACGGCTGAGCATGAAGCTCCTGGACGACGCAAGCTCACAGGACTCGGACTGGCAGTGGCTGGACAAGGCTGCGCACCCAAATATGAAGCGCAAGAGAAGAGCCCCGGGATTGACGGCACAGACGATATTGGAGGAGGACGATGACTCAGAGTAATACTGCTTGATGATTCTCACACCCCACGAACAATTACATACAAGAAGGCACCGAGTTCTCCTCGGCTTTATGATGATGATGATATTCCAGACTCCTCAAAGCAAAGCCTGCCTATTGACGCCTGTCCGACCCTGGGGCAGATCTGGCCCCCAGCGCCTCCTATGTTTCATTTACCGTCCTTACAAAAGTCTCTGAACGCCGCTACCCTGTTCCGAAAATCTCACTCAGGGGGTATCGGTGACCAATTTTCAGCTGTGCGCACATTCTTCCATGCAGTTTCATCTCCTGTACATGTCTCGATCTCTGTCTCTGTGATGATCCCTATCGCGCATGGGCGACCGGCTCCGACTCCGCGTTCTGCTAGAACGGCCGCGGCCGTCGTAGTCCATGCGAGCACCGCCGCGATCTCGATCATGCCACCTCTCGTCCCAGTCCTCGTGTCGCCGACGGTCGTCGCGCGGCGGACGATCTCTCTCGTAGGCCGGAATATATGTGTCAAGTATGTCCGCTCGATTCGGCCCAACAGCCGGTGGCGGTCTGCTCCGCGGAGCACGGTCGCGGTCACGGTACCGGTCGTGCGTGTCATTCCCGCCATCCCAGCCGTTGATGTTGTAGTTATCTGCTGGGGGAGGCGGTCGTGGTGGGAGGCCACGCTCTCGATGCCATGCCGGCTGTCTCCGATCCTCCCCACCAGGCGGACCATTTCGATGCGGAGGGGGTCCATGATGGGCAGGAGGATGATAGCGGCCATTGACGCCATTCCGTCCTCCAAAGCCGTCGCCGGTGTTGAAGCCAGAGTTTGGACCTCCAGCACCATCCAAAGGTCCTCGTCCAACCGTGCCGCCTTTAGGTGCCGGTGGTAGTGCTGCTTTCCGATCATGGAACTTCCGTCTGTCATACTCATGACTCTCTTCAAAGGTAGGTATGTCACCTGGCTGGGCAGCCAGTGGCGGGGTCTTGAAGTACGGATGTTGCAACGCGTCGATTGCATTGATCCTTGTTCTCCAGTCGAGCTTTAGAAGCTCTTTCAGCAACGAAATTGCACCAGGTCCAAACCTATTTCCGCCAAATTAGTATGCCTTCAAGTGACTTAGTGTTTGGTTTCCCTACTCTCTAAACCTATTGGAGAGACTCCCTGGCCTGGGCCGCGGATTTAGAGCCTCTGCACCTGGAAGTGACTTCCAGCCCGGCATGGTCTCCTCTGTAGGTGTACCAACTAGGTCAAAGATGATGTCCAACTGGTGCGCGTCACTCTCGCCTGACAAGATGGGTTTGCCAACGAGCATCTCTCCAAAAACACATCTAATATGTGTTAGCCACGGTTGAAACTCTGAAAAGAAGTATGAGCGATGTCCTACCCAACGCCCCATAGATCGATTGCAGTTGTATATTTCTTCAGGTGCATCAGGAGCTCAGGCGGCCGGTACCATCTTGTAACGACTAAGCTTGTGTAATCTCGACGGCCCTCTCCACCTCCGAAGCCTGACTTGGGGGTCGGTCCTTCGTAATGTCTCGCGAGACCGAAGTCGGCAATCTGGAGAATACCTTTGTTGCTGATGAGCAAGTTCGCAGCCTTCATATCTCGGTGGAGGATGTGGTTCTCATGTAGGTATCTGAGGCCCTCGAGGAGTTGCAACATGTAGCACTTTATCTGTGGTATAGTGAACTTGACGCTAGGATTGTCAAGCAGGCCGGAAAGATCATGGTCCATGTACGGTGTGGCCATGTACATGATGGGTCGTTTGCGCTTGTCGGCTAACACATGCGGCGTCAGTGAACCACCTTGACGGCGGGGATAAAACTTGAACCCACTGCTTCTGGGGGGATGTTCTACTGCCATGTCCTCCAGTCGCAAGACATTCGGGTGCGATAGTAGTTTGAGAAGCTTGATTTCTCGGAGGGCCGTGATGGGAAACTACAGGATGCGTCAGTCATAAATGAGGGCCACCATGATGAGTCGGCTCCGTTGCCCTGGCTGTACCTACCCCGTCCTTTTCATTATGCATGATAATCTTCTTCAAGGCCACCATGGCACCTGTCTTCTTTGACTGTGCCCGGTGCACCTCGCCAAAGGTACCCTCGCCCAGCTTGCCCATGAGCTCATAGTCGCTAATCCTGGAGCAGCCCACATAGCTATTCCTAGGGCGCTGGTGTTGGGCTGCGAAGGTGCGAGGTGAGGAGGCAGCACCAGCCTCTCTCGTCGAGGTGGCGCTCATCTTGGCTCAGGCAGTCGTCGTCGACTGTGCGGCTGGTTGCGACGAGATCGAGCGCAAGGAAGCAGAGAGGCAATCATCCAGATCGGTAAATAGCTCGCTCAAGGAGCAACCACGTCATTCCTGGGCATAAGTTGTCTCCAGATGCAGTCGAAGGGGATGGGTAAGGGGTCGGTATGAAGTCGATGCGAAGGAGAGAGGGAGGTTGCTCTGTTGGTGGAATTTCGAGATCGTCACCAATAAAGACCCCTAACAATCGCGGCTGCAGGATATCATTGTTCTTTTGGCGATCGGACGTGCCGTGCACGGGCCTATTCGGCACTCTTTCTAAGTGGGCCCGCACGTTTGTTCCTTACAATTGAGGCATCTCCTGATCCGAGCTTTGGTTTATTCCCACTCGCTTCAACGGCTCACTACACTCGAACAGAAGCTGTGCTCTCAACCGTTGCGACAGTCAATTGTTCGGCAGACTCTGCTTGGAGTCTATTTCAGCGCCTCTGCCTACAACAATCGCGACCATCCTTTCCGCCTCGCGCACGAATACACCTACAATGGCCCCGCAACCCCCGAAGGGCTTCCCGGCCAACTACAGGCCTCATGTCCCTCTTCCCTACCGGTTCGCTGCTACCGCACTGGGAGCAAGCATGTGGTTCTTCGTAAGTTCATCATTGGTCTTCGCTGCATGTATGGACTGTAGTTAACCCATTCGACAGTTGATGTACCGCGCGAAGAAAGACGGTAATTAACCTCGACGGCAACGCCTCATCTCCCGGATGATACTAATTGACGCTACAGGACCGGTACTGTTCGGCTTGAAGCACCCCTGGGATCACTAGACCAACCGTCTGTTGGGAAAATAACGGATTGTACATATGATACGGGAGTTGGCTCCAATGCATTGCGAGTTATTTACGTGGAAGGGCTATCTATGATTGCCGGGATCCCGACACGATTGATCAAGGGAACATAAAGGATATGAAAGACGAGATATTTTGGAGGCAGTGATTATTCACTCATGCGCCAGGCTTCTCGAAGAGATAGTGGGCAACGCCCCATGTATCACCACCTTCATAGGCGAACAATTCAGAGCACGCCATATAGAAGATCTCCCAACGATTGAACCACATTGATGCATTTTCCGTGCCATAGGTTGTCTCCAGATGTGGCCAAATCTGCTTCTTGTTCTTGGACATGTTCACCAACCAGTGCTACCAGAAGATGTCAGCAAGAGAAATGCCATACATGAGAGCAGGTATACGCGGATACAGAAGGCTCAATAGGGATAGGAGAGTGGCTGCACTTACCTCACATGTCTTGGAGTAGTGAGTTCCCGATACCCACCACTGTCTCTGGAGCTTCAGGTCTCGCTGGAAGTAGAGCAGCAGATCCGCCGAGTTCATTGTCCCGCCGGTGAAGAAGTGTGTTGTCATCCAACCCTCCTCATAGTCGTACGGAGTGGTCTTGTGTGTGAAGATGTGGACGAACAGCTTGCCGCCCGGCTTCAGGGCTCGTGAGACCTTCGCCATGAGAAGCTCATAATTCTTCATGTGCTCAAACATCTATATCAAGTCAGTAATTGACAAAAGCGCTGTTTCAATGCCAGCCAAGCCTACCTCGATAGAGACAGCTCTGTCAAAGCTCTCAGGCTCAAACTCATAGTCAGCCACATTACCCGTAATTACAGTCAAATTGGACAACCCTTTCTCCTTTGCTTTCGAATCAATGTACTCCTTTTGAGTCTTTGAGTTCGAGAATGCAACAACTCTCGAATTGGGCAGCATCTCTGCAAAGTACAGACCACCAGAACCCCAGCCACAACTGGACCATAATGTTAGAGACATCTCAGACAGCATATCCATTCAGACTCACCCAAGGTCGAGGATACTCATCCCATCCTTCAGCTCCGCCTTCTCAATGTACGTCTGCAGCATGGCAACCTCCGCCTGGGCCAGCGTCTCGCCACCCTTGGGGTACAGGCACGACGAGTACTTCATCCGCGGGCCCAGCATCGCCTGCAGCACGCCGGTGCCGACCTCGTAGTGCTGCGAGTTGGCGGCGGCGGTCTCAACGGCAATGGGCCGGGTGCGCAACTTCTCGATGAACGCCATCTTGCGCTCGTACGCCGCCGCCAGAGAGACACTCTTGATCTCCTCGATGCGCTCCCTCAGCTGCCGGCGGATGCCTATCCGGATCACGGCATGGGGCAGATAGCCCCCGTCGAGGATTGAGTCCAGCAGCGAGTCTGTGAGTAGGGTTTAGCATTTCATTTCTTTCATGGCCACGTGTGTGTAAGTATCAATATGTAATTACCGTAATTCATCGCGGCGTGTAAGTGAGGAGTTAAACCTTATTACTATGAGTCAAGTACAGGACACTTTCAATTCACAGAAAGCTACTCAAGTGTCAATTGAAACCACTCAAGAGATCAATTGGCAACTTTAACTAACTGACACAGCGAAAGGCATGTCTCCAGTCTCCATTGCACTGATGCGTGCATCATGCCGGCACTGTTTCAAAGCGGACGCCGGAGTCTAAGCGCGTGGGGTACAATCTATGACACCCTCGACTTGCAGCTACCGCATGTACCGCCGATTTTGCGGTGTGAAAGTCTCAGTGGAGATCGAGGCACAAGTGCAAACATCGAGCACTCGTATCAGCTAGATCTTTCACTTAGGATGCTGTGCGGGAGTCATTGAAGCAGGTATTTCTGCGTAGTTTAGACTTCATATGTAGAATTTGTGCATTTAGTCCTTGATGTTGTATACAAACGACCAATTGTCGCTCTCAAAATATAACAACACAGCCGACTATTCAACTGTCCCCTCCCTCGTTTTCTATAAGCGCATCCCTTCCTGTATCACTTTGTATTCTTTCCGTTTCTTAGATCCTCTATTGAGCTTTTGCTTAGTATGACCGATAAATCTGGCTACTCTCTGGAAGACGATGTGTTCGCCCGCCCAGGCGAGGATAATATAAACAACTCCGAGCACGAGGACGTAGAGACTGAAGTGCCTGCTGATATTCGTCAGCTGCATGAGCTTCTTGAGCCAATGCGCTGGTCCGAGGACCATATATATTGTAATTAGTAGCGTAACTGCAATCGTAGAGACGAATGGCCCTATGTCCATGTTAGCGGGATGCAAGGACCGTGTGCTGTGGGTAAACCTACAATTCTGCCAGACTCCTTGTCGGAATGGCGGTCCAGCATTGAGGACGACACCTGCAAGGATATACTCAAAGCAAGATGTCAAGAAGAGTGCCGTGTTCTCCGAGTTCTCAACGTTTGACTTCTCTGGATCGACGTGTGGGGGAATAAACCTGGATATCCATTAATTATCATATTGTAATGACCTGTATCAAATTGCTTACCAAGGCTGCTCCCTCACAACAAGGAAAGCCGCAGTTTGGACAATTATGCAAATGCATATCTGACCGAGGAGAGGTGTCAAGACCTTGCGAGAAACGAGATCTGCAGTGGGTCTCTTGCGACTTAACTCAGGGAACGGTCCTGCCCAACTCACTGCAAAGATGATTAGAATTGTCATGAGACAAGAATCTTGGGAAACTTACTGAATATAGCAATAGGCAAAATCAGAGCCAGATCAATAAACAGAAACTTATATCAAGTTAGCTACTGCAGCCCCCAAGTATTTGACCAAAACTTACCTGGAAGTCTCCAAGATTCGAGGCCGATGCGTAGAGAAAAGTGACCGAGGTGAACTGGATAGCTGAGTATAGACTCATATACTTGAAGCAACTAAAGCTAGTAACGAGAGCAGCCCGGCCCTCCCTGATGACTTCAGGAACGCAAGTAATATCAAACACCCGAGATGTAAAAGGTGCTGCGACAGAAGCTTCTGCCTCCGACAGGGAGATGCCAACATCAGCTGCCTTGAGCGCACCGCAGTCATTAGCTCCATCGCCGCAGAAGCCACAGCAATAGTCGATGCTCTGCAATTTCTCAACAAGCTCATGCTTTTCATCTGGAGACATGCGGGCGTAGATCTTGCCAGTGACGAGCATCCTACGCAGAAGCTCTGGCGGAGCAAAATCAACCACCCAACGGAATACCTCGCCGCTGACGGCAATTGAGTAGTTCCGCAAGTTTGCGATGTCGAAGGGAAGCGAAGCATCGCCTTCAGCTGGCGGAGCAAGTGGCAAGAGAGTTTGTTCATCGAGATGATATATGTTATTGTCGATACTCTCCCACTGAAGCTTAGCCTCGGGATCTCTGAGGTTCCCTTCGACAAAACGCGGGACGAAACAGTGCGCCGTCTTGTTGATCAAGTTGCATTCTCGAGCAACACTGATAGCTGTCAAAATGTTGTCTCCAGTCACCATGACAGCACCGATATTGGATTGCAGTAATTCGTCTAGGACGCCGGCTGTGCTTGGCTTCAGCTTGTTCTCGAAGATAATGAATCCGACGAAGTCGAGGTCAGATTCGACATCAGGACGCTTCATCTTCTGAGCCTTTACCCAGCTGAGCTTCTTGATGTGCCTAGCAGCACATCCAATCACTCTGTAACCCTTGTGTGTGTAATGCGAGAGAAGTTCATCGTAGTCCGGCGGGAAACTCTCAGGTCGGCAAATCTCACGCATGACTTCCGGCGCCCCTTTCACATAGATATCTCCGCTCTGCTGGCCAAATGTTCTTACAATAACACTAGCCCTGCGAAGCTGGGATACGAATTCGAAGGATTTCAAAATACCGAGTTCGAATGGGATGATTTGAGTTCCATTCGTGTCGGTCTCGAGCAGATCCTTCATCGTGGATGATGGTCTCGCAATAGACGGGGACAAGCTCCCTTGGTCCTCATCGTCGTGTTCCGCGTTGCCTTGTTTCCCCTCCTCGAAAGACCATTCCGTAAACTCGAACATCTTCAGATCAAGTGGGTCGCCCACCAGCTCTCCATCAACAGAGCGTAACGAGTGACACGTAGCCATAGTACAAAGTGCCGCTCTTTGAGTATCAAACCCGGCATGACCGTTAGCTGTCTCCGCTTGTCGGCGAACCATGGACGTCGGGTCTGTGAGTATATCACCGAACCTATTTGCCACCCTATCGACAACTCTGACTCCAAGGATGTCAAGCCCATCCTCGGTTAAAGTCCCGGTCTTGTCGAAACACATGATATCTAGCTTGCCACCAACGTTGACTCTCTGCGGGCTGATGCAGAAGATCTGTTTAGTCTTAAGCCGACTTAGGGCAAAGTTGGTGCCAATTGTGAGCGTTGCCGGCAGAGCAGGGGGGACGACAATGGTTATAAGATCAAGAGCTCGAATGACGATCAGGTGCCATTCAAGGCCTAGACGAATGAAATTGATAAAAGATGCTGTAAAGCCAAGCAGAGCAATGCAGGCCATGACAGAGATGTATCTGAAGGAGTCTCGATAGAATTTGAAGCCGGAAGGTTTTGGAAAGAGCATGGACCTGACAAGAGCGCCTTTCGTAGTATTGAAGCCTGTTCTCACAACCATGGCAAGGGCAACAGCCTCATCATCCCTATCATCTTGTGGTCGACGGGCACGAATGATTTTGGTGCCACAGAATAGAAAATGGCGAGCCACCTCCGGAAGGACGTTTGATGCGGACAAGTCCATGGTTCTTAATGACTCGTCCGTGGCAGGTGTCTTTGACACGGGAACAGATTCGCCCGTAAGCATACTCTCGTTGACGATACAATCTCCGCCGAGTAGTAAACTATCACTTGGGAATTGTGTGAGGCCCGGATCGCTGACCTCATAGACATCTCCGGGGACTAGGTCTCCCGATGCGATGTAGCGCCAGAAACCATTACGAAGGACACGGACATCGCACTCGAACCGCGATATCTCCCGAAGTCGCTTCATGGTTGCTCGCGTTTCGATCAAGGTAGTAGTGATACTGCCAAAAGACATCAGGAAGATGGCAATAGCATAGTAATAGTATTCATCCATCGACCATAGCACCAAACTTGCAATCTGGAACACATAGAATGGGTGGAAGACTTCGTCTACCAGGAGGCGGAACACGGATTTTTGCTCAATGTCGATAAGGTTGGACCCAAACACAAGATCTCGGTGGCTCTTTTCTTCACTATCGATGCCCTCCCTGATGGATCGCACGTCTGTCCACAGCGGATCTTTCCATCCATTGCAGAGCTGGAATTTGTCCTTCAGAGGGTGGAAGTAGAAGCGGACATAACGGTAGTTAAGTGTGCGAAGATCGTTTATAAGCGGATCGTCGTCCTCGAGAATGTATCTCGACATCTTGCCAGAAGCTCCAAAAACCGTCGAGATTGGTCTCCCGTATGGCTTGCTGTCCACATCGAGGATCGCCATTTCGTTCCACTGGTTCTCGATAACAACCCACTGACATTTCTGGAGCGTGCTCGGTTTGCCGCATAATCTAACCTGCCAACGGGGCAGCCACCGAAATAGCAGCCATCCGAGACCAAATGTAGCAACGCAGATAAACAAGTAGGCAGCGAAACCGGCTGCGCTGGTACGAAAGCCGGCAATTACAATTGTGAGGTCTTCATTGACCATATGAATCTTCTGACTGAACCGGCCGGCACCGTATGCGCTGCCCTCCGTCATAGTGCTGTCTCGGCGTAGAAGCCTTGAATGAACGGAACCACGGGACTGCGTCGAGGCCCTGCGGTGAAGAACATAGTCGTTATCTGGCGCTCCTCGCTCCAGGTCCGTAGAGTCTTCCTCATCTTCCACGTCCTCCCCAAATGGGATATTGTCTAGGTCATCGTCGTCCCCCCGCTCATCTTCCATGAATGGCGACTGATCCGGCTCATCTGGATAATAGGCAAAGCTCGCAGTCGAGTCGGATCGCATTCGACGATGGTTGAAGGCGGATATACTGGTGGGGAGACTTTCGGCCATTGGGCCAGAATATAGCTTTGTAACAATTCAGAAACATGCCCGGAATAATGTCTACGGTAGGGGATGCATACCTCGTCATGGGCCATCTCGACATCCTCAAAGATACTTGTACTGCTCTGGTTGGAGTCGAGACGGTACAACCCTCCAGGCGGGCGAGACCCTCCTTCGTCCACCTCGTCCATGTTGTGCGCCATGGCTGCGACAGCTGGATCGCGGGGAGGCAATGGTGAATATTCCCTCCTACTGTAGCGAATGATACATTTTCGGCCGCTCAAGTTGTAGAGTGGGAGAAAAAGGGGTCTTGCGGCTCAGCAAATGCGTCGTCTTTGCAATTATTGCGCAGGAACATTATCCATGGGTTCTCGTGAAGATCTACCTAGGTACGTACCGTGTGGAAGCTATCAAAATGCGACGTCATTGGCGGTTTGTGCTGCACCGCCGCCTGTGGCTTGAACGCGTTCTGTGGCGGAAGGACAAGCTTTGCCAAGAGGGGGGTCTACCAATTGCGGTGCTCATATAGCAACACGACGATTCTTCAACCTCTTGAGGTGCTGGACAGCAAAATAGTCCCAGCTTCTAACTGGAACATATTGATACTTGTGAATCTAGTAATCGATCATTGTAGTCAGTGGTAGAATACGCTGGTAATAGACAAGGAAAACTTGTCAGCGTTGATGTACTTTTGCTAGTAGGCAGGCTGTTATCCTTGTTTGTCATTTGCCTCTCACTTTCAATGAGTCGCACATACGGTGGAATTCCTTATTGTGACGAAAGAGGAGAATAGTGTATAGATAGGCCAATGCTATATTCTTATCATAACTTGCTGGAGCCGAAGGAAATTTATTGCTAATCAGATCAGTTGCCACAGTTGAGGGTCGTCCTTGTCTCTGCCATGATACTGCTTGGCTTACCTCCATCGCCATTGTATCAAACTCCTCCTCCGCCAGGGTAATAAACGTTAATTCTTGAAAGGTGAAGAGACTCGATGCTGAGAGTCAAAGTCATAATATTCATCAAACTCTCGAATATTCTATTTATTACTATGGGTCTATTACCTTCTACAAAGGTAATTATGCCTTGTTGAGGAGGTGGTAATAACCCTTGGCGAACTAACATTGATTACCCTGGCAGAGGAGTAGAGTGAGCACTGCCCGGGTTTAAAACAACGGCAATGCTTCACGCAGCTTGTTTAGGCTCACACAGTTAAACCAAAAGAAGCATGGCACTTATATCTTGGTAAATACCTGGACAGCTCAGGCATCTGGGCCAGTCTTGAGTCGTGGCAGTCCTGAGTGGATGCAAGGCCACCACCCCCTTCTATTGGATCTAAGGGTTTGAGAGTTCTAAGGTAGTGCTAGCCAGGTACATGTACAGTAGGGACGGTATCTATCTTATCAGGGAGCGAGCGTAGGGCGGCGATCTAGATTCAGAATGCGGGGCAGACCCAGCAGATTCCTCAAGACCATAGGCAAGGGAGGTAGGTGAGTTGCAGAGTTGAGGAAAGCCAGGCAGTAGTGTATCATGGACGGTGAATATACAAATATCAGAACTGTATGGGAAATGATGCATTCCTGAATAGCTGGATGAGATGGAGTGAATGTTGAATGTTGCTGTCCACGGTTGTGAGGGAGACTGCCGGCCAGGTGTAGGTGGGGGGAGGGATCGTGTAGTGATTTAAATGGTTCCTTTAGGCTCCCTTAGGGTGTCCAGATAGGTGCAGAGTGCAGAGCTTAACGTTCAATATTGGCCCATAAGGAGCCCGGAGTCACCCCTGTGGGCGGTGTCCAGGTGTGCTTTGGGAAGGCTAGACACGGGCCAAGCCAATAAGAAAAATCTTTGGGCACTGAATCCCCCCGCGGGCTGACCACCACGAGATATAGGTAGGTAGGTAGGTATCTGGTAACGTTAGAGGACTGTTATCCCCCCTGTCATAGTGGCCGAGGGTGCGTTCGAGTGAGTGAGTGAGTGAGTGAGTGAGTGACTGTCTCTCAGCGGCCGGCCAGCCAGCTCACCAACAAAACCCAGCAAAAGCGCCGCCAGCGCGTGCGTGCGTGCGTGCGTGCCCGCCAAAAAAACCCATTTGCCTCTCAACCACTGACACACCCCACTTTCTCACACGTCTTTTTCTCCAAAATTTGCATCGCTGTTTCCAGGGAAATACTTAGGGAACCAACCATTCTTCTCCGCCTCCCACAAGCTTCTTCCCAATCTTCGCCTTCCCGATCTTCCCTTCCCTTCCCTTCGACCGCCTCCCTTTCTTCCTCTCACCGACTTCGTCTCCCCCAAAACTCTTTCCGTGAACACTTCTTCGTTTTCCCACAAGTCCCCTGCGAGAGAGAGATCGCAGATCGCATCACCATCGCCATGGCCGAACCCATCAGAAACAAGCGGGCAGACCTCCCCACCGCTCCGTGAGTGCCCACTCTCACCGTTTCCTCAACGCCATTTGATAAGCCATGCCGCGTGCTGTACTGACCTCTGATCCTCACCCAACAGCACCCCTCAGAACACTCCTGCCTCCAATGCTCCCATCTCGTCGCACGCCCAGCAGCCCGGCGTTGCTAGCATCAAGGAAGGTTCGTGTGTTTGCGTTGATTCCCCCGCTTTCTTTCGGCTCAGTATGCCTTCAGAATCGCTGACCTGCAATCCTTGCCACAGAGGACCTGGACCGTGCCGCCGCCGCATCCATCTTCGCCCAGAACCCCAAGCTCGTCCAGATGATCCAGGGCCGACTTGGCACCCTGGTCGGCCGCTCATCCGGCTACATCGAGTCTCTTCCCACCCAAGTCAAGAAGCGTGTCTCTGGCCTGAAGGGCATCCAGAAGGAGCACTCCAAGCTCGAGGCCGAGTTCCAGGAGGAGGTCCTCCAGCTCGAGAAGAAGTACTTCGCCAAGTTCACGCCTCTGTATGAGAAGCGCAAGGAGATTGTGAACGGCGCGACCGAGCCATCCGAGGCCGAGATCCAGGCCGGCGAGGAGGATGATGAGGAGGACGAGGAGGCTGAGGAGGCTGCCGCCACGAAGGAGGAGAAGCCTGCCGAGTCCACCGAGCCCGTCTCTGGTATCCCCGAGTTCTGGCTCTCCGCGATGAAGAACCAGATCTCCCTCGCTGAGATGATCACCGACCGTGATGAGGGTGCCTTGAAGCACCTCACCGACATTCGCATGGAGTACCTTGACAAGCCTGGTTTCCGATTGATCTTCGAGTTCTCTGAGAACGAGTTCTTCACCAACAAGACCATCACCAAGACTTACTTCTATCAGAATGAGAGCGGCTACGGTGGCGACTTCATCTACGACCACGCTGAGGGCGACAAGATCGACTGGAAGTCCGGTCACGATCTGACTGTCCGAATTGAGCAGAAGAAGCAGCGCAACAAGAGTAAGCCGGTGCCTGCCTCTCGGTCAAACTTGCCACTAACAACACTAGACACTAAGCAGACGCGTATCGTCAAGAAGACGGTCCCGACCGAGTCATTCTTCAACTTCTTCTCTCCCCCCACCGCCCCGACTGAGGACGACGAGGATGATGCCGCCTCTGACATTGAGGAGCGTCTCGAGCTAGACTACCAGCTCGGCGAGGACATCAAGGAGAAGCTCATTCCCCGTGCGATCGATTGGTTCACCGGTGAGGCTCTGGCCTTTGAGGAGATAGACGAGGATGATCTGGAGGAGGACTTCGACGAGGATGACGACGAGGATGATGACCTCAGCGAGGACCGGGACGATGACGAGGAGTCTGAGGAGGATGATGTAAGTTTTGTCTGTCAAACATCTACTGGCTTTTTTTACTAATATGTATCAGGACGATGCCTCCAAGCCGAAACAGGAGGCTGCCGAGTGCAAGCAGAGCTAGATTACGCGCTCGCACAGTCCCTTCTGAGACATTCTCTGGCCAGGGATTCGAATCATTCCCCTCTGTTCTCTACATGGACACATCTCATGGTAATAAATTGCTGCTTCGTTTGCAGTGTTCGGTTTGCGGGGCCATGGCTAGCATGGATTTGCCTATAGACCATAATTCGCAAAAAGGGGTCGAGGGTCGCGCCTAGGAGTCACACTGCTTTTCAATGCGCGTGGTTTTTGCACTTGGAAGACTCGATGGACAGACATGTACGTTCTGGCGAGGACTCTGGTGGCCTCCTCGGATTGGTGCCATTGACTGGTTATTCCTCTTCGAGAGCCTGCCGAGTCGAGGTGGGCAAGTGCCCCCTGCATGATGGAAGGTTGCCGGAGATACAGCAGACAGAAAGGCTGAGTGTTCTGCTGTCAATTACCTACTCTCTGCATATGCAACTTTTCTTACAGACATTCTGAGCACACTTGTGACGTGACGGTGAAGCCTTGCAATGATTCCTCCCCTGATCTACAACCACTAACGGCTTCCTTTGCCATGCATCACGTATAAACTATTTCCCGCTCCTCGTGGCGACTGCTTAAGTTGCTGTCGGAAGATGAGTGAGATGTGCAGACCAATACGTGTTGCTTACCTACTCATGTCATTTTGTTGAATCTGGTTTCAAGATTGGGTGGCTACCTCGTGGTGAAAATTAACAGATGACGACATATTTGGTATCAGCCACACGCAAGAAACCATCTAACATCAAGAACAACGCCCTGCAGCAGAGGATGAAGAGAACTTGGGAGGCGATTTATTTGATAGTATAGCCGAAATAGACGCGTCAATCTACCTTTCGTACCGTAGTCTAATACTTACGTTATATTCCGGGATTTGATGTACTGACTCGGGGAAGATTTTTTCGCTGTTAGCTCCCTGGAAACGGAGGCTACGGAGGGAGGACCTTTGTGAGTCAACCCCACCACGCCGCCTTCGACATGCCATGCTCATCCAACGCATGTCTTTAACCCCACTAAGACCCCGAATTCTTCAACTTTGAACTTCATACAATAACGACTGCCCTCTGTGAGTCAGTGAGAAGACAAAAGGCTGCAGATAACATTTCAGAAGATATCATTCGAAGATGGCTTCCAAAGCACAGGATATTGCTATCCCTCGCCAGCAGAGGACCGTGTCTCACAGCCTCAGCATCTCCCCCACTGCAACTTTTCACTCCCCGCCGTCCAGCTTCACCCAGAGCTTCAGTGGAGGAATTGTACGGAGAACAACAGCTCCGAGGAAGGAGCTCAAGCCCTTTGACACTCAGAACATCAAGATTCTCCTTCTAGAGAACGTCAATCAGAGCGGCCGCGACATTCTCACGGGCCAGGGCTACCAGGTTGAGGCACTCAAGACCTCTCTGCCAAAGGACCAGCTCATCGAGAAGATCCGGTGAGTCTTATAATTTTCTGTTGCTCGGCCCCACGCAGCAAGCACATCATCAGCCTTACCATCATGCCCCTCCTCCGCGCCGAATGCAGCGCACTGATTCAGACTTGCTGACGCCAAAAATCAGCGATGTGCACGTCATTGGCATTCGTTCCAAGACAAAGCTGACGGAGGAGGTCCTGCGTGAGGCCAAGAACCTGCTGGTCATCGGATGCTTCTGCATTGGCACCAACCAGGTGGACCTGGATTATGCTGCCAAGCATGGCATCGCCGTTTTCAACTCACCCTTTGCCAACTCTCGCAGCGTTGCTGAGCTGATCATCGCCTGGATCATCACGCTCGCGCGCCAGATGGGAGATCGCTCCCTGGAGATGCATCGTGGCACCTGGAACAAGGTGAGTTCCAAGTGCTGGGAGATCAGAGGCAAGACGCTTGGTATTGTCGGTTATGGCCACATCGGCTCTCAATTGTCCGTCCTTGCGGAGGCGATGGGCATGAACGTCATCTACTATGATGTGGTAACTCTCATGGGCCTGGGCACGGCAAGACAGGTGCCCACTCTGGATGCTCTCCTGGAAGAGGCAGACTTTGTCACTCTGCACGTTCCCGAGACGCCCGAGACCAAGAACATGATCTCAGCTCGTCAGCTGGAGCTGATGAAGGACGGCTCCTACCTGCTTAACGCCAGCCGTGGCACCGTGGTTGACATTCCGGCCCTCATCAACGCCATGAGAAATGGTAAGATTGCCGGCGCTGCGCTTGATGTCTACCCTAACGAGCCGGCTGCCAACGGCGACTACTTCACCAGCGAGCTCAACCAGTGGGGCGATGATCTCCGCCAGCTGAAGAACATCATTCTCACTCCTCACATCGGAGGCAGCACAGAGGAGGCCCAGCGAGCCATTGGTGTGGAGGGTAAGTTACTCGAAACCTAGGTTCAAGACGAAATAGCTGACTCTTCTCCTTTAGTCGGCGAGGCTCTCGTCCGCTACATCAACCAGGGCCTCACCCTCGGCAGCGTGAACCTGCCCGAGGTCAACCTGCGCTCACTGACGCTGGACGAGCCCAACCACGCGCGCGTCATCTACATCCATCAGAACGTGCCGGGCGTGCTGCGCAAGGTCAATGAGATCCTGGGCAACCACAACGTCGACAAGCAGATCAGCGACAGCAAGGGCGACATTGCGTATCTGATGGCCGACGTCAGCGACGTCAAGGAGTCGGACATCAACGACATTGCGGGCAGCCTGGACGGCCTGAGCTCCAAGATCTTGACGCGCATCCTCTTCTAGGCCTGATAAGCTGTTCGAGTGGGAGAGCTGGAGGCCGATTGAATAGGACAGACAATGACTGGTGTGGAGTGATTTTGCATACAAGGAGTAATCAGGTAGTGAAAATTTTCAACAAGGGACGGCCAGCAGCTTTACACTAGATACAACAGGGCGGTGGTGGAGCATTTCAGTATCAAAATGGCACATTGTTTGGCAAGGAGGTTCAACAAAGACCCGAGCTAATATCATTGAGAGAGAGAGAGAGAGAGAGAAAGGAGGACGGAGATTGAGGAAAAACTCATTTCTTATGCAGCCGTATCATGTCAACAGCGGGTGGGGAAATCGAAAACATTATACAGACACGTTATTATACAACGGTGATTACACAAGAAGAGAAGGGGGGGACGAACGGGGGCAGACAATTGGAAACTTCTAGCGCGAACATCGCAATCTGCGCATACCCTTGCTTCACGTGCTCCAACCCCGGTGCCATGTCGAATGGACGAACGAGCCGGTATGCTCTCCGGGCCGTCCGCCCAACCATACGGTCATGGTGAGCGACGGGTAACCAAACGCGTGCTTGAATTTTGTGTGACGCGTTGCCGCGATGCAGTCAAACTTTTTTGGGTGTACTGTACCATTTTCTCTCGTTCTGGTGGTCCTCAGCGTTGCAAGCCTTGGTAAATCCCCGGCAGATCGTTTCAGGGGTTGCAGGAAGATGAGCCGCCCGCCTCGGAATGGAAACGGACAGCAGCCAGCCTGCCAGTACCGGTATCAGATGATTCACGGAGATTATCGTCGAACCGGGTTGGGGGAGTGAAGAGTGAGAAGAAACATTGTGGCGCTGGCTCTTCAGGATGCGTCTGCCCCCCCTTGGTCATGGCTATTCAAAACCAAGTCATCTGCGACTTCACTCATGGCAGAAGAAACATCCAGGACGGCAGATAGAGATAGATACGTATGTACATGTAAATCGCATAGTTGCGCAGGAACAGAGCAATATCCTCTGCTCGAAAGCTTAGGTCGCATGCGTTAAGAGCTTAAGATGTGTGCATTATAAAAAGCCGCAACGACGATAGAGCTGCAAGATGCGGTTCTCCCAGGCGGTTGGGATCTCCCCCGGTCCTGTTTTAGAGTAGGGGGCGCGGCGGGCACCAGCGCTAGGCCCACGCGAGTTGGCTGCCCCTGCAGAAAGTGGAAGTTTCCAAGAAGCGGGCTCCACTTACAGTAAAGTGCAGCAGCTTGCATAAGGTCAAGTAGCTACGTTTATTCGGAGCAGTCAAGCTGGCAGAGTAGGTCAGGACAAAGAAACGCGTACATGTACAAAGTAATGGCTGCATCAACAATATAAGAAAGAGGCTTATTGATGAGTCGAGTCGTCAAGTTAAGCTGAGTAGAGGCAAGGCACTTGCTCTGTCATGTCACCAAGTGAGACTCAGATGCACTGGCCGCCTGCTTGAAGAGGATTGCGTGGATTTGCTGGCTGGCTGGATGGCTGGATGGAGGGATCAGTGCTTCGCCTTGACTTGAACTTGTTCTTGTACTTGTTCCTGTTCTTGATCCCCTTTAGGTCTGTGGTGTCCTGCAGCTCCCATCGGCCGCTGCTGATACATCCCGCATATACACACATACGTACCAGGTGGTGTACTTTGTCGTCGTCGTACATTAGGTGCGGACTGTGTGTGGTCTGTAGACTGAGACATGTACCTCCTGTCACCTACCGTGTAGTGTAGTGAACGGCACCCGACGACCTCGCATCAAGGTCAATCAATCGACCCCAGCCCCCAGACCCCTTTCCCATTTGCTAGTGGGACTCTGGCCCCTGACAGCAGGCATTATTAGCAGCCAACAAAAATCTGGGTGCTGCACTGGCAGGTAAGCAGCAGCATTACTAGCAGAAAGACCGCTACTTTTTTTTTTTGGCCTGTGAAGGAAAGCACGCTGCGCCTGCTGCTTGGGATTCGCGTCGTCTCTCGCTCTCGTCCATCCATCCCATTAACTAACATTAACCTCACAAAACCAACCAACCAACACTCTGGCTCCTTGTTGACTTTCAGCAGTCACACACAGCAGGCCATCAACGACGACTCTGATTTTTGGCTGACAATCCTTACTTACGTCTTCTCTTCTTCACATACTCTTGTTTTTAATTTATTTCATGAATGTCTTCTCCACGTACCCCAAGCCGATCTTGCTGCCGGTAGTGTCTGGTCCTTCCTTCCGCCTCCCTTCCCGACATCCCTAAAATCCATCGCCGACGACGACTGCCCCATCGACGACGACTGACTGACAAGGTCGACGCATCCTCCCTTTCCAGCGTCTGTCCCATCGACTGCCATCAGCACTCCCTTCACCCCCACTGCCCGGGACGCCGTTACATAACCGTGTAGAATGTCCTCAAATTATGACATCGGCACCAGAGCATGGCAGCCCGATGCCACAGAGGGCTGGGTTGCCTCAGAGGTCATCAAGAAATCCGTCGATGGCTCCAAGGTGACCCTCGTGTTCAAGCTTGATAATGGCGAGGTAAGTCACCACTGTGCCGAGAGCTGCACCTACTCCCACGCGCAGTTTCCTGACCACCACCTCAGGAGAAAGAGATCAAGATCTCTGCGGAGGCCCTACAGAGCGGAAACGATCCGTCATTACCTCCGTTGATGAACCCGACCATGCTCGAAGCCAGCGATGACCTGACCAACCTCTCACATCTCAACGAACCAGCTGGTAGGATCACATTCAATACAAATCAACATATTCCCTGAGCTGACACTTGCTTGACCACAGTCCTCCAAGCTATCCGACTCCGATACGCCCAGAAAGAGATCTACACATACTCTGGTATCGTGCTAATAGCTACAAATCCCTTTGCTCGCGTAGACTCCCTCTACGTGCCCGGCATGGTACAAGTATACGCCGGGAAGCAAAGGGCGACACAAGCACCACATCTGTTCGCTATTGCCGAGGAGGCTTTCATGTACGGGCTTGGCGCACTCAAAGCTGACTACGCATAAGCTGATCGATTTCTAGGGACATGCTGCGAGACAACAAGAACCAAACCATCGTCGTATCGGGAGAGTCTGGCGCCGGAAAGACGGTGAGCGCTAAGTACATCATGCGGTATTTCGCGACAAGAGAATCACCCGACAAACCTGGTGCAAAGTCCAAGAAGGGCGCAGAGGCTATGAGTGAGACGGAGGAGCAGATTCTGGCAACGAATCCCATAATGGAAGCTTTCGGTAACGCGAAGACGACTCGAAACGATAACTCGTCACGATTCGGAAAGTACATCGAGATCATGTTCGACAAGGGCACAAACATCATTGGTGCCAAGATCAGAACCTATCTGCTCGAGCGATCAAGGCTGGTTTTCCAACCGCTAAAGGAGCGAAACTATCACATCTTCTACCAGCTCATTGCTGGTATCTCCGAACAGCAACGTCAGGAGCTTGGTCTTTTGCCCGTTGAACAGTTTGAATATCTCAACCAAGGAAACACCCCCGTGATCGACGGTGTAGATGACAAGGCCGAGTTCAATGCTACAAGGGCGTCCTTGAAAACAGTCGGTGTAGACGAGACTTCTCAGACCGAGATCTTCAAACTGCTCGCTGGTCTGCTGCATCTCGGCAACGTTAAGATCGGAGCCTCGCGCACAGACAGCGTGCTCGCACCCACAGAGCCCTCTCTCGAAAAAGCTTGCGCAATCCTGGGTATTAACGCGACCGAATTTGCCAAGTGGATCGTGAAGAAGCAGTTGATTACCCGAGGAGAGAAGATCACGTCCAACTTGACGCAAGCGCAAGCCATCGTCGTCCGAGACTCCGTTGCTAAGTATATCTACTCAAGCTTGTTCGACTGGCTGGTTGAGATTATCAACCGCAGTTTGGCTACTGATGAGATCTTGAGCCGAGTCAGCTCCTTCATTGGTGTTCTCGATATTTACGGTTTCGAGCACTTCGCCAAGAACTCATTTGAACAATTTTGCATCAACTACGCCAATGAGAAGTTGCAGCAGGAGTTCAACCAGCATGTCTTCAAGCTTGAGCAGGAGGAGTATCTCAAGGAGCAGATCGATTGGACCTTCATTGATTTCTCCGATAACCAACCCTGCATTGACCTCATCGAGGGCAAGCTGGGTATTCTGTCACTGCTCGACGAAGAATCCAGGTTACCAATGGGCTCAGATGAGCAGTTCGTAACCAAGCTGCACCACAACTATGCTTCTGACAAGCACCAATTCTACAAGAAGCCTCGCTTTGGGAAGTCGGCATTCACCGTGTGCCATTATGCCATTGATGTCACGTACGAGTCGGAAGGTTTCATAGAGAAGAACCGCGACACTGTACCCGATGAGCATATGGCCGTGCTTCGGGCGACGAGCAACAAATTCCTCAGCTCGGTGCTGATTGCTGCAACACAGGTACGGGAGAAGGATCTTGCATCTGCCTCTTCGAATGCTGTGAAGCCAGCGGGCGGAAGGAAGATCGGCGTTGCTGTCAACCGTAAACCTACGCTGGGCGGTATCTTCCGCTCTTCGCTGATCGAACTGATGAATACCATCAACAACACGGATGTTCATTACATTCGTTGCATCAAGCCCAATGAGGGTAAGGAGGCGTGGAAATTTGAGGGCCCGATGGTATTGAGTCAGCTTCGAGCTTGTGGTGTTCTTGAGACCGTGCGAATCAGCTGCGCCGGTTATCCCACGAGATGGACGTATGAGGAATTTGCTCTTCGATATTATATGCTTGTGCCATCAACTGAGTGGACAGCGGAGATCCGACAAATGGCCAATGCCATCCTGACGAAGGCCCTGGGCACCAGCACTGGCAAGGGCTTAGATAAGTACCAGCTTGGTCTAACCAAGATCTTCTTCCGCGCCGGTATGCTCGCGTTCTTGGAGAATTTGAGAACGAACAGGTTGAATGCGTGCGCCATCATGATCCAGAAGAACCTCAGGGCCAAGTTCTATCGCCGCAGGTATCTTCTCGCACGCGAGTCGATCATCTCCTTCCAGGCCGCTTCCAGGGCTTATGTGGCTAGGAAACAAGCTCAGGAGCTGCGGACAATCAAGGCAGCGACCACCATCCAGCGTGTCTGGCGTGGCCAGAAAGAGAGGAAGCAATTCTTGCGGATCAGGGCCGACCTCGTGCTTGCCCAGGCAGCTATCAAGGGCTACCTGCGCAGGAAGGAAATTATGGAGACTCGTGTTGGAAATGCTGCTCTGCTTATTCAAAGGACATGGCGCTCGAGGAGGGCTCTTCGTTCTTGGAGACAATACCGCAAGAAGGTCACTCTTATCCAGAGCTTGTGGCGTGGTAAGATGGCTCGTCGTGGTTACAAGAAGGTCCGCGAGGAGGCTCGTGATCTCAAGCAGATCTCATACAAGCTGGAAAACAAGGTTGTAGAATTGACCCAGTCTCTGGGCACCATGAAGGCTCAGAACAAGGAGCTCAAGACGCAAGTCGAGAACTACCAGGGCCAGATCAAGTCCTGGCAAACAAGGCACAATGCCCTCGAGGTCAGGACCAAGGATCTCCAAGCCGAGGCAAACCAAGCAGGTATTGCCGCAGCTCGCCTCCAGGCCATGGAAGACGAGATGAAGACGCTTCAGGCAAGATTCGACGAGTCTGCCTCCAACGTCAAGAGGATGCAAGACGAGGAGAGAGCGCTGAAAGACTCCCTCCGAGCTACCAGCACGGAGTTGGAGGTTGCCCGACAGGAAGCTTCACGTCACGAAACCGAGAAGAACTCTTTGCGGCAACAGCTTCTCGAGCTCCAGGACGCTTTGGAACTGGCCAGAAGACAGGTGCCCGTCAATGGAGAACTCACGAACGGAGCTGGTGTCGCCCCAGCTGTGGCCAATGGTCTTATCAACCTTGTCTCTTCCAAGAAGCCTAAGCGACGAAGTGCCGGCGCCGAGCCCTCTCAAGTTGACCGCTTTAGCGCTGCGTACAACCCTCGACCGGTTTCGATGGCTATCACCGGCCGCCAGCAGACCTTGTCTGGCGCCACTTTCATTCCTGGCGTCGACAATATCGAGATGGAGCTCGAAACACTCCTCGCCGACGAGGATGGCCTCAATGAGGAGGTTACTATGGGTCTCATCCGAAACCTGAAGATCCCCTCCCCCAACACCAACCCCCCGCCTTCAGACAAGGAGGTCCTCTTCCCCTCCTACCTTATCAACCTCGTCACATCCGAGATGTGGAACAACGGCTTCGTCAAGGAGTCGGAGCGGTTCCTTGCAAACGTCATGCAGTCCATCCAGCAAGAAGTCATGCAGCACGACGGCGACGAGGCTATCAACCCCGGTGCATTCTGGCTCTCTAACGTCCATGAGATGCTTTCCTTCGTATTCCTTGCTGAGGACTGGTACGAGGCCCAGAAGACCGATAATTATGAGTACGATCGACTGTTGGAAATTGTAAAACATGATCTAGAGAGTTTGGAGTTCAACATTTATCATACGTGGATGAAGGTCCTAAAGAAGAAGCTGCAAAAGATGATTATCCCCGCCATCATTGAGTCGCAGTCACTGCCGGGCTTCGTCACAAATGAGAATAACAGATTCCTGGGCAAGCTTCTGCAGTCGAACTCTGCCCCCGCCTACAGCATGGACAACCTGCTCAGCCTGCTGAACAACGTCTTCCGCGCCATGAAGGCGTATTATCTCGAGGACTCGATCATTACCCAAACGGTCACCGAGCTCCTCCGACTTGTGGGCGTTACCGCTTTCAACGATCTGTTGATGCGCCGGAACTTCCTCTCCTGGAAGCGAGGCCTGCAGATCAACTACAACATTACCCGAATTGAGGAGTGGTGCAAGAGCCATGATATGCCTGAAGGCACTCTTCAGCTCGAGCATCTGATGGTCAGTCACCACTACCTCATTCACTGATAGAGACTTTCATGCTAACAATCTATACAGCAAGCGACGAAGCTGTTACAGCTTAAGAAGGCAACTCTGAATGATATCGAGATCATCCAAGACATCTGCTGGATGTAAGATCACCCCAAGTGTTACCGCAGTTCGTGTTATGTGTTGCTGACTATTCGAAGGCTTTCTCCCAATCAAATTCAGAAGCTGTTGAACCAGTACCTCGTCGCTGATTATGAGCAGCCTATCAATGGCGAGATCATGAAGGCTGTTGCATCAAGAGTGACCGAGAAGAGCGATGTCTTGCTCCTCCAGGCCGTTGACATGGACGACAGCGGTCCGTACGAGATTGCGGAGCCAAGAGTCATCACTGCTCTAGAGACTTATACACCGTCTTGTAAGTTTACTCCTTTTGCCGATTGAAAGGCTCATGCTGACCTATTTACCAGGGCTACAAACTCCGAGACTTAAGCGGCTCGCCGAGATTGTGTCAGCACAGGCCATCGCCCAGCAGGAGAAGTTCGAGTATGGCTCTCAAGGTGGCTTTGAGAATGGCGACCTAGCGGAAGTCGACGAGGCGCCAGAACCTATTGAGGCCAGTGCCTAGTGGGCGCAGCCTGGGCTGAGATCATCGATGCCGAAAACATCTCCCACTGCGGTTCTCCTCTCTGCATTCGGTAGTAATGAAGTCACATCCGGTGATCAAACAGAGCAGGACAACAGCGGTTATCGTTATCGACATATCAGAAGTGAAAGTAATTAGGACGCGGAGAAACACATCAAAGCAAGTATAACAACGGAACGATTGGCTGATTGATTGATTGATTGGGGGACCATGTGTGTCGTATCCTTCCTGGTTATTAAAGGAGGCTTTTTATATGGAGAGAGACAATTGGTTGATATTAGAGATACAAAACAAAAACTCACCCCCCACCCAAACCGGACATTCGAGAGCGGACGAATGGAAGGAGTTGATTGATCGATTGATCGATTGATCGATCGGTCATAGGATGGGACGTTTATTACCCCCGAATGTTCACGATATGAATAAATGCTGTTCGAAGGTGAGAGCTGGATGTACGAGAGATTAGATAAACTCCCAGTGTAGCATTTAGCTGTACCAATTGTCAAAGTCAATACCTACATACCTACCTGTTTACCTATAAACATTATTTCACTACCTTAGGTCTATATCATATGTCTAATCATCGTCTGAGATGTCCTCGTTTTGTGCTGCGCTCTGTGACGATAACGCCCGTCTGCGCTGGTGGTACCGTACGCCGTGCCGCTGTGGCGGGCTGCGGTCCAGTGGAATGGGGGACCGCTTCAGCGCACTGCACGTGATCCTTCAGCGCATGGAAAAAAAGATTTTCTGCCCGGCGCGAGCGAGCAGTAAGGCTGGGCACTCGCCCCTGGATATCAAATTGTTTTCAGGACGATTCTTTTTGTTTTTTTTCCCCCGTTTTCCCCTCACCAAACAGAAAGTTGAGGCTCAAGTGAATCTTCAAACTTTCCCAAGAGAGACGGACTGCCGAGTTGCAACTCTGCCAAACGGCTAGATAAGAGATACGAATTTCTCGAGTCTCGAGTCTCGAGGGTCGAGGGAAGGAAGGAAGGAAGTCAGGACAGAAAGTAAGGGAGGGAGCAAGCGAGAAAGCAATGGCAAGGACGTCGCCCAACATCATCATCACGGGGACGCCGGGCGTGGGCAAGACGACGCACTGCGAGGTGCTGGCGGGGAAGACGGGGCTGCGGCACCTGTCGGTCAACCAGGTGGTCAAGGAGCGCGAGTGCCACGAGGGCTGGGACGACGAGTACCAGAGCTGGATCGTCGACGAGGACAAGGTGCGCCCCCCCCCCCTCCCCCTCCCCCTCTGGTGTCTGGGCGTGGAGCTGCTGTGTGCGAGGACTCCTTTGCTTACATGGTGGTGTAGCTGCTGGATGCGATAGAGGACGAGGTCAAGGCCGGCGGGTGCATCATTGACTGGCATGCGTGCGACCTGTTTCCCAAGAGCTGGATTGATCTGGTTGTTGTGCTGAGGGTGGACTCGACGACGCTGTTTGATCGGCTTACGGAGAGGTTTGTGTTCCCTTTCATGTTCCTGTTTTAGAATAAGGGTAGTGTGCTTTTGGGTGAAATTCTCTAGTTGCTTGTCGCCGAAAGACTCAATCTTTGGGCGGCGTGCAACTTAAAGAGAGCATGAGGTTCACAAGGCAACCGACACAACACAGGAGCATGAGAGCTGACTTTCTGCTAGGAAATACCCCGAGGTCAAGCTGCAGGAGAACCTGGACTCTGAGATCATGGAGGTGCTGCTGCAGGAGGCGCGGGACTCGTACGACGAGGAGATAGTCGTGGAGCTGAGCAGCAACACGAGCGAGGAGATGGAGGCCAACGTCGAGCGCATCGAGCAGTGGCTAAGACAGTGGAAGGAGGACAACAAGCCCGAGACTTGATGTGAGGCTCTCAGATGACAGCAGTTTTTGATTTGAATCAAAAGACAGACGAGCAGTAAGACATGTCAAAAGGCTACACAGGGGAATCGTATGGAGGAAGATTGTCTTGATACCCCTGAAGGCCAGTCCGTCCGTCTAGGCACCCTCGGCACCGAAAGGCAACGGTGGGACGGTGCAGCAAATCGGCGGGGTAGCGCCGCCACCTAGCGGGCTCTTAGCAGCAGCAGTACGGCGGACGCCGAGTTTGATACTGCATTATATGAATGCGCTCCACCTGTAACTTTCTTGACAAATGTGTAAAATATCTGTGTGAGCTGTTTGTGGTTGTGAATAACGCCCTCTCTTCTTCCAATATCTCCAAAAATGCCCTCAGAAGCTCCCACGTCCGCCACGCAAGTGGTCAACTTCATCACCGGCAACAAGAACAAGCTGAGCGAGGTCAAGGCGATCCTCGAGCCGGCGATCGAGGTGCGGAGCCAGGCGCTCGACCTGATCGAGGTCCAGGGCACCGTCGAGGAGGTTACAATAGACAAGTGCAGGAGGGCAGCAGAACTTGTGGGCTGGCTTCCATTGCTATCATTCCTTGAGGACATCCGAGCTGACATTGAGGTCTAGGTCAAAGGCCCTGTACTGGTCGAGGACACCTGCTTGTGCTTCAATGCACTGAAGGGGCTGCCTGGGCCGTATATGTATGCCCCTCACCCTTTCTGATCCGAGACTCACGAGTGTCTCACTTTATTGAGTTGAGAGAATTCTTCTTCTGACGTTGTGCCCTCAGCAAATGGTTCATGGAGAGTATAGGTCATGAAGGTTTGAACAACCTCCTGGCTGCATACGAAGACAAGTCTGCGCAAGCAGTCTGCACTTTCGGATTCTCTCAAGGACCGGGTCATGAGCCAATCCTCTTCCAAGGCAGGACAGATGTGAGTCCTTGGACTTTGTGCGTTCTGTGAGAAAAACGTCATAAGACTAATCCCAATGATCGCATAGGGCAGGATTGTGCCTGCAAGAGGGCCGACAAATTTCGGTACGTTGAAAAGACTTGCTTTTTTACACACTTCACAAAGATACTGATCATGATTCAGGTTGGGACCCGGTGTTTGAATATGACGGCAAGACGTAGGTCATAGTCATACAGTCTTCATTTCTCATACATCGCTAATCATTCGCCTGCTAGCTACGCCGAGATGGAGAAGGCAGAAAAGAACAAGATCTCCCATCGTTTCCGAGCGCTGGAAAAACTACAAGCATGGTTCGCAGACCAGGTGTCCGCCTAGACTTGGGGTATTGTACCTGAAATGACTCCTTGCATCACCCTCGTTCTCGAGGATGTTCCTTTTTGGTGGTATAGAATAGACTGCGCGCAAATTCATTCAAAGATGCCTCACTTCGTGGCTTGTCAGTTCGGTATAAATGCTTCCTGTGGTGGCCGTAATCTACATCATGACATGATTTTAGTGTGGTGCGTCCTCAAAGATGAGAGATGGAAACTTCTTACCTCAAGAGCTCGAACTCACGATATTTGCCAAGATACTTGCTCCCTCTCCTGTAAGGCTTCAAGAGAATGTCGGGGGCTCTGGACTCAAACTTCTTTCCTACTAGCCTCGTGATTGCGCTGTTATCGCGAAACATGGGGTCGAAAACAAGTAGGTTCGCCTGGCCGTTCTGCAACCTCTCAAACCCAATAATGGTCATCGAGTGGCCGGCGTGCTGGAAGTAGATAGGGGGCATGCTGGTGCACCGCACCTTCTTCTCGGGGTCGAATATGGAGGACTGGAAATAGCGCTCGACTTCTTGCAGGAGGAGCTCTTCTGACCTTCCGGGCTCCTTGTTCTTGAACCCCTGAGCGTCGCATCTGCCGTTTCTTGTAAGTCCTATGTGATTTGAGTTGAGTAAAGGGGAAGCTTACGGTACTTGTAGACTGATGAGCATCGCTTGTGCCTGTGATGAAGAAGGGTAAGTCTTGACTCCTTTTGGAGGTTACATGGTAAAGAAAGTCAAAACTTACTTCTGGAGTACCGATGTACTTCCGTGTGCCCTTAACCCCACCCGTCTCTACTCGACCCTGAGAGTTGATGCCGCGATCCCAAGCCTCCTCAATGAAGTCTTGTATGTCGAATATCGAAGGCAAATTGCCATTGAAGTGGTCAGCGCCTTCAAAATTGGTGCCGACAATAAATGAGGACAGCATCTGGATGTTTCGATATCCACAGAAGCCGCCTAAAATCTGTCAATTTGCCGGCCTAGTATGGTAGACGATGCGGATCGCTCACCTTCACGTCGTAGCTTGGATACATGCTGGGTCGAGGAATGACATAGATAAGCATATCTCGTTGACGAGCTTTGGTGTAAGAGCTGCTCGAGCACCGGTATCACACCTAAAGTGTTCGTTAGCAACGAGAAGATTTAGGCCAACATATATTGCTCCCACCCTTTCCGACCACCTGGCCCCGTGTCTGTAGGAGCGTTACCAGCCATTCCGGCATACGCTGCTCATGTGCATATTTGCCGAGCTCGGCTTTCTATAGTTCCAATTAGAACAACGGCCTCGTCTCGAAAATATGAATCAGAAGCTCACTCCAAGTCGTTTCCGCGGTCCCTCCTTACTACCAGCGCCCTCAGTCGTAGTCTCGGACCGCGCCTTGGTGGCCGGCACGCCAAACAGCTTCTTCCATGTTTGGATGGCGCCCTCATTCCGCTTCGTCACCGAGGTCCGGCCGTGCTGCCGCTCTCGCTCCGCCGCCCTCCGCGATGCCCGGGGGTGCTCGTCTCTGGGCGGCGGCACCGGCTGCTCGCTCGCCTCGGCCGCGGCGCCGGCATCCGACTCCTCGTCGTGCAGCTCAAGATGGTAGTCGAGCTCGTCGACAAGCAGGACCTCGCCGCAGCCCTCAACGGGACACTCTGCGTACTGGTCCTCGCCGTCCTGATCCTGGTCCTGGTCCTGGTCCGGTAGCAGCTCCTGCTGCGGCCCGCTGTCCGCAATGAAAGGCGACTTGCCTTCCGCGTGCAGGGTCTCCATGTGCTATATGCAGGGTCAGTATTAAGGTCCGTGAATATGTGTGGTACGGATGCGGTGCGGGCCGCGCGTGCGTGCGTGCGTGCGTGCGTGCGTGGGACAGTCAATACCTACCAGCAACATCTCATACTCGCCAGCGACGGAGCGGAAGCCGCAGAACGGACAGGTCATGACCTCGCCGTCCGTGGCCATTTGTTAGCCTGGTGCGGGCTACCCGCTCGCTATCTCAAAAGGCCAGGCACAGCGGCCGAGTGTCTTGAGATCTATGTGAGTAAGAAGGGGTAATCGTGAGCGAGAGCCGCCAGCTGTCGGCTGAGAGAGACTCTCGGCAGGTTGGGAGGCAGGCAGGCAGGCAGGCGCAATTCGGGGGTTCGGTCGAATCAGAGGATGAAGAAGTGAACGTGTGACCGTTTGACCAGCAAATGCCACAATGGTACGGCGAGAAGCTCGAATGTCTTATGAAGCCAAGTTCTTCATAGGCTTTCAGGCTGAGCGGTCCAGATAGATTGAGGTAAATGAACAAAGGAAATGCTGATTGTGTGTAAGGAGAATGGCGCGTGGCACTGCGCGCACCGCCAACGATAGCCGAAAACGTGCGTGAGCGAGGCTGCGCCAGTGACTTAGTTGGTATGTAGTGGGCTGTTGAGATGATGAATTTATGATGGACTTGCTAGCAACTAGTCTAAACAATAACAGACTTACCGGCGACAGTTGTGTCGAAGTCATTTGTAATGCATGACTGATTTACAGAATGCTCGAACAATTGTGAAATCACTGTTTAATAATTATGAAATAACACAAGTCTTCGATATCTATCAGAAGCTGTATCTGGCTTAGGTTGTGTCAATGCCGCTCTCACAAACCCCATGTGCTCATTCGAAGCAATTTAAGCATTTCAAGGTGCTCAATATTCTGCGAACCTTCCACGAAGGGATTGTTCTATCTCTTGCTGCAAGGGAATTTTTTTAATTATTTTTCAATTGAAAAGAAAAAACGCCAAAAAAACACAAGTCTCAAGGATGGTTCTTCGGCGAGGCGTCATTTGAAATAGTTCATGGTATTATTAGTTAAGACAGGTTGAAGAATTGCAACAAACATTTCAGTAACTGACACCGGTACCCGTATTGCAAGCCAGCCAAAATCCTTACGTTCCCATCCGACCACCCCCAACCCCTTGTCCTGTCATGAGGTAAAACGTATAGTTGAGCCGAGAATTATAGACGTTCGGCTCCACGCAGCAAGGCGTACCACCCACGCAACGTAACCCGCCCCATATAACATGGTAAGATTGCAAGAGACCTGTCACTTCGGGATCGTGTGTACGCCAATCCGCCAGACAGCGGCTCTCTTCAGCCAAAAGCATCTAGAAAAGAGCAAAAGACGCCCATCCCGGATTTACAGCAGTGGGCCCTTCTACAAAACGTATTGATGCTGTCCGAGCACTCAACTCTCGGCACTTCACATCACAGAGCACTTGCCGCCGGCCGGGGCCTCGTTAGGGTTCTGCTGCTTCTCGATCTGGCCGATGAGGAGTTCGAATGCCTTAGAAACGTTCTCATTGTACCGCGCGCTGGCCTCGGTCCACGCGCACTGGTACTTCTCGGCCAGCTTCTTGCCGTCCTCTGCCGTGACCTGGCGCTGCTCGGGGCGCAGGTCACTTTTGTTGCCGACTATGATGATGGGTACCCACTCGACTCCCTACACAACGAACAAGATCGGTCAGCGCCTTGGTGATTTGTCAAGGGCAAAGGGTTCAACTAACCAGGTGATTTAGGATCTTCTCTCGGATGACCTGCACCATCTCGAAGGACGGTAGGGAGGAGACGGAGTACACCAGCATGTAGCCATGGATGCCGATGAAGTGCTTCGAGTTCAAGATGCTGTACTCATCCTGTGTTGGGTATTGTACTGTCAGCTCAACTTTCTCTTTTTCATCGTTCTGCTGCTGTTCCCTGGTACCCCACTGGTTCTCCCGCTTGGAGAAGAACGACAGCAAACTACTTCCATGCAACGCCAGGGTAGGCAAACAAACGCACCTGTCCAGCGGTATCGACGATCTCGGTAGAAAATTCCTGGTTCTTAAACTTGATGATCTTGGAGAAGGTGTTCTCGATGGTGGGATAGTAGCTCTCGACAAAGTGCCCGTCGACGAATTGGACCGCGAGGGAGGATTTGCCTGGAGAAGTGCGCACACGCACATTGTGTTAGTCTACCGAGCATGGAAGATCCGTGATATCGCAAGCTGGGCCACGCTTTCACGTCGACTTACCGACTGAACGACTGCCAACAATGGCGATTTTTCTTTGCTTCGACGGTGATGGCATTTAATTGTGGCGGGTCCCGGCCGTAAAGAATAGACGGGATATATTAAAGATTGAGGTTATTGTTGGTATTTGTATCAAGAGGGCGGCGAACTTGTAGCGAGCGAGATGCTGGCAGATAGGCAGAAACCAAGCAAATCAGTAGAGAGATCTCGAGTTTGGAGGATGTGGGTTTGGGTTTGGAGGGGTTGAGAATATCTCAACAGTATTAAGAGTATGGAAAGGAGATCGAGATCGGAGATCGGCAGGTTGTCGTAATGTGAATTGAGAGAAGCCGCAGAGGAAGCTTGCGTATTGGAGGTGGACTCGACCGAAACGGATGGGAAGACTGACAGATTCAGTTCATTCCTTCCCCCCGCCCCGCCCATCTTTTGGTGGTGACGGCGTGGTGGGGCAGCCAGTCCGTCAGTGTTAGTCTAGATGGGGGGGGGGGGGGGGGGGGCTGCTAACTTACCTCAGATTAGCTAAGTTTGGTTTCCTCACTATAGATTACTCTGTTTCATGAGACTTACTGTACCTACTCACAACACCTACCGCGCAACTTGACTAAGCCAAAGGGTGCATGGGCAGTGAATGGGATGGCCTAGTCCGGCCCAGAACCCCAAGGTTCCCTACGTAGCTTGGGAATGCCTGTCCCGCACTTCTTGCGGCTCAAGCGATCTCAGCTTGTGGCAGTCAGGCTTGTACATGTAGATTCTAGTAAGTGCGTTATTGCCGGAACCGGCCAAGTGCATGTAACCTATCACAGCGCTCCTTGACCCTCTCTACCATACCATACCATATACTTTGAGTAGTTTGCTGACTTTAGCATTGTTTCGCACTTCCCATGCAGTTCCTTTAAAGTGCACGGATTGAAAGTAAGTTGCAAAGACAAGTCATTAATTCTCAATTCGAGCTTAATCGTTTACGTCTTGGGAAAGAGCCACCCTTCAATAGTGCCGCTTGAGTTTGAGATCAAAGGTTAGCTCTCCAAAGACACTGACAACCGGGGGAACCGGGACTCGCTGAACTGCAAGCCTTCCAATCATAGCTGTTATGTAAGAACCAGTGTTTGGGGATTTGTTCCTTTCAAGTATTTTGGCACCACATGTAAGACGTGCTGCGTCTGGAAGATTGCCGTGGGAATTCATGTATATCATTCGCAGAAGCTCGCACCCTTCATAGACTCCGGCCAGGAGTTCATTCGCCGTAAGATCGAACAAGCAGATGAAACGCTCTACTTTAGCAAACATTTGAGCTAGTTTCTTTCTTGCGGTCTTTTGGGTGGCCGAGCTGATGTCGCCATGCCCCTGGAGACATAGGCATTATCTTGAATACCCTCTCAGCAAGCCTCAGGCGCTCAGGGCTGGGACATCCTTCACGGCCCGTAGCATCGCGACTAAAGTCTAAGGTGAGCAACTTGTGACAATGAGAACAGGAGTGCGGCGTTGTATCTTCCAAATTTGTCATAGTTATTATGCCCGTCTTTTTGAGAAGCGAAAGGATATAGGATATTTCAGTGAAGAGACCTCATAACTTTGTGAGCGAAAATCTTCAATTGTTCAGCTTATGATAAGTTTTTCCAATTTCATTGGCTCAGACAGTGAGACAGTGAGTTGCATGTTCATGGTTCAGCCTTGAGCCTTGGTTGCCCAATAAACCGTAGTACCACTCAGACTTCTGCCACTACTGGCAACTGAGGGTTAATCTATCACAACACTTCACAGCGATACGAACTCATCTCAGTACGCCCTGTTGGGACCCCCTGAAACAGCACTTTAGCTAGCCCAGATCATATCATCCTTGATGAAAATAAAACCCATTGCCCTTGCTGTGTGTAGTATTCTGAGGCTCTTGATAAATATCAAATACATAGCAACCATGCCCACAGGGCATGCCATACGCCAGAGGCTGCAGATATGCTCGTCCTTTCCCCCCTAAGTCTATTTCCATCGCTTGTGGTATTGCCAAAAGCCAAACTCCGCTCATTCCTTGGGAGTCGAGATGGATCGGATCTCGAGCCACCCACCGATTGACTTGTTCAGAAATACCTTGTCACAAAATGCTGTGTTCCGACATGCATATCACGTTCATAGTCTCCTTTCGGACGCGGTTCGTGCGTCTATGGTAAATTAAAAGCCTCTCTCCAGGCGGTCTACCAGACCTTGCAACTTCTCCGTGAAGCCGCCATCTCCTCCTCCCTGCGCAGCAAGCCCTTCTGCGACCTTTTTGTGGTACGAGATGAACTCCTTGATCGAGCTGAGCAGAGGCTCGATGTTTCGCCCGCGGTGCATTGAGCCAAATCGATCTCGGATTGGCTCGAACAGCGTGAGGTAGCCCAGCAGCAGCGAGAGGTAACCAAACGCAACGTTTAGGGCTCCTTTCTCTTCCGAATCGGCCTTTTTCAAAAGTTAGCTTGTCATAGCGTATTCAAGGATGGGTGTGGCATACCTCGGCCGTAGCATCGCGGTGGTCCAAAAACAGCTTGATCAGCTTGTCAAGTGGACTATCACCGCTATCCAGGGATACCTGAAGGATGTTACCAGCAGTAGGATCGTGTTCAAATACATTGATCATGACGCCTAGTATAAGAACGAGCGACTGGTAGATCATTGAGAATTTTTCTGGCTCAGAGACGGCCTCCATAGCTCCTTTGAATGTTGCAAAGACTCGCTGCGCTAAGTGACCAAGTATCCCTTTTTGGACAAAGAAAGGAGGTGCATCAGGATTATTGTTCGCGATGTTTAGCGCCATTTTCAAGGCAAGGACATCAATCTCGGCTGCATGCTTAGCCTCATGCCGGAGACATGCGTCAAGCACGTCGCAGACGATGGGTAGATATCTATCGGTCCATTCTGCCCCGACAGCTGTCTGCATGGCATCGACCGAGTAGACCTCTAGTATGGAGAGTGCAAGGAAGAGGTCCAGAGTGGACTGTGGTTGTTCAGGATCCCACCCTTCTGGGTTTGATGCCGCCGAGAGAACGGAAAACAACTGCTCAGTCAATTCAGCAGAATACAAGCCACTGTCCACTGTCGCGCCGCCCGATTGCTGCAGAATTAAATGCAGGGACTTCATCGCTAGAGTTCGAGGCGATAGAGTAGATGGAGAGTATGGCTCCCAGATCGGTAGCGAGACTACTGCCGCCTTGATGCTCAATAGTGATTGCTGCCCATTTCTCGAGAGATTGCTCTTTCTATCCCTAGCAATCATGCTGATATCTAGGGACACGGGAAGGAGATTCCCCAAAGCGACAAGAAAGCCTGAAGTTTCCAGTAATTTGAGGAGATGCGAGGAGCTGGAGGCAGATAGAAGCGTAGCCACTATAGAAGCCAGTGCATATCCTGCTACAATGTCATTCTCCTTCCTGACACCATCAAGTAGAGTGTCATCGCCGCCATGATTCCGGAACTGCCGCTGAAAATTCTTGTCCTGAAGCTTCTGTGCAAGCTCAAAGAGAGCGTTCCTACGGCTTGATGTTGGCTTCGCAGTAGGCTTGCCAACCCTGTCAAGTACATCGTCCATCTCATCTGCAAAGCGGTTATTTGCACCAGCTTGTCTGAGCTCATGGATGCTTCTCATGGCGCTGGTAGAAGATGGCTCATCATCTTCGTCCATAGGAACAAGCGGCGTAATGGTTGCAGTGGGTATGAGTGGTTCATTAAGCAGTAAGTCATCGGCTCCGGGGTCGCCTGACGTGTCCAGAAGCATGGTCCTTTGCTGACTGCCATAGGTGAACTTTGGGCCAGCTTTCTTCTTGACGGCCGATTCCTGGCGCATAAGCACCCTTGCACGCGGCTGATCAGGTAAAGTCGAGGCCGGGCTTGAGCTTTCTCCGAGTCCCGGGAATGAAGGTTCAGGAGTCGACTGTGTGGCTTGAGATGGTTCGTCTGGTTCCGACTCATCTTCCGCTTGTGCTGCGAGAGCATCAATTAGACGACGCCGTTGTCTTGGCGAGGCCTTCCTTTCAGGTTCTCTCTTGATGATGCCCGCACGATCCTTGAGAGAGATAGGTCTTGGTTCAGCCCGCTCGTCACGGGTGGGTCGAAATGGAATTTGCCGCCGGACAGGCTCTTCCTTGCGCTTGTTGACGCTCAGTGTGTTCAGTGTCTTGACTGTTGCAGGGGAAAAAGGCATAGGGTCATATATATCGTTCATGACCGTGTCTTCGACCTTCGGAATCTGCGCAGCAGAAGGAGTTGGTTGTGGGCGCACTACCCTAGAAGGTCCTGCTATGGGTTTGGTCGAATGTGCTCGTGGGGGAGAAGGCGAAGATCCGGCCGGAGGATCCCATATATTGTCGGAGGCAGTAGAGTCTGATGTCGAGAGCTTCGCCTTTTTAGCTCGTCCATTTTCCTCAAAGCTGACTGTTCGAGACACCTGATTACTAGATATGGTAGGCTTCGGTTGCTGCGGCCGGACTAAGTCTTTGCGACCGTACTGCTTCGGCTTGTTCTCAGTCTTGGTTACCGGGCGCGTAGGCTTGTCGTCGGGGACTCCTGAGGATTTCGCAACAGGTCGCGGTGCAGCAGGCGGCATAATCAGGGGCTCTTTATCCAGTGAGAATATTGACCCTGACGGAGCCTGTTTCCTGGCGCCCTTCCCATATGTGGCCAATTTCCTCTTGGGCGGCGGCAGGCTCGAGTCGCTCCGCGCCGCCATCATTTCAACCGTTGCGCAAGTACGATGTTGTTGCGAGACCGTTAGGGTAAAGGGTGGAGTCAAGCGAATTCAGCCGGCGACATGGGATAGTTGACTTTGAGGCGGAAGATCAGCTCGAATCTCTGGTCTTCATGCGAAAGCGGCTGTCGACATTCGTAGCAGATCGCGAGTTGAACCCCACGCGACGGACGGATTTAGGAAATATTCGGAAAGACGTCCTAGTTTTATTTGACCGGAGGGTAAGTAGAGTCAAGTTGTGGAGGGCGAGATGCAGGGTCGCAGTTGCTATCTCAGCGAGAGTGTCGTTGGAGAAGTTGCGTGGCCCCCGAGGGTGAGGGCTGTGAAGTAAGTCGCTCTTGGGATATATTTGTTTTGTTTGGAGGAGACAGCGCCGGGGGGTGCTTCTACGTTTTCGGCCAACGTCATTCGTCCTGACTCGCCGGATTGGTTGGGCTGCGCTGGGGGGCGGGGTGTCGTTAGTGCTGCCGCCTGCCGTCGTTGTGAGACCCTGCTTAATAGTTGGTAAACGCTGCTCTTTCAAGAGTCAATCGTCCCAAAACACCTTTGAAAGGAGCGGTGCTTCTCTTGAAACTTGCAAGTACAATGCTTCCTAGGGTCACACGGCTGGGTACTATGATAGGCTAAGGAAAACTCATTTCGAATCGGTCATCCAGGAGCCATTACGGCTTGTAGGCTGATGCAGACCAGTTCAGACGTATCTCGGTACCCATATGTTACGTTCTAGAACATATATGTGAGCACGTCAAGACCCGTCAGATCTATTTGACATGAATCTCTATTGTCTAGCCAGCTGCGGCATGGTAGCGTTGTAAGTCTCACAATTCCTCGCCTAGATATCTAGAGTAAAGGTAGTCTCGAACAGAGAGGCTCTGGTCATGGTGGCTAATAAAGAACAATGCTGGACCAAGCTGCCCCTCTGAGTGGGGGTTTCCATCTAGAGATCTTGCTAGCGTCCAGGGGACCGCCGAGACCTACACTAACCCCATCGTCGTATCGGACAGCTCCGCCAAAGCAGCATACTTACCTTACCTTATTACTTAACGCACCCTAACCTCGCTGAAGCACGACAAAGAAATTGCAGGTGAACGGATCCAGCTCCTTGGGGATATCTCAACTATTCAAACGGTCGGCCGGCTGTAGACTGTTCACGGGCGTCCGTCCGTCCGTCACCTCATTGGCCACAGCCCTCCCCTTCCAATACTTGAGGCTTCTGACATCACGCCCGCCCCCGCCATGTCGTCCAGAACCCAGGGGGCCACTGCTTCCCCGTCAATTGCACCGACCAAGAGTGTTGGCCCTGAATACCGATCAGAGACCCAAAAGCCAACGGCTACAGTGTCCAGCAAGGTCAAATTCGACAATGTCACCGTCCTGCCTCAGACGCCACAGCTTATCGCGCTGCTCACGTGAGTTCCTCCTCGAGCTAGAGATGGGGCTTGAACTCTACTTGATGTCAGAACAGGAGAGGAACTCATGCTTACACCGTGCTGCAGCATCATCCGTGACAAGAACACGGAACGGGGAGACTTCATCTTCTACTCTAACCGGATTATTCGTCTCCTGGTTGAGGAGGGCTTGAACCACCTGCCTACCGTCGAGCACACCGTCACGACCCCCGTAGGCCGGGCCTATGATGGCCTCATGTTCCAGGGCAAGATCTGCGGCGTATCCATCATGAGGGCTGGAGAGTCCATGGAACAGGGTCTGCGGGACTGCTGCCGCTCGGTCAGGATTGGCAAGATCCTCATCCAGAGAGACGAGGAGACCGCACAGCCCAAGCTGTTTTATGACAAGCTGCCCGAGGACATTGCTAGCAGATGGGTGCTTCTGCTAGACCCTATGTTTGCAACTGGTGAGCTGCAGTAACTAAGTTTGCGTGTGCCTTGCCCCAATGGCTAATATCATGTCTCCTAAAGGTGGATCGGCCATCATGGCTGTTGATGTACTCAAATCAAAGGGCGTCCCTGAGGAAAGGATACTGTTTCTCAACCTCATCGCGAGCCCAGAGGGCATCAAGAGATTTGCGACCAAGTTCCCCAAGCTACGGGTCGTCACAGCCTTCGTTGATGAGGGACTCGATGAAAAGAAGTTCGTAACCGTCTCTCTTATCTTACACGGGACCCCCTCGCTGACAGCCCCTTCCTAGCTATATCATTCCCGGCCTCGGCGATTTTGGCGACAGGTATTACACTATGTAGTTAGGTAGAAAACCCATACCAAAGAAAGAACACCGCCAGAAACACCGCCGAAGTAATCATTCCAACCCCATTTTTTTCCTCATACGAATGGAACGTGCAGACAAGGAATTCGTAGCCTCCCGACTCGCTAGAATAGATGACGTGCCGTGGTGGTAGACCTCAACCTCTAGTCGTCGTCAATCACATCATCCGCCACAATCCCCTCGCCCTCGTAGTCATTGCCCTCGTCTTCCTCGTCGACATGTTTGCGGGCACCAACACGGCTTGGGCCGTCGTAGATTGGCCTGCTGGCGGAGCCTTCTTCCTGTGCGACGGCATCTAGAGGGAACACAAAGTCAGAAAATGCGTGCCGCATCGCGATGGCAGTAGCTAGCTTACCAGCAGCATCGACCCATTCGCCATACACATCAACAGCAGCGGAGAGATCTATCAGCCCGTCAGCGCATGCTCGTGAGATCTGTACTAATACATGAATGCTCCGTACAGTTTATGCCGCATTGAAACCTCTGCCCGCAGACTTTGCACTCGAGCGACCCGATGCCGGCTTTCTTGTCCAGCTTGACGGTTACGGAACTCTCGTGGTTACAGAACAGGCAGGTGAAGGTTCTCGGGAGGGGATCGACCTAGAGCATATATGGTCAGACATGAGGCCCAAAACATTGCAGCGGATTGATTCGTGCCTTCTTTGGGCCCATGGGCTTGCGGGAGCTCTTCTTGCGCTTTCCCATGGTGATGGCGATGCGATGCGACGGGCAGGAATGAGAGATGTGCAGCAGCCAGGCGCAATCGTCAGAGAAGCAGCGTGAGTACGCGATCGCTTCTATTGGAGAAGGGGGAGACAGCCGAGCGCTCTATTAAGATGCGGCTGTGGCTGTTGTGATGGGACCTCGGAAGCGTTGAGGCTCGTGGGAGGAATGAAGCTTCCAACGTCGCCCCGCGAAAGTGTTGTAGTTGGCGGGCTTCAGGGTTGTGACCAGGCTGCTGCAGGTGGTCCGTGCACCGAAAGGTGTGCCCCGCCTCACACCGTACCGTGCTATAGGTACCTAAACCGCCAGACGATAGCTGAAGTGCCCATCCGAACTGTTACAACTCAACTTTGATTACTTCAGATCAAGATGAAGAACATCTGAATTGTGTATAGTACTTAAGGAGAAAACCAATGGCTTGGAAATGTCAACTTTTGAGACCTAGGACATATCTATGCTCAACCTTTGTTCATCATTAACTTTTCAAAAGCAACCTTATTGCAACTCATCTGCAACTCATATGGGGTATTCTCAACCAGTCGTCATCTTGCTCAATGTCAACATCCTCCTCAAAACAAGATCTATCTTTTACCTTGTTTCATGCCCTAAGAGTGTTAAGCAAGCACCGACCACAGGTAGTAACGCCGCCATCGAAAGTGGTATGAGTCCAACACGTGTAGCTTTCAGGTGCTGTTAGCGCTTAGCCACCGGACCCATCGGCCACTTTAGCGGGCTACAGGGGCTTTCCAGCCAAGCGGAAGCCCCGCATCGATTACCGCAGCCTCCACTTACCTCCCTGATAGCACTGTCCGGCCGTGCCCGGTTCACCGATAACGTTCCCCGTGACCTGTTTGTTGGAGCTTGCTGCCAACTCCCACTCCTGATTTGTTGTTCTTCAGTAAATTCATCACCTGAGAGCTCCGTTTGTTCTATTCCGTTCTAAATAGAGGTTGTTTGTTTCCCATCAAAACGCTAGATCCCTACCTTGGTTTGTATTCAACGTGTAAGTTAATGTCCCTTCACCTGCGGGGCTCCTTGTCTTCGATACGGTATTGACGAGTAACAGCAAGTCTATCGTCAATTCTAAGATATAACTCATCTTGGATACATCTGCATCTGAATAAAATATTGCCATAGCTCTTGAGAATATCAACATCCAAGATCTCTCCCATCATGGCTACCGTTGGCACACAAGTCGGGCAACAGCCCACTCTCGAGGATGTGATGGCCGCTCTGAAAGTCATCCAACAAAGCCAACATGATCTTGCGTCCATCGTGGAGTCCATGTCCTCCCAGGCCAGTCCACCGCAGGGGCTTCGTTCGCCTGGGCCCATCACTCGCTCTGAAGAGTCCGAGAACGCCACAGCAGCTTCGTCCGCGTACGCTCTAGAGTCCAAGGCAACTGCTACACCCCCGCCCGTACCAGGAGATGTGGCCCCTGAGACGTCGGGTGGCTCGGGGTCACCAGGCCTGAAGTCTGGATTCACTTCTCGCATCATCCTTACTACGTACCCCAAACAGATTGGCATCAAGGCGATCCCGCTGAACTGGGGTGCGGCAGACCCCCAGGAGAGAGGTCCGGTCGTGGTGTCTAGGAACGCGGCAACGATCCGCCGACGCAATGCCATTGGCGCCCACGGCGGCTCCTACTCGATCTACTACGCTCTGGCCCTGGCCAGCAAAGAGCTGAAGTCCGACCACAGGCCGGATTTCACGAATACGGAGCCTGCTGCTAACATTGGGCCCTTCCCCCAGTGGGGAGACAAGAAGAAGATCGTTGCCATGGATCCGTGGGGTCATTTGGCCCCTTGGTTATTCAAGGATATCATAGAAAAGGAGAATGTAGACATTCGACCCACAATCGCTATTACCAGAGCACATATGAAGCTGCCTGAACTTGAGGACAGTGTTCGGAGTGGAAGGCTTGTTCCAGACGGCAAGATTTGCTTGAATGATTCCGGAGAACTGGCTGTCACGAAGTTCGCGGTCGAGCCGGTAAGATAGGTTAATGTAGGGTGCTGAATCTCGCTGATTGGATATAGGTCTGGTATCTGCCTGGTGTCGCCGAACGATTCGGAATTGGTCAGTTATCAACAGTCTAGTCTTTCTTCCGCTCGCTAACATACCGTTACAGATGAAGGCACTCTGCGACGGTCTCTTTTTGAACACACTGGAGGAAGTTATCCGGAGGTTCGTGGCCGATCCTATCGTCATAGCTCACGGCAGTTCACTGATATGGGCACAGTTGATCACACGAGGTGATATCAAGACGTTCTTGCCGCCAATTGGTATGTGACTCACCGAGAGTTTGACGAAGTTGAGCTTCTAACTTTCCTAGGCGGACTCACTGTGTACTGTTTTGGAGATCCGGCAAAGATGTCTGACCCGAGTAAGCGGCTTGCGTTGCGCATACACGACGAGGTAAGACAGCGTGGGACATCCCCGCAGTATTCAAGACGGAGTCTAACAGCAACTTAGTGCAACGGCAGCGACGTTTTCGGGTCCGACATCTGCACTTGCAGGCCCTACCTGATCTTTGGAATCGAGGAGGCCGTCAAGGAAGCTCAGAATGGCGGCAGCGGAGTTGTCATCTACTTTAGAAAGGAAGGCAGAGCTCTCGGCGAGGTCACAAAGGTAAGTCTTTCAACCCATACAAAATCCTAGATGAGTGTGACTAACAATCGGACAGTATCGTATGTGCAATAAATGCTCCCCCTTAAACATGACCAATCAGCAGCCGTCCACCGGCACTAACAGAGGTGTGCAGTCGTCTATAATGCCCGAAAGCGCGGGGAAGACCGGGCCTCCGACTACTTCAAGCGGACCGAGAACATTGCCGGTGTCAAGGACATGCGCTTCCAGGCTCTCATGCCGGATATCTTGCATTGGCTCGGCATCACCAAGATTGACAGGATGTTGAGCATGAGCAAGTGAGTTTCACAAGATAGGACCTTCGATCCGCTTATCCGGGCTGACCAAACGTTCTACAGCATGAAACACGATGCGATTGTCGGCCAAGGGTAAGGGGACACGCCGCTTGGCAGTAATGAGAGGTTGCAAGAGAGGAGCTAACTTGCTTACAGTATCCCCATCCACGAGCGCGTGGAGTTGCCCGAATCTTGGATCCCCGCAGACTCACGAGTTGAAATTGATGCGAAGATCACTGCCGGTAGGACGAGTCACTGTCGGAAAGCCTCTCCTTTGGTGCATCGCTGACAGCTGTCTTCTCACAGGTTACTTTACAACCGGACACCGCATGACTGCTGAAGAGCTGCAAGCTGTCCAGGGAAGAGTGTGGGAGGAGTAAGCTCTGCCTCTATCAACCAACGAATAGCGAAGTTCACCGCTGACGTAAATATAGTGTCGACCATTAAGGCCCGTTCCGAGCCAGCCAGGGCACCCGGAGCTTTCCCCTTCCCAGTATGTTGCTCTGGCGATCGGCCATGTAGCTGCCCCCTGGAGATCTCAACCAATCTCTGCGGCAGCGCGCATTGTTATCTGGAGGGTAGGTTTACCGTTAGAAGATAGTCTCTCTAAATCCAAAGTGTTTGGCTAGATGTTGTAAAGCTCTCCCGCAAAGCTCCCACGCCCCCACAGAATGAGTGAAAAAGCCGTCAACTCAGCCGCAAGTCACGCGGCTAGTAAGATAATTCTTTTTTGCGTGGCGGTCCGTGGCATCGTCATGTCACGTTGTCAGCTCTGCAGAGTTTTGCAAAGTCGTGCGTTCATCGCTCGATGCGACAAACGCACTCGTGTCCAGTGTAGATCTACCCAAGCTGGGTGAAAAGGAATAAATTCCTTCTCCGCCTTTGACGGTGTGTAAGTCGGAACAGCACACCCGCCTAAACATAGCGCACAACTCAACGTCCGATGACGTCCGATTAGCGCGCCAACCTACCTCTCAAAAGTTTCACCGGGCTCATAGTACCGGATGAGTGTCTAGAAACAGAGAAGAGGGCTTCCCATTACCCCAGGTTGTGAAAATTCGCGCAGGCTCGTGGGTTGAAATATCATGTGTTCAACAGGCAACGCCGTGTCCGGATAGCATCTTGCAAGCCAACCAGTTGGTTTCCGCCTGCGGGTTGTTGCTGACAGCCGAAACTCATTCGACAACCCAAAGACCGGGGGAATGGCACAACAGCATTTCCAGTCAGGAAAAGTCGGTTGACTTCGGAAAAGACCACTACCTGCCTGCCAATGCACTGCACTGGCGCAAGCGGTACGTCCAGCGCTTTTGGCTGTCGGTAGGTAGGGGGCGCAAGTTGCAGAATTGCCATGCAGGAAATTTGAAGTGTCGTTGTCTCTTTGGCTGCGGGAAGATTCCTAGTCTAGACGGGGCCTATATCTTTTCCCCACCCAGCCAACTCCCCCTGGGGGCGGCCAGTCTCTCAACCCGCCAACCCACCCGCCAGCACGCAGTCGCTCACGCTGATTGCATGTAGCCATAGGTTGGGACTGGGTCCCGAGGACTGGACCTGGACCTAGACTTATGCATGCCTGCCGTGTGTGTGCCCAAGATCAGGAGTCACCCACCTTGCCCCATTTCTACCTTCTACCACACAACAGCTCGTGCATATCTCGTAATTGCCTACTACAGGCCAGGGCTAGTGTGGTTGCACCCAAACCATCGACTGACAAGTGGCAACCAGGCCGAAAGTGCCGGGTTTGGATGCAAGGCTTGCAGGGGCGTTATGGGTGCGCGACCATTTCAGCCCGAGTTGGCGGCCAGCAGGGCGGAACGGTCATATATGACCATCGTCACTGACTAGGCAACCTTGAACTCTGATACTTGCCCATCCATCGTTGTGTCACCATAGTCCATGACTTTGCCATCTGCGTTCAACACTCGTTCATCTCGCGAACGGTTCGCAGTCTCTGGTGATACCTTATCGCAAGCAACAAGCTGAGCCATTAGGAGACAAGAAACAGACATGGCGTCATTGTCGCCCGACTCCCGCCGCGGAATGCAGAGGAGGGACTCTTCGAGATCAACCAGCAACAGACGGCCAAGGTTGCTGCGCGCCAGTGCTACTGAGCCTTCCATCACCACCTCCAATGCGAGCAGAGACTCCTTGGCCAACTCTCAGTCAAGCCGACGGGCAACAGATCTTCTCAACCGGGTGGCGTTTGTCTCTGGTTCGCCGCCAGACTCGGTCTATCACCCATCATCACCACTCTCTCCACGGAGCCCAGTATTGGGTCCGCCAAGCAGGACAGAGCAGCTGGTGTCTAATGTTACACACCACACTGTCGACCTTGACGGTTTCCGTCCACATCTCCGTACGTCTAATCAACCTATCAACTCCAGAAGCCGTCGACTGACGAGGATTGCAGACTCCGGACGCTACTTCAGCTTCCCCAGCTTTGACACCTGGGAGGGGGACCAGCAGGACGAGGAGAAGGAAGGCGAGATGAAGTCTCCGTGATGAGTGAGCCCGAGCTATCTCCACCTAGACGGGCGAGGAGTAAGCAAGCTCCTCTACGACCGAGCGGTCCACAACACACCACACCATACAACAAAACGTAACTCAGATGCTGTTTCTATCCGGGCCTCGAGCGAGGCACCAGGATAAGCCCCTATGGGAGCATTCGGGTGATCCTCAACAGGATGATCCCCACAGTGACGAGCCAAGGAGAGATGAGACATGAAGTCATGACCACCTGGACAGGACACAGGCAGGGAGGCATTGCATGGGATGAACAGGGCTATACATTTGGCGTTGATACCGGTACATAATTCCTGTATATTTTTTAATGTCCGCCTTTTTTCGTCGGGGAGGAACAACGCACAAAGAAACAAAGACGTGTAATACAGACAGGACAGTGCAGAACAGCGCTCCGCCCAGAAAACAGGTTGCGGAGACACAACTGAATAATACCCACTACCACATTGAATATTCAAGCACCCGACTGGCTGGTCGTCTGCACTTGCATCGCATGGCGTTGTTCCAGGGTCAGGATGGTTGTGCTTCCCGCCGGTTCCTGGGACCAGTCCAACTACGGACAGCGCCCAGACGCAAGCTCAAAGCCTATGACACGTTGCCGTAATCGAGATGAGGTCGAAATAAAGAGTGGACACTGGTCGAGGCGGTGAGGACATCCCTGGACGACCACGCTGCAAACTAGTCTGGAAGGAGAAGCAGCGTTGGCACTGCATGACTGATGTAAACGCGCAGCTCATGAAGGCTCACGAGACAAATTTGGATGAAGATAGGGGAAAAAGTGATTCGCCAATGTGAGAGGGTGCTCACCGAAGATGCAAGGTTCTCGGACACGGTGACGGTGCTATCAAATATGTGCGCAGTACCCATGCATTCTAGGCGACGATCATCTTGGACGCCGGTGTAAGCAAAAGACTTACAGCGATCGATCAGAGAGACCTTGTTGCCAGAAAACGCTATTGCCATATGCAATTTGTTGTCAAAGGCTCAAAATTTGTATTCGAACAAAATAAAGGTCGGGAGCTTTGTCAAAAGACTTCTGATTTGCTAAAGAATCCCATATCTAAAGACCACGAGCGTCTCTGCATCATTAGAATGTTCTATTAGCAGCGTATTCTTAATTGCGATGGACCACTTTCAGCAAGAAAGTCAACTTATTGTCGCCCTTGGGTGACTAAGGTAGAGTCGAGAAGCTAAGGGATTCGAGAATTCCAATGGTTGGGTCTCGGGAGTCGTTGGAAGCCTTATGTAATCCTGGCACCCATCTTTAAGTCACATGATCTGCCACATGAGCAGAATTTTTATTTTCGGTAGCGGATTATGTAGACGCCGCTACGGGTCCTGACTGCTAGGGTTTTTGGCACCACACCAAAAATTCTCCCCGCCGAGGAGTGCACTCTTGACACCCCATCACCAACCACACACAATCCTCCATCTTTGAGACAGGTCCTCACAAAGATGGCTGTTGGCAAGTGAGTGCATCATCCCCATTGGATTCGATTCGATTATCTGCGAGCATTTCGCAACGAAGACGCGCCCGGAATATATCAAATGCTGACGGAGGTTCTCGCTGTAGGAACAAGAGATTGTCCAAGGGCAAGAAGGGCCTCAAGAAGAAGACCGTCGATCCCTTCTCCCGCAAGGACTGGTACGGCATCAAGGTGAGAAATTTGACGCGTCGTGGTAATGAGCGAGAGACAATTCTAACTTTGCCTCCCACAGGCCCCGGCTCCGTTTAACATTCGAGAGTAAGCATTCAATTTGACGGAAGGAGGATCGAGGGTAGCGGAACGGTTTCTAACGTTTATCTCGCAGTGTCGGCAAGACTCTTGTCAACCGTACCACCGGTCTGAAGAACGCCAACGATGCGCTGAAGGGCAGAATCTTCGAGGTTTCCCTAGCCGATCTCCAGAAGGATGAGGACCATGCTTTCCGCAAGGTCAAGCTCAGAGTCGACGAGGTTCAGGGCAAGAACTGCCTGACCAACTTCCACGGCCTCGACTTCACATCCGACAAGCTGCGATCCCTTGTCCGCAAGTGGCAGACCCTCATTGAGGCGAATGTCACCGTCAAGACCACCGACGACTACCTCCTCCGCCTCTTTGCCATCGCCTTCACCAAGCGACGACCCAACCAGATCAAGAAGACCACCTACGCCGCCTCTTCCCAGATCCGTGCCATCCGAAGGAAGATGACCGAGATCATCCAGCGTGAGGCTGCCAGCGGCACCCTCCAGCAGCTCACCAGCAAGCTCATCCCTGAGGTCATTGGCCGTGAGATCGAGAAGGCCACCCAGGGCATCTACCCCCTACAGAACGTATGCGGCCCCCCTAATATCAATGATTTACCAATACTCAGGATGCTGACTGAATTTTTTTAGGTCCACATCCGCAAGGTTAAGCTGCTGAAGCAGCCCAAGTTCGAGCTCGGTACTCTGCTCGCCCTCCACGGCGAGTCGTCCACGGATGAGCAGGGCCAGAAGGTGGAGCGCGAGTTCAAGGAGCGTGTCTTGGAGGAGGTGTAAAGGGTTGTTGACAGGAAACGGCACGGGCATGGTTTCTTTGAGCAATACCTCTCTAGGGCATAGGGTCTTGCTTTCTCCTGCATTTGGCGTGGCAAACATGGTGAATCATGGTTGATACGTGCGCCTTCCCGAGAAGGCGGGCATGAAATAAAAGAATTACAAAAAGTTTGGTCCACGGCTATATTGGCATCATGTTCTGGTGTCTCCTGTGCTCTCCGACTGAGCATGCGCAAGTATCCGCATTGTGACAATCGTCTGAATATTCCGATGCAAGCTCAGTTCGTCATGTCCATGTCCTCGAAATGTCTTGACAACTAGATTCACTGAAGAAACCCTGTAGATTATGCAAGCAATCAGGAGAAGCCTTAGTAAGATATTCTTTGGATGGGATTTCTTATCCAAAAAGCCCTGTCTATCATGTGCAAAGCCTTAGGGATGGATTGACTAAGGTCCCAAGTGGTTGGATCCGTCCTCGAATCCTGGCTTTGTCGTGGTATAACGTCATTAAATCGTTGGGGTGGTCATGAGCTGCCTGGCCGGGTCGTTTTGGAGGGGCAAAGTTTGGCTGGTGAACTCCCAGTATCAAATGACTAGCCTAGAGCCGCGGTCGCCAACGGTCTGTTCGGAGCTCATCCAAACATATACCTACCTCACCGCTGACGAAATTCCTATGATACCCTTTAGACTTGTTTCTTGTTATAGCTTGCATTCACCATTTGTCTTTTAATCTGTTATCCCCTCAAGAGTGATAAGATGTCTTCTGACGATTCGCTGCCCACCCTAAAGATCCTGTTGATCGGACCGTCGGGCGTAGGCAAATCGGCGTGTAAGTCCACAGCCTCAGCCTCCAAGCAAGCAAGCTGCTCAGATGATAAACAGTATTGACGAGATATTGCGACGATGCATTTGAACCCGAGCTGGCAACAGCTACGATAGGGATAGACTTTAAGGTTGGTTATGACCATGCCGACAGATGCAGCTCTAGCTTAATTGCCGGCGACTTTCACATGCTTAGATTTGGGGCTTTTCAAATATGATACTAACATTCGACTCTTCGCGCTCTAGATTAAGAAGCTCTTAGTAAGAGGGAAGCCATATCGATTAACTCTCTTTGACACCGTGAGTCTAATTATCTCGATTTGTGAGCAACTCTGGAGTGTTTCTGACTATGCTGAAAGGCCGGGCAAGAGCGGTTTCGCACATTATCAACTAGCTACTACCGAGGCGCTCATGGAGTCGTCCTAGTATACGACATCTCGAGTCGGACAAGTTTCAGCTCGATGGAACGATGGTTTGATGAGGTAGAGATGAACACGGTGCCTGGTGTGGCTATGTACCTTGTAAGCACACTACCAAGGATGCCTGCATATAGACTCGTACACCTTATTGACCCAAATAAAGGTCGGATCTAAACTCGACAAAGCCGAGACAAATCGAGCAGTATCTGAACTGGAAGGGAGGACTCTGGCGGAAGCCCATGGAGCTCGCTTCTGTGAGGTTAGCTCCAAAAGCCGCGAGAATATCAGGAAGCCGTTCATCGAGATAGTCGACACGATCGTTGGGAATCCCGAGCTAATCTCCACAGCAAACTCGGGCCGCAGTCCAGGGACAGTTGCGTTGGGCTCAGAATCAGGCTACTCCCGCTATCTACCAGGCTGCTCATGCTGATTTTCATATCAACGGCGTTATTAATGACTTGACTCTATGACATACACCAGATAGCATTACAGATTCCCCTAGCATAGTCTTTACAGTCTATTCAATGTACATGCATCCCTGTGAGGGGAGCTCTATCACACGCTGTAGAATACTTCTCTTCAGTCTTTCGGGCTGAGAAACCGTATGACAGCTAATACCCGTGTTAGAGGACTGTATTCAGAGCAGAGACCCAGCTCATGTGGACGTACCTTGCCTAAAAGCCTCCGGGTTCTCCGAGATGACCCAGTGTCCGGCTTCAATATCCGCGAGCTCAAACAGCGGGAAAAACTGCCCAACAACAGGCAGAACCTCGTCGGGGACATATTTGCTGTGGATGCCCCTGACGAAGAGCGCAGGCTTCTCGAAGCGAACCTCGCCTGGATCCTTGTAAGGGAAGTCTCCCAAGTGGTCGAGGGCTTTAGCAATGATGTTCAGCGGGACCCGGAACTTGCGTGTCTTCTCCCCATCAGGCTGATACAAATTTCCTAGCAAGAACTGCCGAATCGGCAATGACTGTGATGCTATTAGTTCGACTTACATAGTTATAGTAATTACGGATATTCCTACCTCCTCGTAGTCCGAGAGAATCTTGTCTGCCTCCTTCTGGCCTGTCACGCCAGCCTCTTCGATCTGCTTCATGCCTCGTATATACTTAGCAAAGTCACTTACGAGCGCAGCATCCACCGGTGCATTGTCTACGGACACTAGGTCGTGCACAAGTTCTGGTGACCGAAGTGCTAGCGTCATCGCTGTCTTTGCTCCCCTGAGATGAATCAGAAATGCTTGCTCGTATTGCCTAGTCTCAGAAACGGAACTAACATCGAATGACCGATAAGCGTGGGCTCTTTGAGCTTGTGCTCCTCGATGAAGGCAGCGACATCATCGGCCATCGACGTGTAGTCGTGGCGAGGCACATGAGGCGACTCTCCATGGTTCCGCAGGTCCTATATGAGACCTATGTTAGAAATCTGATCGAAGGCGTCTTCCAGAGCAATAGTCCCTTACAAGCGCCCATACAGACCGTCCAAGGTCACGAGCAATCGCCCTGAGCAAAGTTAGTCACCCGAGGCTTTGCATTTTCCAATTGCTCATGGCTTCATACCTGCTTATGCTCCTATTATTTTTCTTAGAGCCAAATAGCCCATGAAGAAAGATGATGGGATTTGTCTTGCTGTCGCTGACGGGCTTGGCCGGCTCATGGAGGTCGTAGACTAGAGGAACCGTCGCCGGGGTTGAATAGTGACGAGTCGCGAGAATCCATGCACGCCCGGCGCAAGTGCGCCTAGCAACTCGTGGTACTCCTAATATCATCCTCTCTCTCTCACGGGATCTATGTGCAGAATGGTCACCTGTATATATCCATGATCCAGCTTCTTGCACTTCTCATGTGCGAGTTATGAGCTGCGGGTCAAGTCTAGAATTCTTTGAACGGTATGACGTCGCGATTTGATTGGGCCACACGGCCCACCCTACAGCTCACTCACCCCTGATCCTAGGGACTGGTCTTTCCAACGCATGAAGCTTTATAATTTACTTAGCTCTTGATATCATCTTACTCCTATAGACTTGGAGTTATCCTAGGATTCGGTATCGTGAGAAGATGTGTACAAGGGCTCATACCCAGTCTATTCAAAATATTGGTTCACTATTCCTAAGAGACAACTTCATATCGTTCTGCAATAAAACCGCCGTAGATTCATACGAGACGTAATTGTGCGGATAGCAAAATCATGGCCAATTTCATAATCAAGTCTATTAAACAGTGCCATCTATGGGCCCCTCATAACGCTTTTTTGGGCAGAGACCTGAACGCCAGCCCCAGACAGCCTCCCTCTGCCGGGCATGATGCAAGCCGAACCTTCCATATTTTACACGTCCTCAAATTCCATGTCATCCTCGCTCTCACCGTCGTCAGCCGCGGGCTCCTCCAACTTGACTTTCTTGGCTGGTCTATCGTCAGAGCCGGGACTACCACGCTTGGAGGGCGATTCCACCGAAATCTCTCTCTTGATAGGCACACTAGTCTGTCGAAGTGGTGAGGGCACTGCTGGGAGATTGGCAGTTGGCGCTGTACTGGCAGGAGTTATCCCGGCATTATTTCCACCGGCAACGACGTCTTCAAAGTCGTCTTCATCCTCCTCGGATCCGGACTCCTCGTCCTCTTCCTTCTTAGCCGCCAAGGCTGCCTGCTCCGCCTTGAGACGTGCGAAATAGTCATCAATCTCTTGGTGCTGCTTCGCGTCAATAGACTCCTTCCCGGTAGCATCTTTGCTGTCGGCCTCGCTCGCAGGTAAAGCCGAACCCGTATTTGGGGTGGCAGAAAAGGACTCCCCTGTAATAGTACTGTTCGACATCCAGGAGGGCAGCTGGTTTTGTTTGGCAATCTTCTCCTTTCGGAGACGCTCTGCTTCTTTCTCCTCCTCGGTCGGGCCTTCTGATGTGGATATGCTGACCTCGATTGTCTTCGGGCCTGTATTCGCAAGACCCTTGACGGCAGTGGGCCGATTAAGACCCATGTCCACCGCCACACTCCTTGCGATTTGATGCTGAGCATCTCTCTCAACTGCGCGAGCGTTCGCAAAGGCGACGTCGAAGGTGTTGTCGGGTATAACGACGCTATCGATCTTGGGCAATAGGTCGGTGATGAATTTAAACTGATTATTCAGCCTCGTAGATTTTTCGTGACCGGCGGAATGACGCTCGACATCATGGGTGAGAACAGAGCCACAACGGTGACAGAGGAAGCCCGCAGGACCAACGCTGTCCAGGACTTCCATCTGTGTCCATTCGGCCTTACACCTAGAGCAGAAATACTCCTTCCGTTCACTAGCCGGAACCTTGGTACCCTGCATATCCTTGTCCAGCTTGTAAACCCTCCATTTGATGGCATCGATGGTCTGGCGATAATCGATGTAGTAGTACGTTCGATTGATTGGACGCTGCTGGCCCTCTCGCAACTCCGACCTGGTATGCCTTCGTGTCAAAGTAGTGTCAGCCATCACTATTAGACAAAAACACCCGACTTTGTATGTTGAACATACACTGCCAAGAACCGGTCATCTCTCAGCCGCGCGCAGAGCTTGTGGAGATCTTTGGTGTTCATCGACATCAGATAGGCCATGTCGTCATCGCGCAAGCTGATATGCTAGTTAGCAACCAGCTCCCATCTATTCAAAGGCGCCTGGAGCTTACGCCGAATGTATGATCAGGGCGTCGATAATGAGGATAGATCGAGTGTCGAAGAATGCGCGCACTACGGAGCGCACAAGCGTCTGCGCCAGATCCATGATTACGGTCGTGTGCTCGAGGCTGCCTGTAACGGCGAGGGCGAGAAAACCGTCGGCGAGGAGGCGGTATCAAGACAAAAGTCCGGGAGGATAAAGAGGCGGCGAAAATGGATTTGAAGGGTGAAAGAAGAAGAAGCAGCAGCTTTGCTTGCTACCTAGAAAGAGCTGACAGACATGTCATGATTCGCTTTCCCACTGTCGCGTCGAGGGCGCCAAGCGGATCCGATGAAATTGTCAACGAGTGTTAAGAATAGAGCGGAGCTGCCATTGAACCATCTAGGACCACAAGGCAGAATAATTATTCAGATGAGGAGAGGGTGCAGACAATAGGCCGAGAGATGGGGAGGGGCGGCCGTCCTTCTTTGCTGTCGATGCTGGCTGGTGCCTTTCGACGCCGCGTGAAAAGGTTGAATAAGGCTGCAGCTTTATCCCCACCCCCGATGTTAAGCACACGCCCTAGCAGTCCCCACCCTACCGAGCGAGGACTGGGCACTTGTTTCGAAGTGTGACGAAACCGGGGTTACTTTGTCTTGCCCTCTCTGAATATATAAGATGAAGATGGTAAATCTGAAGTGATAAAGCCAGTGTGGAATGCGTCTTATCAGGCACACATATGTATCTGAACCTTTTCAGTCTACCTAGGTATTTCTATATCATGAAATGTATGGTTTCCTTTGGAGGCAGGCAGGCATTTCCACTTAGAAGGTGCCGCCTGCCTCATGATTCACCTAAAGTCTTTCCGTCTTACTGGCGCTCTTAGTCTGATTCTCCCGCGCCTTTCCCAACACGCCAATCGTGACGTTCGTCATATACCCTGCAGTGGCAACCGACACCACCAACTACAAGACTAATGTCTCACTCGTCACAAAGGCTGCGGTGCTGTTGCCTTTTTCTTTTTGCTAATGAGACTGGAGTCAAAATACCGCCATGAAGCAGCTTTTTGGAGTAAATTCCGTCGCCATCTTGGTTATTCAGAAAGCACCATTAAGGTAGCAAGCCACATCTTTAACCACCAACGATGGCGCCTGATTTCCCCGTTATTTACTTGCTTCCCACTCATCTAAGTCCCGATGAGTTGCATGAGTTGGAAAGCCAAATTCCGAGCTTGACTTACGACATCAATGAGGCCAGTGTCGTGATTGGCAAGATCTCAGAGAAGAACCGCGCCTTATTTGAGCTTCGAAAGCGAAAGCTGGTGACCGAGGAAGTGTTCCTGGATAGGCTCTCTGTTTCACCGAGAGTCAAGCGAAGAAAAATATCATCGTTTGGAGATGTGGCTATTGATACGGACTCGGACACCATGTCCGATATCGACACGCAGTCGTCCACTCAGCTTTCCACCACGGCAAGTGCTGATGATTTGATCAAGGTGGTTAAGCTTGCTTGGTTCACGGAATCGCTGTCCAAAGATGTGGTGTTGCCCATGACGGATTACCTTATCTACCAGGGCCGAAAGATCAAGTCAGATGCCGCGACTTCTATGAAGCCACCACCACGACCAGCAGACATCCTGTCTAGGGCGAAAGCCGATGCTGGCGGCACCCAGATGGACAACTATCTCCGCCACGGTCCTTTTAGGAAGGATCGAGATCGAGATGGGTATAAGATGGCCCATGTCAAACCGCCACCGCTTCTCAAGCAGACGACTTCGGAGCATGATATTGACGAGTATTTGCCACCTATTCCCAGTTTCCTTCACACGACATATTCATGCCAACGCCCAACTCATGTGAACCCGCCAAACAAGGATTTTATCGAGGAACTGAAGAGGATTCGCACAACCAGGACTCTGACGGGAGATAAGATTGGCGTCCGAGCCTACTCAAGCTCTATTGCTACGCTTGCTGCATACCCCTATACTTTGCGAAGTGCTCAAGGTAATTATCGAGTAATTTGGGTATGTTCAATGACAGACTACTGACAAGTATGCAGAGGTTGCGAGGCTACCAGGCTGTGGCATTAAAATTGCCGAGCTCTATCAAGAGTTCAAACAAACTGGCTTTCTACAAGAGGCGCAGAATGCGGACTCTGACCCCAAAATATCCGTGTTGAAGCTATTTTATGAGATATGGGGCGTTGCAGATGCAACTGCATGGGAATTCTACAACAAGGGCTGGAGAGATCTTGACGACATCGTTGAATACGGTTGGAGCAGTCTGAGCCGTGTGCAACAGATCGGAGTCAAATACTATGATGAGTTTCAAATCAAGATACCTCGGCATGAGGTCGAATCCATCGCAAATGTTGTCTTGGAGCAGGCGAACAAGGTCCGCAAAGGATTTCAGATGGTCATCGTTGGCGGATATCGACGCGGCAAGGAGCTGAGTGGAGACGTGGACGTTGTGCTGAGCCATCCTGACGAGGCAGCTACGGAGGGGGTGATTGAAGATATTGTTCTGGGCCTAGAGAAGGGCAGTTTCATTACTCATACTCTTAGCTTGAGTACGAAGAACTCAGAACGAGGCCAGGACCCTGTCAGCTGGAAAGGTAACGACAAGAAAGCTGGGGCTGGCTTCGATACTCTGGACAAAGCGCTGGTGGTTTGGCAAGATCCGAAATGGTCGCCGCAGCCAGGCGAGACGAAGAATACGAACATTCATCGTCGAGTGGATATCATCATCAGCCCCTGGAAGACTACGGGCTGTGCGGTGCTGGGCTGGAGTAGCGGCACCACGTTCCAGCGAGATCTTCGTCGATACTGCAAGCGGGAACGTGGGCTCAAGTTCGACAGCAGCGGAATTCGCAGCCGGGTAGATGGTGCCTGGGTGGACTTTGAGGACGGTGGACTGGGGAAAGCGCCAGACATGCTCACAGCTGAGCGCCGAGTGTTTGCTGGGCTGGAGCTTGAATGGCGACCGCCAGAAGAGAGGTGCACGGAGTAACAGGATCAACCTTGAAGTATTTATCCAGCGTTTGATTGCGTTGTTGCACTTTATCATGACTCTAACGACTCGGAACTTTGGAGGTATACCCTGAGGCGATTTACTTGTGGTTGATTGTGGCACACCTTCGTTCCTAAGGTTGGGTATGAGCAAGGCTGAATGATTAGTGATTGGATAGCGCTGGAGCAGCGAAGGATTCGAGTCATCAAGCCCTACAAGCACGCAATATGGGGTGCTGACGAGCTTTCCATGCAAATGATTAGTGGCCATCCTTCAGAGCCTCAAATACAATCTATATAAGGTTTCGCACCCCCTTTTGATATTCTACACGGTCTCTTCCATTCTTGCAGTCCTATACTTTGCTTCTTCAATTCCAGGAGGCCGAGTGGTCTCCAACGGGGTAATGCAACCCCGCAGAGCACTGTTAAGATGAAACTCTGCTAAGTCCGTCGGCCACGGGGCTTTGCAAGCTCCGTCGAAGTAGCCGATTGGGCAGGTTGGTCCCACGGCAAGCCTAGACCTGGGCGTATTGCTAGGTAGGCTATGGTTCTCGGCGTGAATTGCCGTGACGGGCTTCGTTTCGATTCTATTCGGTGATCTACTTCCTAGAAATCGTGTAGAAAAAACTGTGTCAAGAAGTCTTCTCAGTTTCTCTCTTTTCCAGGTCACTCTCTCTGTCTTGAGGCCAAATTTCGTGTCCTACTTCAACATCTTATACCTGGCCTCTCTGTAGTAGTCGTCAAAATGCCTATCACTCTCCCTAGCGATTATGGGTGAGAATTGAGCCATCGAACTCACTACCAATGCAACTACTGACGACTACTTCAAGCTATGTCCTGCTCGCAGCGACGACCACCTTCTTCGTGAATACGTACCACGTGTCCCTGACCACCAAGGCGCGCAAGAAGAGTGGGCTCAAGTATCCTGTTGCGTACGCAAGCAAGGAGTTGGCAGACAAAGATCCCAATGCTTACATGTTCAACTGCGGTGAGCATCACTTCATGGAGTGCGAATTGTGTCGTGTTGGTTCTAACTCATCGAATGCAGCCCAACGAGCACACGCCAACTTCACCGAGAACCTGACGCCGTTCCTCGGGGCGCTTCTCGTCACCGGGCTGCGTTATCCCATCCTGGCCGCGTGTCTGGGCGGAGGGTGGACGCTCTCCCGAATCGTTTATGCTGCAGGGTATACCAGTAGCTCTGGACCGAAGGGTCGGACAGTGTAAGTAGAGCTCTCGTTGTCAACCCTTGATTGCGTCGCTGGAGTGGAATTCAGTATTGATCTGTGACCTGCAGGGGCTCCGCTGGACATTTCTTGATTGACACTACATTGAAGTTCCTGGCTTTGTATACTTCGGTTATGTTTGTCATGGGCGAGTAAATACTCTACATGACGTAACTTGCCAGAAGCGGGACTATGTAGAGAAGACGGCGCGATGAGTGCAGGAAGATATACAGTACCCAAATCATCAAAATTAGATGGAGTCGTTGAGTTATCGCAAATGAGTGATCATCCCTGAAAGCTTAGACTTCGTTGATTTCACATACCGCCTTACATTCCTCATTAGGTCAATGAACCATCATAGTTGTTGTACTGGACTAAACTTTAACATGCTGGCTCAAAATCAGTGATCATCTGTGTGGTATCCTTTTCAATGCTCCAACTTGAATTTAAATAGGCAACGGTATGGGATATCTGACCTGGAGGGTTTTCAAACGAATTCAAGGACTGAAGAGTTGTACTGTAGTGTATAACGGAGGTCTATATATCGAGGACGGAGATGGTGTAGAACTATGAATGATAGTTAGAACCCAAGGTTATTGCTTGGGAAAGGGGCAGGGTTGGAAGCCCGCCACGCGTGTAAGATATCATCGATGGAAAAACACTCAATTGAGAGAATTGAAGAGTGGGAAGCGCTTCAGTTGTTTTGGTACGTAACGAGAACGACGTTCTAGTTTACTAGGAAGGGTTAGGGAGGCAGTTGATGTCTACCTGCCGGAATTGAGCCTTCCGTATCTCAGGCTTGGCCCCATTCTCAAGGTACACATTTCTGTGATTCATCATACTAGGTCTACTAAGAGAATTCTCTGTGATTACTGCTCAAATTAAAGTACACTTGAACGAAGCAGAGTCCAAACTCGTCTGCTAGGAAGCTATTTTCCACGAGAAACTATGTGATCAATGCGCTCAGCGCACCGTAACAACCATAACTTTTGGTGCTTATACGCAAGGCTGGCCGCCTAATCGAGGCTCATTACGCTGCCGAGCTCTCTTTCTTCAGCATCTCTGCAACATCAGCGTCTATCCCGTCGTCATTCCCGAGGTCCGGAAACTCCTCTGCGGAATCCACCCTGCGTCTCTTATTCGACCCATTCAACGATACCGGAACAGACTGGTACTGAGATGCCAAATTGGAGAGAATCTCGATGCCGGGAGCTGAGCTCTGGAATGTGGCTTGTTGGTCCACGACAGGAGACTGCGATGGGCGCACAATGGGAGACAATGGCTCGGCCTGGGGCGCAATCGGAGAGTTGCCATAGAAGTCTGGCTCATCCAGAGCTGACGGTGGAGTCAAAGCTTCAACCTCTGGCCGGTCTGGTTCTGGCGGAGGACTCGCAGACGCTCCTCCTTCATGAGGTGACTGATCACTGTCGGACAGCCCGCGCATAATGGCGAACTCGACATCCTGCTTCTTTTGTTCAATGGTAGATTTGCGCGTCACCAGTGTGCTGAGCTGCTCCTCCTCGGTTGCTAGAGCAGTCTTGTTCTCCCCGAGAAGCTTCTCGAGGGCTCCAATGAGCTCCTTGCGGGCTTTGACGCATTGAGCAACTGCACCCTCTGCATTGGCCAGAGTCTTGAGAAGTCCATTGAGGCGGGCCGCGTAAACCGGCGCTGATGGGATTTGCTGCTGGGGATCGGTGTTCTTGTTGTACTCCTGGTCTGCTGAGTTCACAGCAGCCTTGGTGGACAAGATCAACTTGGTCACATTTTGCTGTGGCGCTACCAAGCCCGTAAGCTCAGAAGGAATGCTGCTGGAAGAACTGAAAATCGAGCCGCCGAAGCTCGTCTTGGGAGCACCGCGGGCCTTGTCAAGTTCTGTTGAGAGCATGTTAGCAACGAAAGTCTGGTGCAGGATTGTGCGGTAAGGCTCACCTAAGATTCGAGCTTCAATTGCCTCCTGGATAGGGGCAGCAAAGATTGATCTATCTTTCCAGACGTCGATGACCCTCCGGAGCTTGTTCTGAACGTCTGAAGTGGCTCCCTTATATGCACTTGCAACGGCCTCGGCAATGACAGGAGCGAATGCATCGACGAAGTCCTCCTTACGACGAGCTTTTGATTGCTGAGCGACCTCTGTCATCCCAAGACAGGTTAGCAGGACAACTCGCCAGGGAATTGAATTTAAATGCGATCCGGAGCCATATGGCTCCGGACGGGAGTTACTCACCATTGGCAAGATAGATGAGATTCAGACGCTTAGGGCTGGGTGAGTCCTTGAGCCTTGAATGCCATAGTGCCACCGTCCGATCTGCATGGCGCCTGGAATAATGAATGAGTACACAGAAGCATCAAACAGAGAACTGTTCTCGTTGAACAGTGCGATTGCGTACCTATGAAACATGATCCATTGGGCTGCAGAGGCGATGCTCTCGTGACTTTCATTGAGGGCGGATAGCTTCGCTAGAACCGCATCGTCCGTGTAAGCCATTTTGCTGATCCGTCGCTAAAGGATGCTATGCATTTATAGTGATACTGTGAGTCGCTGATATGAAGCCTGCCGTATGCCTTGCGGTCTGAACGCTCAGAACTCAGACGGTTGTTTGTTGTTGTTTTGGATCTTTAAGGTGGGATTTTAAGCTCATCTACAGGGGACAACAGTCGCGCTTTGATAGTAGCTGCCCGTTCACGAGCGTCGAAAATCAGGTGTCTACAGAGCCCGTATATCCAGCCTTGACAGCCTCAGCAATGTCATCCACGTGTCAGACGAGACTTCTGCTCCTATGATGATGATGGAGAGAGCTCCAATTTGTGTTACGACGATGAATGAAAAGGTGAGGAAGACTGGGGGAAGCTATTCGTTTCCGGGTGAGCTGCAAGCTACCTACTTTTATTCTGAGCTTGCGACACCAGCCAGGCGCTAGCCCGAAACAGCTAGATCCACTTTTCTGCACTCGCTTTGGTGCAACATATTCATTACATGAATCAGTGACAGGGGTCCATGCGCCGCCGTAGTAGGGCCATCTCCAGCTGTCGACACCGTCTCCAAGACCTGGTGCAGCGCAAACCCGTAGAGCGATCCTCCATCTTCATCTCAACGACGAAAACGACAGGCCCATTTACTGGAGCTTGCCAGCCTACATATCCAACTCTATCATCCCTTGCTGCCACGGAGCTCACGATTCTCCACACATAGTGTGCTACCTTGTTGAAGATGGCGGATAGATTCCCTTCCTTGGAGGACTTTGATTCGGGAGGTCAGATCAAGCCAACTTTTCCCTTGCTCATCTCCTCTCAGCTTCACTAACACCCAGCTGCAGCCCAGACAGATATTAAGGACCCCTCAGCCGAGCCTTCAGCAGACGACTTCCTTGCCAGGGAAAAGGCCATTCTCGGTGATGATGCAGACCAGTTCGCGACAAACCAGGATGCGGCTGCCTTGTCAGGAGGTGACGACTTGCTAGGAGGAGGCGATGATGCACAGTTCCAGAGCCAATTCCCCGATATCACAAGTCCCAACGAGGTAAGGAAGTTTATCTTTGATCCGCACGCGACTTTTGGCCTTGCTTGCCCTCAACTAACCACCATCTGTTTCTCCAGGGCCTCGCTGGATCAGGTACCATCACCGGCCCATCCGTAAGCTACAACTCCGGCTACGCTGCCGCCTACACCGAAGAGGAGGATGAGCCCGAGGTCATCAAGGAGTGGCGCGAGAAGCGGGACGCCGGAAACGCCAAGCGAGCGGAGCAGTTCGCCCAGCAGCGCGAGGAGACAGTCAAGGAAGCACAGCAGAACATCGACGACTTCTACGACAACTACAACAACAAAAAGGAGAAGATGATCAACCAGACCCGCAAGGAGGCCGAGCAGTTTCTTGCTAGCCGAGAGGACACCACCTCCGGCGGCACCAGCTGGGAGCGCATTTCCAAGATCGTCGATGTCAGCGGCAAGGGTGCCAAGGGTGGCGCCGCTGGATCCGGCAAGGAGAGATTCCGTGAGCTACTGACGAGCCTGCGAAAGGATGAGAAAGCTCCCGGTGCGGAGGGCTACTAGATGAAGACAACTCCGGCGGCTTCTTTAGGTGTTGGCAAATGAGCTAGATTCCTCGCTTGACAAAGGAGCCCGACGTATTGCGTCGTCTCCCGCATGAGCACGGGGGTTGACTGTACTTTAGAACTAAAATGCCGGCAAGGCGGATAATGGGCATTTGATGAATAAGGCGTAAATCATGATCGGACGTTTTCTTCAGAAATGATTTGCACAATCGCAGTGGCAGTTGATAATCCATAACCATGGACAAGTAATGCTTGACGAGCAGGAAAGCGTTCCCTATTCTCTCTAAGATTCACTGCTATAGACATACATCCACATCTCTAGTGATCGTCTCAAAACCCATCCCCATCCACCCTCTCAGTCCTCGATTTAGTCCTTGCCGAAGAAGCTGTTGTAGCCGAGGACCTTGCGTCCCATGCCGTACAGGCAGGCTGTATAAACCAATTAGCAATAGACCACGCCAGCATAGGTGACAGACAAACCTCCGCAGGTTCCCCACATGACGATGGTGAAGGGAGTATACATGGCGGTGCTTCGAGGGGCCTGTGCATGATCCGTGAGCTCTCTGGCCAACATCTCTAACCTGTCAAGGTCGTGCTTACGATTCTCCAGATGCGGGTGTGTGCCTTGTAAGCGGCCTGGTAGACACGCTGGTGCTCGGGGACCTTGTTGGGGGCGTTGACGAAACTGCGCGAGAGGATGTCAGTAACGAGCTCGTCAATTGCATGATCATACGAGGCTCGGCAGGCGCAATTGACCGTCAATGAGGCGGGCAATCGGGTCGGTAGAAATTGTTGAAGGAAGTGAGGGGATCGTCAATTGAACGTACGCCATTGTGAGGAGATGTGGTGACGGTTGAGGAGAGATTTTGCTGTCGTCGAGAATGATACGATGCGTAAATGGAGCTTCGGAAGTGAACGTCGTCTGGTTCGGCAAAGACCTTGGTGTGACTACGCAGAGAAATGAGGCCTTTGATTGGTCGGTATGACTAAGCCGAAGTGGGTTGTAATTTTTTGACCTTTGGGAGAGCTCCTACTAACAGCAACGCGCGCCGAGACAGCAGCTACACTCAACCGACATCCAGGCATTTACTGCACTAGCAAACACCATCGCGGCCGATGAGATGTCACGATGACCGAGAGATGAGTCCTAGCTGATAGTATCTTATCTTCAGTAATGCGACGGGCTCTTTTGGGCACACGACAGACTAATGAAGCTGTATATCATCTAGTCGGGTGGCCCAGTGTGCTTCCGTCTTGGCTACGACATGATTTCATATTTAATGTCCACGCCTCAGAGGGCCGAAATCGCTCACATCGGCGATATGGCTCTACGATTGCCATTGCATCAGAGCTACCACCAGCTGTCTTTGGTAGGAAATCAAAGGGCCCCTATTTCAAACATCCGATGAGCCCGGGAGACCTGGAGCACCTCAGGGTGGCAGACCGAGTCAACCTCAGTCCACCTGAAAAGGCCTCTCCTATTATTCCGCCCGATTTCTACGGCAAATGGCGCTTCTTGTCGCTCAACAACGACCTCCTACGTACCGAGTCAGAAGTTAATGCTCCGCAGGCAGACCGTCGGCTGCTTGTTGATCAACCGGGAAACGAGAATGATATCGTTCTGTGGACCATCCTGCTTCGTTTTCGGTGCCAGCGGATGGGCTTAGAAGGTGCATCAATGATCTGGGAGGGTGTGAATAAGAGACGGACACTACACGAAGTGCATGGCATTATAGCCGACGCATTTTGGCAAACCACTCTGAACAATGCCCTTCAAGACAACGACTTTTTGGAAAGCGTATGGCTATATGCCTTGTGGCTTGACGAGACTCATGGGGTAAAAATTCCCAAACTTTATACAACGGTCATTGCTTTCTTCCTCAGGCAGCAAAGGGGCCGTGATGCTCTTCTATGGCATTTCCGGTTGAGTCCCACGTTTGATCCAGGGCGAGCTGCATTTGTGAGGTTGATCAGAGCATTTATCACTGATCCGGATGACGAAATCCGGGATACGTTAAAGCATCTGTACCTTGCTGGGTCACACCGCGATTTGTACGACGAATTAGTGCCCTATCTATACAATTTGGGCAAAGCCGCCCTCGCCCGGAACTGGCGAGGTTTTTGCGTGCTGTTCAATGATGTCCCGGTGACGATGGCGTCAAGAGAATTTTTGAGATATCTTGCTGCATACCACTCCTATCCCGACAATCCGATGAAAGAAAGCGAAATATCAATCGCCGGATTGAGTACCGAAAGCAAGCCAACCCTCGACATTGCAGAACACCTAGACGATATGGAAGAGCAGCCGGGTTCCGGCATGGATGCGAGATACCCATTAAGTTATCTAATGAATCGTATTCATGGAGAAACATTCGGAGTCCAGGAGAAGACCTTGAACGATGTTGTTGGAGCCAGGTGGTTTGCGAGTTCCTGGATATCCCTGGACTTAGCCATCACGGCTGTTCATGCGCTTGGTATCTCTAGCATTGGTCCACTTTCGCTGCAGTCAATTGCGCTACGAGAAGAATCAGCCGCTGGTATACTAAGTCGCATTACTCAACTGCAAAGTTTCAAAATCGGCATTGGGACGTCGAATTACTCCAAAGCCATTCGCTACCTTGCTCGTAATGGCGACTACGAGACGCTTCGAGATCTTCTACAATCGGATTTCCACCCAGATGTCTTTGAGAGTAAGGAGATGCAGGCGACCATCTTCCAGTCATGTATGCTCAGTGGAGACTGGAAGAAATACCACCTGATTGGCATTGTCAATCTAGCAGCCTCAGTCGATTCTGCGTTTCTGTTTTCCAATGAGCTGCTACTGGCTTCCATTGTTGACGGTAACAAGCAGATGACCTTGCAGATTCTGAACGACATGAGGTCCAGAAACATCGACATTTTCCCTTCAACAAGTCATAAGCTCAGTATGCGTATAGGACAGAGAATCGGCCTACACAAGGGACACCGCGACACTGATGTTGATTACCTGATAGCGCTTAGTCGTCAGCTTGCACGTACACCATTCCCTCCCCCTGCTCGAGTATGGGAGAGACTTCTGTGGCATCTCGGGAGAAATGATAAAATCGATGAGCTCGAATATCTGGCCCTGGAGGTTACACAGCTGTATACAAGCTGGCAGAGCTCTCCCAGCCCTACCATGAATCTTCCTGTATACGATGTGCCTGAGGCCATGAAGGACGGGTCGCCATACGAGTATTTCAAGCCGGTACCCCGAGAACTTCATATAAGGCACGAGGCACATCCGCTTCAGGCGGTCTTTCATTCTATGATGCAAAAGTCGATAGTCCGATTAGCCTTCAACTACGAGCTCCGGCACGGTGCCGCCAACGCCCGAATTAAGGGGAAGCTAAGTCGTCTATCCGACTTCTACATTGCGCGCGGTGTCCGTCTCCTGCGTCTCCTGAGAGATCAAGGCGTGAGAGTCGATCCTAAAGCAATCAAGAAAGCCGTACTCTTACGACTCACAGACCTGTATGGCCCGACAACCGGATCCACTCGGTCTCTGGAGCATAGCAAGTACGCCAACAGGATGACGATGCCAGAAGTAAAACAACTCTTCGATGATGCATGGGGCGAAGACTTTCTAGGCTCTCTTGGCGAGATCGAGCACTTTCTCGTTCAAGAAGGCAATCGCCGTTTTGAAGCCGAGCGCAAATACAATGCGACAAGATCACGCTCTCGCTAGGCTTCTCCCTTGTAAACTTAGCAAACTATGATACCCCCAAATATATTTATAAAGATGATAACACTAGTTGGTGTACAATGATAATTGGCTTCGTTGGTATCTGAATAAAAGCATAGTGTTACATGATCTCTGCTTGAGGCTATCATCCCGAACTAGTCTCTAGGTCTGCGATCTTCGCAGCAGGAAGCCACAATGCTCTCCATCCAAAATTGGGTTCACAGCTGCGCCTCCTCCCCGCCTCGCTTCTTTGGCTTGATGAGGAGTAAGATGAATAGCCCAGCAATTATCAATATGAGCAGAAGGATAATCTTCCGCTTTGTCGTCCTCCTCTGGTATCCAGATGCGACCTTGAGCTCCTTGTCTGCCTCCTTGACGTCTGTAGCCATCCGCTCCACGTTGTAGTCGATCCGGTCGAGCATTGTCCCCTGGTCGATGACCATGGTCTGCAAGTCTCTGAAGAGATCGGACAGGTCGATGATGCCCTGTGCAATGTCTTCGATCTCGCGTTCTCTCTGCATAATTGCTGCATCATTGGAGTGCAGCTGCTTCTGTTTCGACGTTGCTTGGAGCGTTGATTGTGAGAAGGACCGATCGGCATCAGATTCGAGAAGTGATGGATCTGTATATCCCGAGCTCGGCAGAGGTGTAGATGCTCGGTCTCCTGCTGGACTCAATGCTCCTGGCCCGCCCAGTCCCCTCAATTCTGCGAACACTTGTGAGCCAATATGTCTATGCCAGGACAGGAAAGGCAGCTTACTCTTCAGATATGCGCTCTGCTTCTTTCTGAAGCCGGCGCTAGCCTCCTGCACTCTCGTGGCGAGCGATATCTGTATATTCTTTGCCATCGTCTCCTCCGCATTAGTCATGGTGCCCTGCTGCTTGGACTCGCGGACCATCTCCTCGACGCGCTGGATGCAGCGGTGGCACTCGTGGAAGGCGCGGGTGATGTCCTGGGTTAGGCGCTCAATGTCGCGCTCCTCTGCGCGCTTGGCGTCCTCGTCGTCGAAGCCCGGCAGGACGTGCTTCTGGTGCAGGCGCTCGAGCTGCTGGCTCTTGCGGGCGACGTCGGCGAGCAGGTCGGTGACCTCGTCGGTGATGTCGGCCCAGCGCGGGGGCAGCAGGTCCATCTCGATCACGGCGTCGCCGTCGTCCTGGTCGTACGCGCCCGCCGACAGCAGGCCGCGCGAGTCGGACGTCTCGTCGGCCGAGAACAGCACGCCGCTGCTGGTGCCGGTGGGCCCGGCCGCCGCGAGGCCGCTGCTACCTCCCGCTCCGCCTCCATAGCGGCTCCGGTGGGTGGGATGGTGCGCGTAGGACTGCCGGTATGAGATGTAACTGCGCAGCAGGTCAGCATGTCGGTTTGCTGCTTGGTCAGTGCAGGCAGGATACGGCAGGATACTGTCTGCGGGTGGGAACATCAGGAAGGACGTACAGGTTTGTTCGGTCTCGCCACATGGCGGCCGCCTGGGAAAGAGACCGCCCTCTTCGCCGTGGCCAGAGTTGTGCTTCTTTGCTCCCAACGGGGCGGGCTGTTGTAGTTGTAGTTGTCGTTATTCTTCAAGGGCGGTCAGTGTGAAGAATCACATGGCATAGAAATGGTTCTTGGTGGATTGGATTGGATATGCTGCTGTGCTGTGCCTGTAGCGCAAGTGGACAGGGTAGCTGTTCAATTGAGGTCAGCCTGGCGCAGCTTGATTGGAGCTGGGCGAGCGGGCTGGCGGGTCGCATCCAGAGACGAGACTCCCTGAACCGGGCTCTCCGTTGCTGGCTGCGTCACCCTTTGGTTAGCTAGGGAGCCTACAGTAACAAGTCCGTAACTACCTACCTAGGTATGCACTACCAATGTCCCGTGTCACGTGCTAGCAAACTGTAGGGCTGCTCAACAAGAAAAAGGAGGCAGCTATGAGGCAACCGATCGGACACTACGTACACTGGTCACTTCTTGAGTGTCGTCAGTCCTGCGCAATTGAGAATCCAACCCGCTAGGTAGGTACCGGTAGGTATACCCAGCTTTGGTCTCCACTTAGGCATTTGGTCTCTTTCTAAAATTGTGTTGTTGTCTGGTCCCTTACGACGGCAACTTGACTGAGTTAGGGAAATAAGTCACAGTCAATATGTACCACGACAGCCTTGCCTTCGCGTGGTCACTGGTCAGTAGGGGACGGCAATGTGCCCAAGTCCTCCCACGATAGGACATGTAGAGACTCGCCCACCAAGGTACAATTAGATAAGGTAGACATCAAGGAATCAATTGGGCACTGTACAGTGCCTTGCCTTCTTTTCCGGCTGAGCACGTCAGTACGACATACGTGTATCGTTTTGTATGTACTGTACTGTATTGCATGTGTGTGGGATCTTCAGCTGGTGTGCCTGCCCAGGCTCTCTGTTTCGGACCCCATCCAACCCCCCATCCCCCCATGCTTACCGCCCAATGTACCGCGTTGGAGTCCTACCTTAGTTAGGTCCTTGTACCCGCAACGTAGTGTCCTGCCCGCCCCAAAATGTCTGCTTCCAAGCAAGCTTCGAGTCCAGTCCAGGCCACATACGTGCCTACCTAGGTACTTACCGTATCCCTAACCCAACTGAAGTACCTAAGGCGTTCCACATCACAGGGGCTCCCTACCTCGTCTACCTCAGGTGCGTAGGTACCTCAGCAACACAACAACGCTGCTTTTTCTTCCTTCCTCTTCCTCCTTCTTATCTCCTCCGCTCCTCGACTCGACGACCGCAAGGCATCCAGCCCTCTTTTCCACGATCAAGACGCCTAGAAATCTCAACTCGACAACTCTTCGCATTTTCTCTCGACCGGTCAACTTGCCCCCAAAACATCTCTCAACATGGTCCGTTTAGTCCTTCTCCCGTTGCTCTGTGTTGCAGGACCCCGCGGCTGAGAGGGGCACATATGCATACCTACGAAACTGAACACTGAAGCTGACCTCGATCATCACCACTGCAGGCCGATTCTCTCACTGAGGAACAGGTTTCCGAGTTCAAGGAGGCCTTCTCCCTCTTCGTAAGTCGCTCCCCCGCAACCTCCAGCCCTTCGGATCTCTGTCCGACAGGAGCGCAGACAGGTGTTTCGAGAGCTAACGTGCCCTCTTGCGATGCAGGACAAAGACGGCGATGGTTAGTACTACGTCCCCCACCCTCCGCCTCGGTCCAACCAGCCTGTCTGGATATGCCGGCCTCATCTTTCGGAAGCTTCCATCTAGCTTGAGGCTGCAGGTAATACGAACCATGTGCTGAGAACGATCCAGGTCAAATCACCACCAAAGAGCTAGGCACCGTCATGCGATCACTCGGCCAGAACCCCTCCGAGTCTGAGCTCCAGGATATGATCAACGAGGTTGACGCCGACAACAACGGCACGATTGACTTCCCCGGTACGATACGAAGACCCGATGTACCTGCTTGTGCTTCGTTTCAAGGCTGACCTGCGGCAGAGTTCTTGACCATGATGGCACGAAAGATGAAGGACACCGACTCTGAGGAGGAGATTCGCGAGGCTTTCAAGGTACGGCCTCACGCTTGCGCAATCTGTTACCACCTGCAATCATGCCTCTAACGTCTACTTCCAGGTTTTCGATCGTGATAACAACGGTTTCATCTCGGCGGCTGAGCTGCGCCACGTCATGACTTCTATTGGCGAGAAGCTTACCGATGATGAGGTTGACGAGATGATCCGCGAGGCTGACCAGGACGGTGATGGCCGCATTGACTGTACGTTACACCAAGCTTCCAACAAGTCGCCTGTGGCTAACAAGGCTCCCAGACAACGAGTTCGTCCAACTCATGATGCAGAAATAAAGTGGCATGTCTGCAGTATGCTCTCTTGTCAACTAGCCTATCTCACCGCCTCGTAACCTAAAGCAAAATGAACCCTACCTACTTTTCGTATTTCTCTCTCTCCCTTGTCTCCGGATTGAATTGGCAGCATGGCCTCGGCATGGGACTGTACGTCTCGGTTGTTTCCCATGCGCTCTTCCCTTTCTGAGGCTGCTTTACACGGATATCCAATGATGATGGCACGGTTGGATGCACACCCCCACGACTGAACGGAATGGATGGATGTGGTGGTTTGCGCTTTTGCCTGTCCAACTACAGCCTGTTGTTGCTCCTTGGTCTTTGTCTGCCGCCTCTGCGGAGATGTCTGTAGCGTAGGGGCCCGAGAATAGGAGTTCTACCTAGATAGGATGACCCTCTCAGGCCATGGATGCAAAAGCTCACCGTTTTTTTCTCTCATCGCTGATATCGCCGCTGATGTGTTTCTCTGCGGATGATGTCGTGCCTATTGGTGATTGCGCCGCAAGGGCGTCGTAGCATGTGATTATGAGTCTCTGAGGAACGTTTGAGTGATACCGTGTGTCGCATTGGCCGCCCGTGTAAGAAAACACAGACCGCACAAGTCATGATAACCTTTCTATGGACGCTCGATGATGATACTGAGTCTTCAACACAACCACGAGCTCGAAGGACAAATTAGCCGAGCCCACAACCTGACCAACCATCTAAGAGCAAAGTCAAATTCTCACGAGACGCCTTCTAAATACCCCGGGATCCTCTCGCGCGACGTCATATCGGTATGCAAGACATGTCCCGACAGCGAGGTACGATGCAGCCAGACTGTGGCAGTGCTCTCTAGCGTGCCTCTTTCCGGCCATATAACGACGGGACTCAATTACTCCTCATGCAAGCTATCAGCCTTATGAGACGGGCCTTTCTGCTTTATTTCTCTCTTGGAAAGGCAGATCTGATCTGACTCTTGCTTGTTACCAAACCCAGGGATCTGGTCCGCTCCCGTTGGTAGGGTTCTTCGCTCGCCTTGGCTCCCTCACCTTCCCGTGCCTCCCGCCCGTTTGGGGCCCGTACCGGGCGGGGAGGCCCCATCACCAAATCTTGGGTTAGAGGGAGGCAGTTTTGGAGTGTGCTGTCTGCAGCTCTTGCTATCGCACTGCCAACTTATAGGAATAATTAATGCCCGTATAATTCACTCACAAATTACTATTCTTTTCAAATCGACAGAATCTTATAATAGTCTGGAGACCGTCTCTTTGCATTTGGAAGCTCCAGCGAATCTCGCTGGTGATACGGATTTCCTTATGTTTGTCTTCCACACTCTTCACTTGCTGCTACTTCACCCCGCAAATTCCGCCAAGACCCCCTCCTGCCCCTGGCTTGCTGGAGTCCTTGTGGGAAGCTAACCCCTGTAAACTCTCCGTTTATCGCTCCCTCGCTTGCGCCTATCGTTATATTTGACAGGCTTCGGGGGTCAGACCTTACCTCAATTTGGATCGTCACTTCAGTAGCCTTGCAGCATCGTTCCTCATCACCACTTGAAAGCTCTGGTAGCTCGTGGAAGACTCAAAGACCCAGAGAAGGGACTATTTTGTTGCACAATCCTCTGTATCACATCTTGGTTGAATTGTAATTCAGACGCCTGTGTAATTGCACCAGGCCCCTCCTTCGGCTCTATCCTCTCCTTGAAACTTGTCTTTTCTGGTGGCTTTGGCTGCTGTCCGACGGATGCTCCTTCCTCCCTCGCCGTGAACCTTGCTAGAGGCGTTCTTCATGGTGGAAATGTGAGAGATCCGACCATCTCTAACGACAACACTGTACCCTCCAGACGAACGACGTCTCGTCGACCGTCGACTTCTCTCCCCACACAATGGCGCGAACTCTACGCAGGCTGCGACCTCTCATCATCGTCGTAGCGGTCTGGCTGCTCTTCGTATGGTATCTCTTCGGCGACGACCTCCGTCAGGGCGTCTCCTCCCCCCGACCACCCGCCAATGACGCCAAGATCGGCGCCCTGAGCCAGATCACCCGCTGGAAGAAGCACCCCGACCGATACCCGGTGACCTCGTACCGGCCGCTGCCCACGGGGGCCCCCGTGTCCATCCCCGCGATCCAGAAGACGCCCGCGCCCGCGGAGGACGTCGAGGCGCGGCGCGTGCGCCTGGCCCGCCTGGCCGCCGTGCAGGAGAGCTTCCGCCACAGCTGGGAGGGGTACAAGACGCACGCGTGGCTGCACGACGAGGTGGCGCCGCTGACGGGGCACCCGAAGAACCCGTTCGGGGGGTGGGCGGCGACGCTGGTGGACGCGCTGGACGCGCTGTGGATCATGGGGCTGAAGGACGAGTTCGAGGCCGCCGTCAAGGCCGTGGACGACATTGACTTTGCCACGACGCAGACGGCGTCCGTCAACGTCTTTGAGACCACCATCCGCTACCTGGGCGGGTTCCTGGCCGCGTACGAGCTGAGCGATAAGCAGTTCCCGAGCCTGCTGAGGAAGGCGGTCGAGGTGGCGGAGCTGCTCATGTGTGCGTTTGATACTCCGAATCGCATGCCGATCAGCCGGTGGGATTGGCGGAGGTAAGTTGCGAGACCGCATTACAGGTCGATAGGCGTGGCGTGCTAACTTGAGTGAAATAGCTACACAGCTGGCAATGACCAGTGGGCTTCTCGGACGATGCTTGTGTCTGAATTGGGATCATTGTCTTTGGAGTTCACAAAGCTGTCTCAGTTGACTGGAGAGCCGAAGTATTATGATGCTGTACAACGTGTCTCTGATGAATTCGAAAAGGGGCAAGATACGACAAAGCTACCCGGGATGTGGCCCATCGTGGTGGATGGGCTCGGGCCATTCTTTAATTCAGATAATTCTTTCACACTTGGCGGAATGTCTGACTCTCTTTACGAGTACGTATCAATCACGCCCCTTGTATGGGGTTGAGCAGCCGCTAACACTGTTCCCAGATATTTCCCCAAGCAATACCTCATCCTGGGTGGAATTCTTGAGCAGCCCCGGAAGCTGTATGAGGGCTTCATTGACGTAGCGAAGAAGCATCTCTTCCGCCGAGCCATGAACGAACACAATTTACGAATCATAATCCCCGGTGACGCCCGCATCACCACTAGAGATGGCGATCCGAAAGTCATCATGACTCCCAGGGGTCAGCATCTAACCTGCTTCACTGGAGGCATGGTAGGCATTGCCAGCCGAATATTCAACCGTCCAGACGACATGGACGTTGCCATTCAGCTCACAGATGCCTGTGTCTGGACATACAACGTAACAGCATCGGGCATCGGTCCCGAGATCTTCAGCTTTGTGGCCTGCGGCAAGATCGAGGAGGAGCAGACAGGTCCAGGCTGCGCGTACAGCGAAGAGAAGTGGCGCACGGCGATCCGCGACTTCTGGCGGCCGAGCAGTGACATGGCGCCATCAGACCCGCAGATCAGCAACATCATCCACGGCCGGCGGCTGCCGCCCGGGTTCCTGGACGTGGGCGATAAGAAGTACATCCTGCGGCCCGAGGCGATTGAGTCGGTCTTCATCATGTGGCGCATCACGGGCGACCCGGCGTGGATGGACAAGGCGTGGGACATGTTCCGGCACATTGAGATGCACACGCGGGGTGAGATTGCCGCGGCGAGCCTGGATGATGTGACGAGGGCGGACCCGACGCAGGTGGATAGCATGGAGAGCTTCTGGCTGGCTGAGACGCTCAAGTATTTCTATCTGATGTTCTCGGAGTGGGATGTGGTGGACCTTGATAAGTGGGTGCTTAATACGGAGGCTCATCCTCTAAGACGACCGGACGCTTGAAGTCTGCTTGATTGGAAGGAGTGAGGACATGAGATTTGAGATGACAAGAGGAAATAAGCATTAGATGGGATACAAAGCATGGTTGATTAGGTATACCCTTGGAACGGTGCTTCCGACACCTGTGAGTTATTGGGCTTTTCAAGATTCAAAAAAGCTTGTATTATTCATTAGTATCTCTTAACAGAAGAGGCTTGCGCACTACGTATTTTTCTATTGGCCTCATAATGAACATATGATTGCCCGTGCCAGTATAGGAATTGAATGCATTTGTGGCTTCTGAAGGTCTATAATTGCTGCCTTGAGAGAGAGTGGTTCAGGGGTAAGGAGACTGTGGTCCAAAGTAAGTGCCTTAGATTCCAGGCATTAATGAACAGCTATGTCCCACCGCTGAGGATCGCCGCCGCCGCTTGTCTTGAACATCGACAGCGCATCTCGAAAAGTCGGCCTCTCCTCTACACAACGTTGCAGCTTCCCACATCCGCCCCGGCCCTGCTGCAAACCCTCATCCGACACCAATCTGGTCAGATCTCCCTAGCTGGCCCCTCCGCGGGCCCCAACACCCGTCGTCGTCATGAGTTCTCGTGAGTTTTTTGGCCCCTAGGACCGCCCTCCCACCTTACTATTTAGCATGCATCCCCCGTAGTTGACACGAATTGGCCCCGCAGTCAAGCAGTTCATCCGCAACGTCCGCGCCGCAAAGACCATCGCCGACGAGCGCGCCGTGATCCAGAAGGAGAGTGCGTCTATCCGAGCAAGCTTCAGGGAGGAGAGCGCAGACCACGGCGTCAGGTGTGTTGGGAAGACATCCCTGAACGTTGCAGGGCAGCATGGCTGACACGATTTCTACGAATAGGCGGAACAATGTCGCAAAGCTCCTCTACCTCTTCACCCTAGGCGAACGAACACATTTCGGCCAGATCGAATGTCTCAAGCTCCTCGCGTCGCCCCGGTTCGCTGACAAGCGGCTCGGCCACCTGGCTACGAGCTTGCTGCTCGATGAGAATCAAGAGGTGCTGACTCTAGTTACAAACTCGTTGAAGAAGTACGGCAAAATCCCATGGCTCTTTAGATCCAGCAGCACGCTGACAATAGCTCTCTAGTGATCTCGGCCACTCGAATCAGTATGTCGTTGGTCTGGCCCTCTGCACGCTGGGCAACATCGCTTCGGTGGAGATGTCTAGGGATCTGTTCCCCGAAATCGAACAACTAGTGTCCACGGCAAACCCCTACATCCGAAGAAAAGCTGCCCTCTGCGCAATGCGGATATGTCGAAAGGTCCCGGATCTGCAAGAGCACTTTGTTGAGAAAGCTACTGCTCTTCTATCAGACAGGAACCACGGTGTGCTGCTCTGTGGCTTGACGCTAGTTACCAGTCTGTGCGAGGCAGATGAGGAGGAAGGCGGAGAGGAAGGCATAGTGGAGAAGTTCCGACACTTTGTGCCAGGCCTCGTCCGGACCCTGAAGGGCTTGGCATCGTCTGGCTATGCCCCTGAGCATGATGTCACCGGCATCACCGACCCCTTCGTACAAGTGAAGATCCTACATCTCCTTCGAGTACTTGCTCGTGGAGATGCACAGATCAGTGAGCAGATCAACGACATTCTAGCACAGGTTGCCACGAACACGGACTCGTCCAAGAATGTTGGTAACTCCATCCTGTACGAGGCTGTGCGAACCATCCTAGACATCGAAGCCGACTCGGGTCTGAGAGTGCTGGGTGTGAACATTCTCGGAAAGTTCCTCACGAACAGGGATAACAACATCCGTTATGTTGCCCTAAACACTCTGATTAAGGTGGTCGCTCTTGAGCCGAATGCGGTTCAAAGGCACAGGAACACGATCTTAGAGTGTCTCAGAGACCCAGATATCAGCATCAGGAGACGGGCTTTGGATTTGAGCTTCACACTGATAAACGAGAGCAACGTGCGAGTTCTTATCAGAGAGCTGCTGGCTTTCTTGGAGGTTGCAGACAACGAGTTTAAGCCTACCATGACGACCCAGATCGGTCTTGCGGCCGACAGATACGCCCCTAACAAGAGATGGCATGTTGATACTATGTTGAGAGTCTTGACATTGGCTGGAAACTACGTCAAGGAGCCCATCATGTCATCTGTCATTCGACTTATTGCCACGACACCGGAACTACAAACATATGCAGTTCAGAAGCTCTATACCAACCTGAAGAAGGACATCACGCAAGAGAGTCTCACTCAAGCGGGTTCCTGGTGTATTGGTGAGTACGGTGACGCCTTGCTCAGAGGTGGACAATACGAGGAGGAAGAGCTAGTCAAGGAGGTGAAGGAGAGCGAGGTCGTTGACTTGTTTTCCACCATTTTGAACAGCAACTATGCTACCCAGGTGGCCACCGAATATATAGTCACAGCATTGATCAAGCTCACCACAAGATTTACGGACCCTGCACAGATAGAGAGGATCAGGAGACTTCTTCAAACACATCAGACCAGTCTCGATGTCGAAGTCCAGCAGCGCGCGGTTGAGTACGGTAACCTCTTTGCGTACGACCAGATTCGAAAGGGCGTGTTGGAGAAGATGCCACCGCCGCAAATTAAGGAGTCGTCGAGAGTCTTGGGAGAGGCTGCCAAGACAACCAAGAAGGCTACCAACCGGAAGTCAAAGGTCGTCAAGCCCTCGGAGCAAGACCTACTCATGGATCTCATGGGCGATAGTGCACCGGCACCGCCCCCGACAAATGGTGCGCCGAACAATGCCGATCTACTTGCAGATATTCTAGGCGGCACCACTTCACCACCACCAAGTTCCGCCGCTTCTCCTCCCCCGTCATCGAACGTCGCTTCCATCATGGACTTATTCTCCTCAGGGCCGGCACAGTCCACGCCTCCCCCAGGAGGCATGGCCGCAGCCGCACCCCCATCCTCCGGCCTCGACCTCCTATCACCCGTATCATCTCCTCCACCGCAGGCACAGGCTGCAGCCGCAGCACCTGCCGGCCACCCATGCTACAATAACAACGGCCTGAACATCACGATCCAAACACAGAGGAACGCAGAAGGCATTGTCCAGGCGACTGCTCGGTTCCGCAACGCCTCGGGCGGCCCGCTCTCCGCTGTCGGTGTCCAGGCCGCCGTGCCGAAGACGCAGAAGCTGCAGCTCATGAGCATCTCGAACACGGAGCTGGCGCCGGGGACGGAGGCGACGCAGGTGATGAGGGTTCAGGGTGCTAAAGGAGTAAGTCTTGAATTATCCCTTTCTAGCTGGGATGAATCTCTTGCTAACAGTTTCGATTCAGCCTTTGCGTCTGCGGTTGAGGGTGAGCTATGCCCATCCGTCGGCTGGGCAGGTTACGGATCAGGTGAATTGGACGGAGCCGTCTTGAGAGGAGGAGTATAGATGGTATGAGCGGACTTAATTGGCGGCGTGGTCAAAAGAAAATGTTCTATAAGAGTAGACGGTTGGCATGAGCATCAGATCAATGTGAATGAATGATTCTTAAGCCGACAAATAATATTCTGAGGCTCAGCGAGGATCCGACCTGAAGAAAACATTAGCCCCCTCATTATACCCCCACTCACGATAAAAGCTGACTACTCTCCCATAAGAATAATGAGCGTAAGTTAGCCCAGGATGGCATTACCTCGTCTCAAAAATCGACTTGCTATTAATGCTCAGCTCGGTTCGCTGAGTCGATGTTAACAAACAGAAACCTCAACGCCTCAATAAGTATTGAAGTTCTTGTCAACAAGCATTTCCAATGAAGTCAACGTTTATTATCATGTTAGAGACTGCCAATCTGACTAGCATGGTCAAGATGACTCAATATGGATCGTCAACAACATGAATACGTCGAAAACAGCTGGAACATATAAGCCTTAATCCGATACTTGATACACTGGTGATGCGACCAGGAAGAACTCAACTTGAGTATAGGCAAGAATAGGGAGCACCTGCTACCCAAGACATTATCCATATTGTGCTTGCGAGGCTCAATGAAGACTAATCATTTTCAGCCCTAAGGTAGTTCTCTTTAAGATTGGGCAGCCCATACGACAGATGGGTTTAATGTTTTTGCTCTCGGCTAATGGCCTTCTGCGCCCAGTAAGGCAGACATGGACTGCCTATATCGTTAGGAGGTCTCTACAGCACTCACTCTGCATTTATCCTCGCTGGTTTGTGCATCTTCTGGCGAGGCTTTGAGGTAGGCAGACCGCAGGCGCCACCAACCCAAGGGTTGCACGGCATACAGAATGTAGCTGAGAGGCCCAATAGAACTGCGTTGCATTTCCCTTGGTCTCTCTCTAACAAGCCTAAGTTGAAGTTGAAACGGCACAAGGCAGCAGAGCTGAATTTGACCAGTCGAAAATTGATTGCTGCCCAGTTGGACATGGTCAACGCAGCGCCAGACCCGTGCGGCAGCATGGCTTCTTCTCTCACTCGCTGCAAACGGAGACTTTCTTGTCATCTGTATATATCAAGTCCTGCTTTGTTCATGGGGGAAATATCACTTTCATTAGTACTTGTCAAATCCTACGACTAACGAGCACAAGGCTGATCACATTTCACGGACAGCCAGCGTCCTCATCAATATCATCGAGACATCCTGATACTATCCGTGCGTTTCATAACATAACGCTCAAGTAGAGATTTCCCCGAAAGGTTTGGCAAGTGGAAATCATCGGTCAGCGAAGTGATTTTCACTAGACACGAAACCTCACTGCCTGAAGGAGAATCCGGAAGGCTCTCCGTTGCACACCTACAGTCTTCCATCTCCCACAGCTCAATAACCCACCATGGAGGAAACAAACAAACAGGCTACAGCAAAATCACAACTGCGACGGATTTGGGACATTATTTTCCCTAATCGCTCACATCCAAGTTCTCCGTACATCTCAAGAGGCCCCGACGAGAACCAGAACAGGTCTTTGGACAGCTTTTTCTGCCAGGATGGGGAGTTTCCCAGTCTACCCTTTTTCTACAATCCTCCTGACAGCTTGCATGAACAAGGTGATGCGGATGAGAGTACTATCTGTGAAATGGGCTCTATGTTTGAAAGTTCTGTAGGTTCCAAAGACTTTGAGACCAAAAGCGATCTTGGAAAGGAAAAAGTTGATACCTACCTAGGACAACGTCGAGGTGGATCAAGCCTACTCCGGCCCCTCTAGGAGAGGTTTCTATTCTCGCTACCGTATTAAGAAATGGACGGATAGAATTGATGAATGGCTACGAGATGCGTCTGTTGACCTCAACGCGGATATCGAGAACGCTTCAACAACGTACTCGGATACAATGAGCCTGTCAGACCCAAGGCTTGAAAGTTACATTTCTGTCTTAACGGACGATATAATTGAGAGATTCAATTCCAAGACAATAAACTATGTACAAATTGACAAGATGTGCGAGGCTTTGCCTGGTCTTCTTGAGTCTTTAGCTCTCAAGTTCGGCTACGAAGCATCATCTCAGCCACATCGAAATATTATGGTTTTCCTCCACAGATACCGAAGGTAAGAGATCGAACTCGGATTTCCTATAACATTTTCAATCAAAGATAGGCCGTACTTATTCATGTTAGAGAGATCACGACATCCTTTCGAAATGCTCTCTTTCAAGCGGCTAACTTGATCCCGGAGACAGAGGCGGGAGCGGAAGCGGAAGCAATCAGTACAGAAATTATGGATCGTTTCCTTGCGTCCGAGGTGGAGCGCGAATATGAACAAGTCCTAGATAAGGCGGTTGATGATGAATCTCAGGACGAAAATATCGATCCGAATGATGAAGTGATCATTCCTGCAATGGCAGAGTATCGAAAGCTCATTTTTGATGATCCCGGTTACTCCTGGCTATTATATCGCTTGAAGAACGAATTCATGTTCTCAACGCCAGGAAAGGACGTCATCGGTGAGTTAAGGGACAAAATCTTGGATCGCATCCCAAGAGTAAAACACTTCAGCAAGAATAATGCACTACATAGTTGTACGGTCATTTATCGAGTAGATTGGGATCCTCGGTTCTTCCTCGAGCAAGAATATGGAAATCAAGGAGCTGAGATCTTCGCCAAAGCCATGACTTTGACAGGTTGTTCTAGGCAGGCACAAGCTCTCAGCTGTCGAGAGTATCTAGCTCAGACATGGCCAATGACGGGACCTCACACGGAGAGGCTTATTCAGGACCTGCTCAGAGACACGAATGGCAACCTTGCTAAATCTCGTGAGTACGTTCTACCCGACCAGCTATAGGCCAAAGAAGCTAATTCATGCGAAGGACAATATCCAAATAATATAATGGTCTCAGCTTCATCCTCCAAATCAGGTATTGTTGTAAAGGTATCAGGTGTTGCTCAATTTGTCGCCGAAATAGGAGAACAGTTAGCATGGCTCGGCACAGCATTACGTACAGCATCCTCGTCAGCCTGCATACTATTCTGTACTCCGTTCCTGAGCGATATCCCGCCAAGAATTTCCAGCATACTCCATGGCCCTCTTCGGGACATCAGCATTGAAATCAAATTCAAATTTGAAAGTCCTGAGGAGAATGCATTGAATATCAATGGGCAATGCTGGTATGGCATGTTCAGCAGCGCGGTTGTTGCTCACGGATTTCCAATACCAGCCCGAATGGAAGAAGATACTGGCTTAGAGATGCCGTTGAATCTAATGGCAGAACTCGTGAACTCACGTCAGGTCGATGTTTTTTACTCGAAGATATTCATCAAAGGATTTTCAGCCATGTTGGTGCCAACTCATAGATGTGAGGATGTCTTAAATTGGCATTTCATATATAACACCCAGCCAGAACAACGCATCTCTTATCTAGACTGTCGAGCAACACATGTCGATGTCACAATATCAGAGTTAGAACGAATGCGTCACGTTGTGGGATGGTGCTCAGCGGCTGTTTGCGAAGTTGGTATGTTGCCTTCCCAATCCATTCTTACACGCACACTAAATTGTTGCTACGTGCCGCAGGCTCATTAGCAGCTACTTACAACATTAAGAACTCGAGGTTGCCAGGTGTGCCTCCTCACCACACAATGAATAAAGTAGAGATCACAGCAGGCCAATATATCAGCGCGACTGCTGGCATAACCCTGAGCACTAAGGCAAAATCAATAGCGATTTCCCGAGGAGACTATTTGAGCAAAATCCAGTGGCTGTCCTCACAGTACGTAAATATCTGGGATGAAGACGACAAGACGGGCTGGCTTGTGAATGGAGCTACTGCGTTGCTTCATCTACTTCGGGCGTCATTCCATCACAGCAAGGCCCAATTTGGATCACTCTTTGAACTTGATCCAGACGACTTACGTGATATTTCTGACTCATCTAACGCAAATGCCGCTAAAAATATTCTGCTCAATGAAGAATACCGTGAGCTTCAGCTATACTGGGAATCAAGTGAAATTACCAGTGAGGAAATCCAGGACGGGGTCTCCAAGGGATCTATAGTCACAATGCGGCGCAGACGATATAAGGTACTGCAAGATCGAATAGAACATTTATTCAATGTCATGGAGAAGCTATTTGAACATGAAGAGCACGTTGGACAACAAGACGGAATTCACCTACGTCGTCGATCAAGAGGACAACTCGAAGGTTGGGACTTCAAAGCCTTAGCTGCAGATGAGGGCCCCATTGTACCGCTCGTTACTTCGATCACAACCTCAGGTAAAGTCTGGGTGGACTTCACCCGGGCCATTCACACGGTGGCACTGTTCGGGAAGGGATTTGGCAATCTGATCCGCCCTAAGCAACCGGCGTATCCAGAATGTCGATGGTCTAAAGTCCCTACGAAGCAGTGTTATCTTGCAGTCTGTGTGTCAGAGTTGGAGGCCATCATGAAAGCAAAAGGTAATTCTTCAACAAATCCAAGGACGTTATGCGACAAGATCCTATGGTATATGAAGAGCTCCTCGTTTTCTTTATGTCCTTGCACACAAGGAGCGATAATGAAGCATTGCGATCCGGTTCAGAGCTTGTTCCCTTCCAATTTTATGTCAAGATTCCGGAAATGCCCTCAAGTTGGCCTCCCAAGTAACGGCGCTGTCATATTTGGCCGCAATGAAAATCTTCACTGGGACTGGAGAGATCATGGAGACCCAGTTAAGGGCGATCCTCCACCAGAGGATCGGGAACTATCACAGCTTGCGAGCCAATCTTCCAGCACTGAAACCTCAAGCAGCGAGGTCAGTCCGAGAGCAGATAGCTCTAACAGCCCGACAAACGATACACCTCCCTCCAGCGTACTTGAAGAGGAAGACCCAGAGTCCTTGGGCCTTGGCACCATGCAGACAAAGGGCAAGGAAATCGCTGGCCCGGCGGGCTCTTCACTGAGATCTTTGAAGAGACGCTGCAGGCAAGCTACTGAGCCAATTAAGAAAAGAACGAGGTTCAGCTCTTCTTCTGGTTCCTAGCGAAATCGAATTCTAATGAGAACGAATACGATGGTTACTTTCTGTCACCTTTTTGAAGCACTGGCTAAAGTCAGGGATGTATTGTGGACTCATCTTCAGAAAGCGAAATCTAAGATATGAGATTTGGGGAGAAAAGCTAGAGCTATGAGAAACTCATACAGGAAACAAAAGATAGCACGATGTGTCAATTATCGGGGTTGTTTGAAGGCTCGCTAGGTCATAGTAGGTTTGTTAGTTCAGAGGCGTGGGTTTAAAGAAACTTGGTTATTCTATTTTCTCTTGTATTTCCGACTCTGTCGAGTGGTGGTTTTGAAACAAGCTGGAAAACAGAGATGCAATCTTGCGAGGTGGGAAGTTCGTGCGCACTGGCCACTTCAGTCCCCTTACAGTATCTCAAACAGGTCACACTGCATTGGTTGAATGTTTCGCTGTTTCAGAACTCTTCAGTCTTACCTTTATCCGGAACTCGAGCAGTCCGGGGGCTCAGCAGATTTTCCTAATTGACATGGTCAGAACTGATGGAACACAAACTGAAGAGCGCTGACCCATCCTAAGATCTTCGACGACGAGCCGAGCAGTACTTCTGTAATTCTGCACGGGGCAGTCTGCAACACGTGGGAGCCAAACCCATGACAACTCGAGACGGCTAAGCAAGAATGTTATCCTCACACCCCATCGAACTCTTTTCATCGTAGAACCACGCTCTGAAGAGATCTACCAGAAAATCATCGTGCATACAAGGCTGTCCGTATGTGAGTCTGTCGCGAATGCGCCAGGTTAGAGTTCCCCGTGCCACCTTCATCTCATCATCGCCGTTTCAGACTCTCGATCGCCTTCCAGCATTCTTATTAGTCTTTGTGGTAGAGACGTCTGGGCCTTGCGAAGCATTGACGACAACACACAAAGTGCGCAGCTTCATCCGAACTCTGTGAGGGTTGCCTCCCTCGGCCAAGCCACCCGGGTCTAGGTCAGCACCGACTGCCCCTTGTTCTTGTTGAGGCTCAAGAGGGCCAAGGAGATTTGTTGCACGCTATCGAGATCCTTCCCACCTGCAGCCACTATGTTCCGATGCTCCGGTTCCTGAAACTGACTACGACCAACACTGGCTTTGCAGTCGAGGTTCACGAAGCTTTCGTTAAATCCTCCTAGTTACAGAAGTCCCGTGCCCCTGCTGTTTCAGCCTTGTTAAGTTAAGCCAGGGTAGCTGAACTCACTGCAATACTTCGAAAATTTAGAGTCGGAGTAGACTGTGTAGACCATCTTCCACGAGGCTAGAAGGACGGCAAATGCACAGAAGCATAGACTAGTTTACGGGGGTAGGAAACGTGGTTATTCACGAAACATACGAGGGATTGAACATTTTGTGACTGTGTTACTCTGAAGAGGGCTTCGTGAGATGAGTGAACATAGAGCCTAAGTTGTCCCACAATTACCAATCTACACTGCATCTCTATCCACGGCAGATCGCCACCATCATACCAACTCAAATAAAAGCACGGGACAGCGTTGCCATCAAATCAGGCTGAGACGCAACACCGCAGATCCTGAGACTCTGCCCTTCGCTGGGTCTGGCCTGCGTACCTGCAGCATGCCCAGTGCAACTATAACATTTCCAATGGATGTTCTTCACTGGCTTCCTGTGCTGCGGTGGTACAATGCCTCCTCTCAGCTGCTCTCCGCCAGCCATTTCCCCAGCGCCCGGCCCCCAACATGAGAGCGGCACAGGGGCCTTTTTCTCAAACACCCACCTCCCATTACAGCACCCCCCTGGCCTCCCCTGGTGTGTGTGCGCCGATCTCAAATCCTCGGACCAACGAACCGGAACGACGCACTTCCCTCCTGGATCTGCAGGGCCTGTACGCTGGGTACCACGCCCCCACGAATCATTGTGCATCGCATTCTGCTTCTGGATCTTCGCAAAGAAGGAGAAGAGGGTGGTGTGGTGCGGGATCAAGCAAAGAGGCGAGTTCATCCAGCCGAAGTGCATGCACCCCCCTCGTCCTCGTGCATAAAACACCGCTGCCACTTGGTTTCTGCAGGGAAGCATAACCAACAGCAGCACACAAGACAAGACAAGACAAGACACGACATGTCAAGATGGAGATATCAAGTTGAGGGGGTTTTAAGCATTAGTATTGAATTTTTTATGTGTGTGTTCTGTCAAGCTGGGCGGACTATCTAATCGTAGAGAGGAACCTCCATCTCCCGCTTTTTTGGTCCGCAGGGTGTAGAACTTGCCCCCGGCAAATATCAGCCCCGGCTTTCAGCTGGAGGAGGTTGGTGGTGGAGGAAGAAGTAGGAGCGGTGCCTGACAGAGAGGGCAGAACATGATGTTTTGGTGATACAAAAGTCTGTCTTTGTAGTACTAGTAGAAGAAGAGCCAAGGGGAAATCCAACGCCGTGTAACGCCCTGAATGGTATCGTATGTAAATGGAAAAAGAGTCGTGGCTATATGGTACAGTTCTGGTCTGGATCGCAAGATCATGATGACTTGCCCTGGTAGAACCAGTATCTATAATAGCGTCGTTAGCAACTGTTGCCTTTGACATGATGATGCTTGGGATGGTGGACTTACTCTGCGGCATATTGCCTCTCGAATGTAGCGGGCATGCCCTTGCACGACGCCGGCGGGCTGCCGCCGGCGGTGTTCAGCCGGTACACCTCCTGCAGGTTGCCGGTGGCGCCGTCCTTGGTGAGCAGCTTGAGCCAGGCGACGGCCGGCTCGCCGAGCTGGCCGACCTGCGCGTCGGCGGGGGCGGGGACGCTGGCGTTCTTTGCGCAGGGGGCCTCGCCCAGCTTCATGGAGGTGGTGTCGAGGTTGAAGAAGGGGGTGGTGGTGGTGGTGAAGAAGTGCTTGCCGCTGACGATGAGGTTGGAGGGCGCGAGGCGCTGCGCGGTCAGGGGCAGCTGCTCGTCGCTGGTCAGGTTGAAGCTGAGCGACACGCGCGGCAGCATGTTGAGCACGTCCGGGTAGGTGGCGGCGACGCAGCTGGCGTTGAAGAGGGTGGCGACGGCGCCGACGGCCACGGGCACGGCGGTCGCGTTGGTCAGGTCGCAGGTGTAGTTCTGCGTGCCGCGGCCGATGGCGACGTGCTTGAGGGCGAGGCCTGCGGTGGGTGGAGGCAGGCTGGTTGGAGCTGGAGGGAGTTGTTAGTCTTGTGATATCAGAATGTGAAGTGTTTCTCCTCAATAACTTACCGGTTGGCTGCTTCGCCTTGGACAGGTCGCACACCGGAGCATACGACATGGACCGGCCCTCTTGCACCTTTGTTGCGAGCATGTTGAAGTAGGCGGTCATCTGCTTCAAATCGCCGGGCATGGCGGCGTTGACGTTGAAGGTAGGATATGTAGGAGCGGCCAGGGCGGAGTTGATGGCACCCATGGCCGCGAGCAGGAAGGTTGAGGTCCGCATCTTGTCTTCTGACTGTTGATATTTGATATTCGATCCTTCTCGTCACTGAATTCCAGACTCGTAACTCTCGACTCGTGATTTATGATCCTTCTCTTGGTTGTCTCGTCCCGAGATATAGTAAACGTCGTGTGGGAATAGGTTGGTAGGGAGGAAAAGGAAACCCAACAATGACCCAGACAGAGCACGATGTACGAAAACTCGAAATAAGGAACGACAAGGAGAGATTACCAAAACTGAACTGAACTCAAGGGAAGTGGTGGCTTTTGGACATGATCGTCATGGACGGGGAGTAGCCATCTCTATATACAGGCCTGGCCTACCTGACCTACCTGACCTACCTCGTCTGTCTAAGTCAGCCATGTAAGTCCATATCCATGAATAGATGGCTGGCTGGGCCACTTGTTGGCCGGCGGCACGCACGACGCTGGGCCGGCCGAGCGAATGGATCCGGGACGACGACAGGGACGAACGCCTGTCCCACACCCTGCAGGGATCCCATCCAAATAGACTAGACTGAAGTCTATGTATGTATGTACCCTCGAGCAGCATGTGGATGTATTTTGGGAGAGGGCGATATTGAGGGCGCGAGGGCGAGTTTGGCGGGAGGGCTGTAGCCGCCGAGGTACAAAGCGAGTGGCCGGGAGGGTACATGGCGTACATGGCTCGATTTGCTCTGGTCGAGTCAAATTTGGAATGCCAGGGTCCGAGTGGAGGAGCCAAGCGATCTCCGCCAGGGGAGGGGAAATGCCCTGTAACCCTGTCGTTGAGCCGTCTGGCCCCGTCTGCAAGCGCCTGGGCCGCCCGGAGGCCGGTCGCTACCCTACCTAGGTACCTACGCTTGCTACGCTACGCTGAGTCTTCCCCTCTTGTCACCTAATTATTGTCTGTGTTTATTTCAACACCCACCCCGCCAGGGCACGAGGGGGGCGTGCAGCGACAAAACACAAAGAGTCTCAGAATCTGGAAAAACCCCCCCAGAGAGAGCACCCTGCGCAGCGTGGCAGAAGCAGAAATGATAAGCTTAGATAGAGGTCATCTGCTATCTGTCTAACTAGCTCTAGCGATCGGCTTGCAAACATGCGCCGTTTTGAATGGGGCTGCTGCTGCTGACAGGAGCTTGCATGCGCAACCCAACAGTCAGACTCCAAAACGCATGTGAAGTAGGGGGGTTCGGCAAACAGTTGAAGGATCTCGACCACGCTCGCTTTGATACAGAAAAACAAATCTCCTGCAGAGCCGTGAGACCTAGAACAAAAGCATTGACTCGACGCCAGTTCGGTAGTGAATCAGCGGCGAGTTGTAGAAGGACGGAAACAGGCGCCGGCTGGAGGTGGTGTAAGTTGTAAAGCGCCATAAGCAGACAGACGTTCGTAGCCGATATCCAGGCATATGCACTTGCAACTCCCACACGGGTCAGTTGCCTTGCAATTGGTAACTCTTCATTGCTCAATGGGCACCAAATGCGATCTTGCAGCTTTTGAGCACGGTCTCATACATATGCACAAATCGCAGTGTACCGGACGATCTCTTCAGATCTTCAACCTCATATCGTAGCAGTCTGCCTAATACCACCACCATCGATTAAGAGCAGTCAGTTGAAGTATAGGTTCGTCCGGCGGGGAGTGCGTTTAGAGATCTGCATTAGATTGGGTGGTGCATCCCAGATCCAGATAGAGTACATCATTCTGAATCTCTGTCATCAAGCGTTAACAGCTAATGAGAGGGCAGAAAATAGAATGCTTCCGGCGGGATCGAATGCGACATTGAGTCTGTCAATAATCGTCAATACAAGCAAGCAATACAAGCAATAACCATTTACCTGCCTGCCTCTGTCTGTCTAGGCCGGCATGGGGATAGCGTAGCGTTGCGTGGAAGCTTTCTATGGAAGGTACGTTAGTTAGCTTAGCTACTATGCAGCTTTGGTGTGGCACCTAATATGGGAAGGCGCGGGGCCGTTCTTAGCTCTGGCGGTTAAAGGCCAGGAATAGAAGCGCCATTGATCGCGTGTATGGTCAAAAATAAATTGAATGCTCTCCAGAGCAGCCACTCACAACACAGCATGGTCCATGGATGGCTTGAGGTTGGATGCCACAGTACCACAACGTTTGCGGACGGCTGGCTGGCTACTGCTTGTACCTCTGCTCTCCTCCTCTCTGCCCCAACCTCCCAGACATCGCGGAAGACCAGGCAAATGGCAGCGCGAAGAGTCCCACTACAGATCTTTGCCGCGATCTCACAGGGCCTCTTGAAGACCTGATTGGCCTTGGCCCTTCCGAGACGCAATCTGGCGGGCGACGGCCGTTGAGCCACGACCATTCGACCTTCTGCCAGCCAATTTAGTCTGGGCCGCCTCGGCTGGCCAGCGTCAACTCTGTCTGTATCGTCTTGTATTGTATTGCCATACACCGACACTCTCCCACTGTCGCCACGCCCCTCGATGAGCTCTGCGTCGCTCTCAGCGAATGGCTTCAGCCACACCGGACGGCTCCCGGCAAAGGCGTCTCTCTTCGGTCTACTCCCTGCTCCAGACTACCCACCTCTTTGGTCTACGGCCCCTCGCTTTCCCGCCGGCGACAATGGCAACGGCTGCTAATAATACCCGTACACTGCTGTACAGAAACGACAAGGAATACCACGCTTCAGGTGGTGAAGGAAGAGCCGCCCGGCCTACGAAGACGGACATGGCTACACATCCAATCGATGCCCTCTCGCCCGCGCGGGCCAAGCTGCACTAGCAATGACTTGGCTCCATACCGGATCTGTCTCCGCCCTCGAGCCTCGATCTTTGGGTGTCTTAATCTTCTCTTATCCAGGTTTTCTACGCGCGGGAGGCCATCTGCCTGTATACACCGTGACGCCAGCATCGTACGATTTTACCGCCATACCAAGGGCTCGAGGGAATATCGAGAATATGGTTGCTTGCTTTCAATATATCGACATTTGATGGTAACTAATATCTCCCATTAGAAAGCACTCCCACCCAGATGACACATGCCCCGAGAGCGCAGTGCCAGCCGCCTGCCCAGCCTTGCTAAGCGTACACTGGACTCTTTCACCCTCTCGCCCACCTTATCCCATATCTACTTATACACTTTTATGGATGCGCCGAGCCACCGTAGCCGTCGCTTGTATGCCTGGCAATATAGGTAGGAAGCGCTTTCCAGCCCTTCCCAAGACCGATAGACGCCTTGGTCATCCATGGATCTCTCAGTTGCCATTAAAGTTCTCTGCTTTCCAATCTCCGTGATCGTCCCCTCCAGCCGCCCCCGCCGCGGCGGCTCCAGCGGCGGCAGCAGCAACGCTCGAGCCAAAGTTGGTAGCGTGCTGCTCGGCATCCGAGGTGCCGAGCCAGTAGAGGGAGAAGAAGACCAGGACGTGCAGCGCGACGCAGTACGCCGCAAATAGATTCCTGCTCGTCCGCGAGGCCAGCACCATCCTCGTCACCGAGTAGACCACCCGCTCGGGGAAGCTCATGCGCTTGTATGCCCGTGCCGACTCTCTGCCCCGGAACGCCGCAAAGGGCGAGATGTTGGACTCGTACGCCTTCCTGTAGCGGTCCAGCGCGATGCCCGGGTTGCCAGTCCCGCCTATCGACACGGTCGAGGGGTTGGGGTTCGACGAGTAGGCGGACGCGGACGACGAAGACGTGGCCGCCGTCGCTGCTGATGTCGGTCCTGCCCTGTTGTACGAGGACACGTAGCGCGTCTTCTCGTAGAGGTTCAGGTTGTCCTTCTGCAGCGCGGCAATCTCCTGCCGCAGCTGGGACACGGTGCGATGGCTCTCTGAGACCTCCTTCTCGAGCTCCGCATTTCTTTTCTTAAACCTGTCTCGCTGGGCCGTGATCATGGGCAATATGCCCGAGCCACCTCCCATTGGCTCGCCTGGGGAGTCGCGGGGGTTGAAGCCGCTTATTATAGAAGATGTGGGTGACGTCCTTCCGCCTTTGCGTCCCGGTGCCACTGACGGTGCATACCGGCTCACGTATGTCCCGGCCACTGACGCTCCCGACGGAAAGGCGTTTGTATGCTCGGATTGCAGGTTGGCAAGATCGTTCTCCAGCTTCTCATTCAGGTTCTGCGACCTCTCGAGATCGGCATTCGTCCGGGAGAGTTCCTCCTGCAGATTCTGTAGTCTATTTTGGAGGTCTTGGTGTGACACTCGTAGAATGGTGAGCTCTTCACTAAGCTTCTTGTTCCGTGCCAGGAGAAGCTGCTCCAGGGTGTCTCCCTTGCCCTTTGCCGCTCCGTTCTGCTCATCCGGAATGTCATGGGTCTCATCATCGTCGCCCGTGGAGAATTCAATGCTCTTCAGGACCTCAAGCTCCTGCTTAACGTCATCGTAGTCGCTCCATTTCTGAATCTTTGCTTTCATCGAATCCCTCTCTTCCTTGAGTAAGCCAACCTCACGCTCGAGGCTTCGTAGCTTGGTGTCCAGCTCGCGCTTCAGACCTTCCTTCTCCACTCGCGATGCGTCAAGTTTGCGGATGAGTGAAGAGTTCTCAGACCTCATGCGCATGTAGCCGGGGTCGTCCTCCAACGAAGCTGCTTGTTGCGTAGGCACCTGCGACTTTGACTGCGCGAGCTCGAGGCGGAGCTGCTCGTTGCGAGCCTCCACCTCCGCCAGCCTGGCACTCGTCCGTTCCAGGTCCGAGTTGACCATCTCCAGCTCGGCGCTGGTCACATGGCCTTGCGAGCTCTCGTCCGCGCCCTCTGAGCGCCCCAGCCGCTGGTTGACCTCGTAGCTGGCCTTGATCTCGTTCAGTAGCCGGTCCTGGTTCTCGACCTTGTCTTCGAGCGCCTTCTCCTTGGCCTCCCAGTTGTCCTTCTTTTCGTCCAGGACGGCGACCCACGATGACTCAACCTCTTTCACCTTCGTCTCCAGATTGTCTTCGATCTGCTTCCTGGCGGCTCTCTCCGTCTCCAGCCTGGACTCTGCCTCCTCGAGCTGCGTGGTGAGCTTGGTGACGGTGCTCTGCAAGTGCTGGTTTTCCTCAGTGAGCTTTGGCAGGGTGTCTTCAGAGACGAGCATGGAGTCGACGGATGCTTCGAGGAGGGGATACGGGTCTGGCGCGTCGGAGAGAGAAGTGTAGGTCTGCAGGAAGGCCGAGTTGATGGACTTGGAGTGGTTGGTCAGGAGATCGATGAAATTCTGGTATGCTGCATAGCAGTGTTAGTCTTCAGTATGCTTTGTGCAATGGGGTCAGATGTAGCATGCCTTTCAGTAGCCCCTTGACCTCGACAAGCTTGCTGGCATCGTCGAGTTTCCTGAAGTCTTTTGTCTTCTGTGCCAGGTCCTTCCTCTGGACCGTTGAGTCCCGTTGGTAAGCAACGATTTCAGATGCAGTCGTGTCAAGGTTCGAGACCAATGTGGTCATGTCAATGTCTATATGAAAGTGTTAGCACCCGTAGGCTTTATCTACTCCATATGAATTCGTTTCTGAACGTACTCCTCCAAGCTGAGATGGCATTTTGGAACTTGTTGGCAGTGTCAGGAGCTCCGCTGCCCTCGGTCTCAGCTCCAGCCGGACCCGGGGAGGCAGGAGCCTGGCTCGCTGTGGTATCGGCCATGGCGTCGTGTGGTTCGTTCACAAGCTAAAGTGCAAATATTCTCTTCATGCAACGAGCCTGGAGGAGCTCATGGCTGACCTGGGGAAAGCAGAATGACGATGATGCAGCACGCGGCTGGAAGGGGGTTTCCGGAAAGGCTGTTTTGCTTGGTCTAGCGCGAATGAGAAGGTCAGACGTGTTCCCTTTGCGCAGCAGCAGGCTACTGCGTAGGTGGCCTGTGCAAGCTTCCCACCCCAATTGCCGCTAGAACCGAGCAGCTGCAGGGGTCCTGTCCGCTGGGGGCCTGTTAGCTGTTCCTGGTTCGCTGCGCGATTCCACCAGGTCGGCCGGGGCGAGCTACCAGGTCAGCCTCGCCCAATTGCGTGGTTACGTATGGGGGGTCCAGGCTGCAGGACTATCACCAAGCATCTCAGAGGTCGAGATATCGGATATCCAGAGCTCAAGCTTTCAAGCTCCCAGTTCGCCTTTTGATTGCTACATTCAACCTCACGATGTGCAAGCTTCTTATTAAGGAACTCCGATGACGTGAGAGACGAAGACATGGCTTCCACTACGACCGGCGCAGGAGGCGCATCAAATGCCCCGGCGCACCAGCCTCTGGAAGCCGGCCCATTCGTCTTGCGCACTCTTTTAGATGAAGTGCCATTGTCGCCCGAGGGACCACACGACGACATCAAGATTAACTGTGTTGACTACCTTGGTGTGTTGTGCATGGCCACGGGATCGCAGGAGCTAGAGACTAACATGCTGCATTACAGATAGCAACCTCTACATTGGAACATCGGCATCCGAATTGCTTCACTTCGTCCAGATCCCGCCCGACCCCTCCGATAGAAACAGCCGTCCGGCTTTCATCCTCGCGTCCAGATCAAACCCGACATATGCAGAAGGCGCGGGTGGTGGGAACCCACGACCCGGTGTCCAGCAGATATTGCTGTTGCCCAGGGTAGGAAAGGCATGTGTGCTGTGCAACTGGACCGTCACCTTCTACTCCCTCCCAGAGTTGAGTCCCGTGTTTGGCAATGTGCGGGTAAAGAATTGCAATTGGATCGGTGGCTTGGATCTGAACGACACAGGTGCTGAGCTGGAGCACCACCGCAGTCCCGGCGTGACTATCTTGTTATCCCTCAATAGAAAGATACAGGTTGTGCGTGTGGGCGAGGAAGCTCGGGTCGTAAAGCAGATCGACTTCTCGGGGAGTACGATCTCTGTTCGGCGAGACTCAATTGCGTGTGTCGCAGACTCGCGGAGCTATGCCCTCTTGGATGTGGATCGCCAGCTCAAGATCCCTCTCATGACTATTTCGTCCTTGGACGACTCGCAGCCGGGCGGCACATTGGGACAGGCGCAGAACATTGCCGGCAGCTCCGATGTAGGCCTGTTAAGGAGCACTTCATCTGCGCAGACGCGGCCCTCAACACTGGCGTTGCATGAGGCACAAACGCACAGCCGGAGCACCAGTCTGGGAGGTCTCATTGCTGGTGGTATGCGGAGGCAGGACAGGAAGGCCACAGACGGAGACGATTCAGATGCGCCAGACGGAGAGGGGAGGCCCCGCTCAACAAGCCCGCGACCTCCTGATCATGGAGGTGCTAGTCATGATGCGAGCACAGCGGATAAGCCTTTGCCGGCGCCTCCAGGTGCTGCAGCGGGCGAGCAGACGACATTGGCAGCAAAGCCTGGCCCAGTATTCCTAAAACCTCATATTGTCTCCCCAACGGCAGAAGAATTCCTCCTCGTGACAGGCACGGGACCGCTTGATCCGGGGATTGGGATGTTCGTGAATCTCGACGGAGATCCAACAAGGCCGACCCTTGAATTCGACAAATATCCTAAGGATCTAGTTGTTGATGGGGGCTCGGCTGATCTTTCATCTTCAACTCCTGCTCTCGTAGAAGGAGAGGATGGATATGTGCTCGCGTCCATGACCAAGGAGTTTGAAGATGGCATACATACTGGGCTGGAGATCCAGCGATGGGATATCAATATTGGAGAAGACGAGGCAGTGAAGTACTGGCTGGAAACTCCGAAAAGCTCTGCTTCCTTGGGCATTCGTTCCCTCATAGGGTCTGAGGATTCAATATTCCATGAAGTGGTGGATCGCATTTCCCAGAAGAAGGTGTCGCTCTTCACTCCTGGCACACTCGAGGCATCAACCATGTCTTTGAGGAGTGTAGACTCCCGGACCGCCATGACCATGGATAGACTGGCTAAGGAGAAAGAACTATTCGACCGAGACGTTGATTCTCAAGAGGAAGATCCGTTGCCAGAGGGCTGGGAGGTCACTAGAAACTCGGAAGAAGAAGATTTCGCGAGAAGGTTGGCCAAGACTACCTCTAGGCTTGCCATTTGGTCCGGCAACCATATCTGGTGGGCTGTGAGAAACCCTCTGTTATTACAGCTTGAAGCGAGTCTGCAGTCGACCGCATTGGAGGACCTTGGCGCATCTCATACTACCGAGGAACGTCGTCAGCTGTTCTCCATACTCAACTCCATTCGAGGACGCGATGCGAAGACGGAATTAGAATTCATGACCTTTAGCTACATACGGCAAAGAGCTAGTGTTCTTCTCTTCGCGAGCTTCTTACACTCCTCTCAAGATTCGTTCGCGGATCCAGAGCTGAAGGCGATGGAAGAGGTCCTCGTCGACGGTGGACTGGATCCCAGAGTCATTCTTGCGCTGATACCCGGTCTACGAAATGAAATAATCGAAACGCGAAAAGGTACTTGGATCTTTGGAGGTGTGAAAGGAACTGTCGAGAGGTACATTGCGTCAGACAAATTTGGCGAGATAGGTCAAACGGCCCATGCCTTGGATCCTAAAATACTACAATTTCTTCGTCGATTCCTTACGGCATGGAGGCGAAAGAAGGGATTTGGCAGCATCGCGGATGAGCATGAAGTCTTCCGGACCGTTGATGCATCCTTGCTTGCTGTCTTGCTAGAACTAGACAAGGACTCGCCGAAGGGACTGGCGAAAAGCAATACCGTCCGCGCTGAGCTCTACGATCTTGTTGATCGTGGTGTGGACTGCTTTGATCGTGCAATCGATCTCCTCGAGTCCCATCATCGTTTGTTTGTCTTGAGCCGTTTGTACCAGAGCCGAAAGATGGCATCTGATGTGCTCGCCACTTGGAAGCGCATTGTCGAAGGCGAGCCAGATGACGGCGGCGAGTTTAAAGATGGCGAGCTGCGAGTCCGCGAATATCTCAAAGTCATAAGCAATCAGGCTCTTGTCCAGGAGTATGGTCTATGGCTCGCCAACCGAAACCCGAAGCTTGGCGTCCAGGTTTTCGCAGATGACAAGGGGAAAGCGGCCAAGTTTGAACCGACTCAGGTTGTTGCGCTTCTCCGGGAGGATGCCCCTGAGGCGGTGAAATACTACCTAGAATACCTTGTCTTCGGCAAGGGGAACACATCATATGTCAACGAGCTTATTAGCTACTATCTTGACATCGTAATCAATGATCTCCAGTCATCTGCTGAGGCTCGCGAGACAGTGTCTGCTTCGTACGAAGCATACCGAGCACTGCGGCCACCAAAGCCCACATACCGGCAGTTCCTCACAGATAACGCCCCACCAGAGAATGAAGTCTGGCATAGTCGTCTACGGCTTCTACAGCTTCTTGGTGAAGCCCATGAGTATGATGCTAAGGCGATTCGACAGCGAATCACTACAGCCTTTCCGGACGATGCCGGGGGTACCACAGACAAGCAACTGCTCGTGCCTGAAGCTATCATACTGGACGGCCGTGAACGACGGCACGAGGATGCTCTTCGTCTCCTTGTTCATCGGTTAGGTGATTACGATACTGCAGTATCGTACTGCCTCCGAGGCGGCGCAAGCATCTACACTCCAACGCCAGGCCGACGGGAGAGCATGCCAACAGAGGACACCCAAGCGGGGCTGTTCCGTGCGTTACTACGTGAGTTCTTAAAGCTCGAAGACGTCAATGATCGCGTAGAGCAGACAGGGACACTATTAGAGCGCTTCGGGGGCTGGTTTGATGTCCTTGAGGTGCTCGAGCTCATCCCTGACAGTTGGTCGGTCGATGTGACAGCCGCATTCTTAGTGAGCGCTTTAAGGAGACTCGTCAGGGAGAAGAACGAGGCTGCTGTTGCAAGGGCGCTAAGCTCAGCGGAGAATTTGAGGGTCAACTATGATCTTCTGAAGAAGATAGATGAGAAGGGTCCTACGGTTGAGGCTCAGAATTAAAAAACTACTTGTCAATAATTCAGCATAGAGGCAGAACATCTGGAGCACTTGTAGGCGACATCAAAATCAAATGCGAAATGATTCTATGTGTTAGATACATAACAAACGTGGTATCATGGACCCCTGATGCTCTGAATCAACCACTCCGTCACCGGAATTCATCGATTTGGCCCTTGGCAACTCACCAATGGTTGCCTTACCTGATTGAGTGGACCCGACGCACGTATAGCTTACATTGCTATGATCGAAGGGCATCGAACTGAACGAAGCTGCAATTGCGCAGCGTTTCACACAGGGTCTTGAGTTTCGGCATGAGGGGTGCTAGTCGCTGTTGATGAATGGATTTCTCCCGGCGTAGGTCCGCTCTCGTTGTCCGGCAGCTGTTCGTAAGCTACAGCACCGCGCCGGTTGTGACTGTAGGGGTCGCTTTGCGGGAAGAGCCTTGCTTGAACGACCGCTGGCGTCTGTAGTCTCCCCGCCCTCATACCTTCCTGAAAGCCCAAGTACCACGCCTCCGCCGCGATCCGGCGCATTTCGCTCTCGCGCCGGAACTCCATGAGAATGACTCTCTCTGCCTCCGGCTGCCAGTCCATGTTGTCCTCGTCAGTGCTCAAGCCGACTTGTCGCGCCCAGATACCCCAGACCTCCCAGAGCTTCTTCCGGAACTGGGTGTTCTGACGCTGCATGTAGTTCATCATGCTGGGGGTGATCCGAGCTGGTGTCACTTGGGTACTGGCGGCAGGGCTTTGTCGGTTCTGGGAAGAGCGCTGCCTACCCCCTCGGCGAGTCTGGTCGCCTCTTCCTCGGGTAGAGGCATTTGTTGCGCCACGCTGTGACCGTCCCCTGCGACTGGGGATAGGAGGCTCGGAATCGGATGAGTCTTCGGGTGATGATGAAGTCAACTCGGTAGCACGGCCGCCACGAGCACCCCGGCCTCGCTGCCGGTTGCGTCCCCGTCTAGCCATCGATGAAGGCTGGCTGTCTCGCTCGAGTCGCTTCCTGGATGTTATGGGCACGTTTGGCCGCTTAACATGACGAGATTGAGAGTTGAGGTCCGCAAGATGTACCAGAGGTGTGGTCAAGGGGAGATAGCGTTGGTATAGCCTGATGATGGAGCTCGCCCGCCCAGGACGGCTTGCATGACTCCAGAGAAATCCATCGATAGACGACCCCGGGCTCATTGAGGATGGATGTGAGTCAAGGAGTTCGGAGCCTGGCGCTTCAGGTGGTGCAAGACATTGGCCGTGAACAAAGACACAACAAGCAAAATAAAGTTGAAACAGTCTTGGAAGCCTTGAGCTTAGGAATATGCAACTATTATAGCTTTCTGAAACACTCGGGGATCAATGGCTCATTTTCGAGAATGCTCTCCGCTTTCCTCGGCATCTGTCTCATCAAAGGCACCAAGGAACCTCAAAGCACCAAAGTCCAAATCCGAAGGCACACGACAAGGCACATACCACTCAATTGTTATTATAATACATCAGAGAAAGTTTAAGGAGATAAAGAGGATAGCGTATTGTCATACATATAGTCAGTCCAACCTAACGTTTCGAGCCAAAGCATGGTATACACATGGACACAGCTCTAGCCCTTGCTTTCCTCTGAGATAGGTTTTGCAGTTCTAGGTGAGAAGAAATGAGTGAGCATCCCGAAAGGTGCTGCCAAAGGATGGAAAGAGTGAGGAAGTGCATTTATTTGATGATGAGTGGTTCCGATTTCTTCAACCTAACACAATAGCCTTCACATTAGACTTAATATCATTATCTCTTCTCACTTCAACCAGTAGTCACACTTTAACGTTGTTAATATACGTTATCCTTCTGATAGTTGTAAAGTCTCTAAACAAATAAACCTGACAAGAATTGTGACAACTATATAGAACTATAGAAACTATTCCTCGAATTTCCCGAATCTTGAAGACGCGTGTATTGGTATCCATTATGGAGATCATGGAGCGAGCCACAAGGAATTTGACGTAAAGCTAAGACTGGATATCACTACCTTCTCTTGACACGGAACACGATTTTTTGAGCTATATGCGCCTGAGGCTTATTTCTTGACACAGCTGCATTAATGACCAAAATAACCTCGAACCCGAAACCCGCTTAAGCACAGTTAAAGTCGGAATTCCGCAATGTCCCTTACAGATTGGATAGATTCCCTACCAAACTATTCTTCACCAAACTCTCCTTCTTTCAACCTCTATTGGGATGCTATTGATCCAGTGATTCTTAAAAACTCAGCTTCGACATGTTTCCATAGCTTGTCGACCTGTCCTTCCTGCCTGTACTGTGCCAAGAGCTTTTCGATTGCTTCATTAACACTTTCGCCCTCGTGGCTGACAGCATAAGCCCCAGTCCCGACTTTCCCGTCAACTCCTCTAGCAATAACGACTGAGGCGCTAAGTGGCACCCCAGAACCAGTTGCGGCATCCTCTAATGGTGGATACTTCGAACTGGTAGATAAAAAGGCGTGTCGCTCGCCGCATTCTTTGAACGGCATGAACTTGAAAGCAAACCTCACCTTAAAATAGTATTTAACCAGTTGTAGTACAAAACCCTCATCTCCTCTGATGAGATTGGTGTTGATTGCGCCGGGGTAGTTGTGGATGAAGGATACGTTTGGTGCTCTTTTTGCCAACGCCTCAATAGCTAGGGTCATCACCGAGCTCGAATGACCACGTGCTTTGCTTATGGGAGCCTTTCGGCATAAGTAATCATCGTCGAATAACTTTCCTTCAAAGCCTGCGGACTGAACGGTAACAATTCGCCGAAGTGAGGTGGCTTTCTGAATGAGAGGAAGCAGGTTGACAATGAAACGCATACGTGAATAGAACATCACACTCAGAATAATAGGTAGTCCTTCAGTTGTGTCTATACAGGATGAGATCAGAAATTACGATGTCAAACATTTACAGAGACTATAGGATCAATAGTCATGACTTACCACCAAACTTAAGTGTTCCTTGACTTAGAAAGAGCATCTTTACTTTGGATGTCTTTACAGACCTTATCCACATTTTTAAGTAGACTTGTATCTGCCTTGACAAAAACAAAGTACCCATCCGGATTCAGTTTGCCAAGCTCGGTGATTAAGCGATCCCCAGCCTCCTGTGATCGTCCGATGAAGTAGATACGTGGCTGCGTGGTGATACGAGCGAACTCCTTCAGGGCTGTTTCCCCTATACCTGCTGTCGCTCCTGCAAATACTCCTACGAGTCCTGCAGGAAGTGTTTTGGCGACGCTCTCGTTCGATGCTTCGACTTCGGAAAGTAAAACCATGATGAGAATTCTTATTGTATGCTTATTTGGTACTAGAACAAAAAGTATTGGATGGCTATCAGAAACCTTGTCTCAACATATAGCTGCGCAAAAAGTTGCAGGCATGCATTGCATGAAGATCACAAGTGTTCTCAGAACACAGAAAAGATCCAGATTAATATACTTTCAGGCTTTGTAAGGATTCCATAGATTTCATAACTACCTTCTAGGGTATTCTTTCTCTCGTACCATTTCAATGACGACTAGATTCATCAAGATCAACAATTAGAAGACTGGGAATGTGTAATTCAGCTAGTCGCATGAAACGCTCCCCAAAGATGATTTCGACCAATCAGCATTTGATTTATACGAATCGAAGTTAGGCACGCGATGCGGCACAGCGCTAGACTAGGGATCCTCTTATGATAGCAATCTCTTCAACCATGATTAAAGAAACATGAGGGCAATAGTGAGAATATTCGTGAAAAAGAGCAATGAGCCAAAACTCGGAACGCTAGGCGCTATGAGTGATGTCTTTTATTTATGAGGGGAACTAACAGAGGCGTGCAGCCTTCTCAACTGGTGAGGCTTGTCAAATTTTACCTCCGTTTCCAGAGAAATTTTGCAGTTCTGAGCTGAGCTGAACTACGCAGTTTCGCCCAAATCCAGTATCAAGCATATTTGCATATTTGCAAGGGCCGTTAATGAGACCTTAGGTCCGGAGACTGAGCCTATAACCCCGTTTATAGTCTTGCCTCAACTTTCCTATTCAAATGACTTAGGTAATACAAAACCTGGCTCGGTGGTCAGAATGACTTTACGTGGAGCTCATCGTATAGTCTGTTTGGAAAACAGGCCGAAGAGATGGAAGATGCCCTTTAAACAACTCAACCAATCTAGGACAGATCTAAGCAACGAGGCACACTCAGGTATATCCACGTGATGTGATTAGGCACCCTGGTTAAGTGGCGTCCAAGCCACCCCTCTGTAGCCGAGACCTGCACCATCTACATGCCTTCGATGAGCAATTTTGTGAACAACTAAATTCTCCCCTGTATCGACAGTAGTCACCCACACCTTTAGTCAAGAAGTATCTAAATCTATCATTTGAGGGAGAGAAGGGTCCTTGAGCGGTTCCGTACAAGACCGCTATTGTTGCATACCTCCTCTCGCTGGATGCCTCCCGTGAGGCTCTGACGGACGAGGCTCCCGGCATTATGAGGCTTCTCAACACGACTTCAATCACGCTCCACGAATTCAATGATAGGAACTTGCCTTCATATGCCATCCTATCTCATAGATGGGAAGAAGAGGAAATTGGGTTTTCAGATATGGTGGCTGGGCGTAGGGAAATGACTCTTGGATACCAAAAAGTGTTAAACTTCTGTGCCCAAGCACTCGCTGATGGTTTCACGTATTGTGTATGTCAAACCATACTTTATTCCAAGATTGAGCTCACGACTGACTCTCTGTTTAGTGGATTGACACATGCTGCATTGACAAATCGAGTACGGCAGAGCTTTCGGAGGCTATAAACTCGATGTTCCGTTGGTATCAAAAAGCAGAGGTCTGCTATGCCTACCTTTCAGATGTCAATGCCCAAGAAGACCCCAACGGGCCGAACAGCACCTTTAGAGGATCAGTCTGGTTTACACGGGGCTGGACATTGCAAGAGCTTCTAGCCTCAAGAGTCCTTTATTTCTATGGCTTTGACTGGCAGGAGATTGGTGCGCGAAA